GATTCATGGAATAAAATTTATGTCGTACAAACTCAGAAGTTTACCGACTGACTGTCACTGTCGAGTGAAATCGTGCAGGCTGTAGACTTTTTTTCGATGAATCTTACTTTTAAATTAAGCTCACAGTATGAATATAGGTTAATTTAACACAGGAAAATGAAGTACGTTTTAGTCCATCGAAATATTTTTGACAGAAATTTGACCAAGAATGTTTCAATTGAATAAATATGTATTAGATTTAGGATAACAACTTCTAAAACTCACGAACAAAACCTTATTAGTATCATTGCACTCCCTTGAATATTGTTTATAACGCTTTTAAAAGTAAAACTTTAAGATAGCTTTTCTTGACGTTATTTTCCTTCAGTTTTAACTGAGGGATTGTATTATTCCCTTCTTCTTATCCCTTACCATAAATATTATCTGTGAGATATACCTCACGTGGCTTTGTTCGGATATAGTATGCCTTGAAAGGAAGAATATATGTAAATTTACATTTCTCCACTTTTTTTAGTGAGATATCTTTTTAACTGTGGCATTATTAGCACCCCACCATTTCCTTAAGTAGCCATGAAGATAAGTTATATTTCTTTCACAATCATCAATACAGCTTTCCAATGAAAGGTATAGCAAGTAATCCTCTGAAGGGGGACACATGGAATTGTTGGTTTAAATGAGAAATAAAAGGTGCCTTAAACATTTTTACATCAACTTTAGCTTTAAATCAACTGCATGTTGTAAACCCTATGTCAGGAAGTTCACAAGGGAAAGGAAGTAGTGAGAATTCTCATGCTATATTTGGATAGTCTAAGGTGTATTTTACTTAGATGTGAGAATCTTTTTCTGTTACTTGACGGTGTTCTACTGCAACTGCATTTCTTGTTAAAAACCCTGCTATACTCGGGGCTGTCAATGAATTAGAGAGTTAGAAAGGCAAAATGGAAGCAGCCATGTTGTTTTGTCACTTTACACAAAAGACTGTAAACAATTCAGTTAAAATGTGTAGATGTTCCAAGATTCTCAGAGTAGATTCGCAATGTGTAATTGATTCACACATCTCAACCTGATACAGGTCAATTAGGCTTTCAATTGAACTCAAAACTGAGAAATAGATGCTGCACAAATTTCTCAGATGGTATTTCAATCATTCAGCTAATTTCATATACATTTTTTGTAGATTGAGGTTAAGATGGCAGACTAGCCGTCTGTTTTGGCTGTCTGCCATCTCTTTCAAAAGCTCTGTATACAATGTAGGCTAATATCTCTCTCAAAATAGTTTTTAATTAGCTCTCCCTGTATCACAAAATGTTTCTAGGTTGCTAGCTGAGAGAGTTGTCTGTTTTCAGGATATTTAGCAGTTTTACTCTCAAAGGTGATTAACCCTTTCACTCCCAGCATCTCACCAATGATTCTTCTTAGTGAGTAATATACAGTTCCTATAACGTGAGTAATGAGAATTTGGTATTGAGTCTATTAATAATACCCTAAACGATATTTGTCTTTATTCTTATCACTTTGTTTCTTGATACTGAAATTGAAATTGAGAGGAGAAATTCTGCATCGGTCACTCATGGCAGGTAAAGGGTTAAACTGCAACTTCTTCTTACAATATCAATGTGTCATAAAAAAGAGAGGTGCTAAGAATGAACTTGATCATCAGCTGTTGTTAGAATTATCTCAATTTAGCACTTAATTCTCTTTACTTTACAAAGGCAGTTAAGGTACATGTTGCTAAGCAGGAAGTTATTTCACAAAAAAATATAAAGGCAAAAGGAAAAAATTGAAGTCAGTGGAGGACATTATCTATATTGAAAAGAAAATGGCTAAGGTTTGGAAATTTAACCTTATAATTTTGTGTAGTGGGAGAAAAAATTCACTGATCTGCAATGCCCAATTAACTCTCTGAACAGGAAAATTAACTTTCAGAATTGGACGTAACTAGACCCTGTGAGCAGGGTAACTGGGATACCTGGATGGTACTGGATCCTTGGGATCAATTGTAGTGATACTATGGGTGTGTTAGACTAGTATACTGAAATAGCGAGCTCAAGTCTGGCCAAGGGCATACATCTATTTCAAAAAAGGTTGTCATCAGGTGATAGGTGATAGGTCATTCCAAGACAGAAAGGAATCATGGGTATACAACTCAGTCAATAGTTCTTGCTGAGTGTTGTACATTTGGTTTTTTAACTGGATAACAGTTTTTCTGTATAGTATTCTGTTACAAACAGAGCAAATATAATATGGACCTTCCCTAATCTTACTTTGAAAAGTTGTGCCATTAGGACTGAATCTTATAATATAGTACTTAACCCTTTTTGCTTTTGTTTTATTATTATTGTGCTGAAAAATACAGCTGAAGCAATAATTTGAAATCCACATTGAAAACCCATTAGTGTCCTTAGTATTATCTGTGATTAACTTCTGAAGCAATAATTTGCTACCACGAGATGTCCGTACTCCTTATTTCTCCAATTATAGGCAATATTTATATCTGCATCATATATTTGAAGTATCCTTGGGAAGTTGTTGATAGTGAGTGCATTGTTATCGCCATTGAGTTTTTTGTTGTAAAACTTGATTGCATGGTCAGTGATTCTATCTAGAGTCTGTGAATTCCAATACCCACAATATTTGATAATGGAAGAACAAATGCTATAAAAAGATGTGGCACAACAGCATAACAAGGGAATATGAATGGTTGTAATTTCAGCATCTGCATGATTTGCTTCAAGGGGGACAGCTGACAACTGTTGATCAGAAATATCTGTCATATCACATTGTTTTTCATTAATATGTACACCTTAGAGTTCAAATGAAACATTTGGATTTTGATAAAGACCTTCAAAATAGTTTATCAGCTTATTTAAGGTGTTAACTTCTAACAGTACACAAGTTCCTTGAGGATGTGGCATACCATATGAATCTCTACCATGAGAATCAAATACCTTCAACTTACCATCACCATTACAGTAAAAACCTACTGTAGTACTAAGGATTGTTAAAAAAAGGAATTATAATTTTGTTTAAGCAAAGCCTGCATAGCACTAGCAAATTACATACAATAATTGAAATCTTGTACTTCACAAGTACCATGTATAGTACCAGTATAGCTTGGACTATATTGAAGCTGATAGTTAATATTAAACACTATTATCATTTTAGGTACTTCTGTTAACAGTAAATAGGATTGCTTGGATAGACTAGATAGACCAGAATACAATTAATTACCAATGTTCATGATATTAACCAAGTCCATTGAGAATACAATACTATTCCTCTTGTTATATATGAGGGAAAGCAAGTGACATGGCTACACATTGTGTACCAGCATTTAACCCAAAAATTGCCACATTGTCTTGACTGTAAGGAGTTTGAATTGTTTTAGGAGAATTAATAACAGGACCAGGGTTTGTTTCTATATCCCCAGAAAGATTAGACTTAAAATAATTTACCCTGTGATTCAGATTTTTATAATTATGTATTTGGTACTTAATTAGACCTCCATGCATTCGACTGCTTTGGCTTTGGACTGTTTATTACATGTGGATATTGGTTTTGCATTTTCAGTATCCTGTATTTGTTAGACTTTCGATATTTTCTCCTGACTGCAGAAGAGGGATATTTCATTGTTCCTTTATTCTCACATCTGATTCCATGTGCATATATTTTTTCACAAGCTTTATATGTAAAAAGATGCATTTGGGAAGACTTCGATATGCTTTTTCTAATGCAGGTTCGAAGTAAACGTCTTACTTTCCTAGATTTCTTCAAATTACGTTTAATTCTTTTTTTTGGTATTCTGCAGGGCTCACGATTACAAACACAAATACCATGTGTACGAGGACGATTAAAATAAACAAATTTCTTGTATCGAGATCTACAGTTATGGACTGTATTTATTAAAAAGCTTCATCATTGCTATTATTAAGCTTATTATCACATACAATAACAGATATCTGAGAAGCTTTCTCAAATATGTTACATTCATCAAAGCTATTCATGGCAGCTTTTGTTGAAGACATCATCAACTTTACATAGAAATTAGCCCACAAGACAATTGCATAAACAATAGATAACATTATACACAAAAAACACAGGATTTTGGATCATGTATTTATTAAAAAAGAACATCCATACAACTGCGGTGAAAACAAACATAAGATTCACCTTTCTGATCATGAAATTAATACCATTTGTACTGTTATCATAGCTATGTTCCTTGGCATTGAGTGAATCCAACATGGCATCTTTCTTCACAAGCAGTTTGCATCTATTAGGGTTTTATTCTCCAGTCTCATGGTAGAAGTGCTGTTCAATAGATTGCATAGAATATATGCAGTTTGGTTTCAGATTTAAGATTTTGCTTTTTTCAATAAGTGTACGTTTTTCAACTGAGATGTTGGTATACCTGGCATACAAGGCTTTCATGGCTTTCAATGCATGCAAGGCTTTCACAGCTTTCAAGCGTTTGCAACTTATTCATTCCAAAAACACCGCTCAATAACAGCTTTTAGTGTGGATTGGCTGTGAACAATACTACTTGTGTATGCTTCTGTAAGTATTTTGAGCATTTGCGCCATAAAGCTCCAGGTAATCGTAAACCAAAAATGTTGAACCTCCATTGCCAAAACAACAACCCCAGAACAATTACAGAATGGCTTACAAAAGAGTTTTATAGGCAAAAATCTTGTGGTTCATCAGGTGACCTGGCCCTGTCCATGCATGACAACATCAATCATCATCAAGATAACACTTCTGATCAGCATGTGAACACCTTCATCCTCATTGGATCACAGTTAGTTGTCATGGTGTTGAGGGCCCAATGACCACTGGGCACTATTGCACAATTTTTCCATTTTGTGGCAGAGGAAAAAGACAACAAAAAAACAAAGGTGTTTTAATACTGGGCTACCACAGGTATCCCAGTAAAAACATCATACATGGTACCTTCATCTCACAACTAACACTTGATACTCTGTTACTTCCCCTCTGTGAAGATGACAGACACTGATGACAAAAAGCTGGAAGAAGGCCAAACAGAGGCTGAATATGGAGGCTGCGAGGGACCAAATGCTATGTATGTCAAGCTGATATCCAGTGATGATCATGAATTCATAATCAACAGGGATTATGCCTTGACATCAGGAACAATCAAAGCCATGTTAAGTGGTCCAGGTAAGATCTGTGCAGTACCTCCAAAACCTCCAACAATCAGTGTTGCAAAAAAAAGTTGTGATAAAGTTGACCTTGTCTCTAGTATCTCAGTGGCGTACAAATTTCCTGTGTGACAGAATACTGTGATCATTTGACTCAAGACAATAGTTCGCATACACTGTACAATCAAAAATGCTTCTAGAAAATATGAAAGTGCTTAATTGTTACTGTCAAGTGTAGTCCTGTCATTGGTATTTTTTTTTTATTTTGATATTAGAATGTATGTTACCTGTTACAATATTATTTTAAGTATAGAATTTAAGGATTTAAAGTTCAAATGGCAACCAGGTGGACAATCAGACATGGTTTGATGCTACTCTGATTTACAGATTTAATGAATGTAACCAAAGAAGTTACAATTCATAGACCCAACATTTCGACACTCCTGTCCAGTGCCTTCATCGGGGGTGATCTACACGCTGCAACAAGAGGTCCTTTTATACAATCACTAATTAGCTGCCTTTTTCTGGCGAGGGGTAAATAGGCATCAGGAAGTAAGCCGCCATCACTTCTTTGGTTACATTCATTAAATCCGTAAACCAGAGTAGCATCAAACCATGTCAGAATTTAAGGACTTCAAAATAACAAAATAACGTTTCCAAGAGAGATATTACTTTCATAGAATCGTGTACCTCATCTCAAACTGCTAAATAACAAAATACAAATTTCATGTAACATGAAAATTAATAGATGTTGTTATACTCAATTGTTTCTCACATAGGCCAGTTTTCAGAGAATGAAACCAATGAAGTTTACTTCAGAGAGATTCCGTAAGTACAAAATACGTGGTGCCTTAAAACTTTTAGTCTCTGTCTTCTACAATGACTTTTTTGCCCACTGTAAATACCATTGTGATACTGTCTTCTCTAGCAGTCATTAGCAGAAGTGTCTATGGTAGCTGCATTTATGTGGAATGAAATTCTGTGGATCAATAACTAACAAATTATTGAAATCTAGCTACTTTTATAACTATGTAGCATGATTAGGGGAATTTTTAGGGGTATTTATAATATACATGAAAAAATTATGCATGTCTGATTGATTGGCTGAAAACGAGTGCATTCTCATGTAACATGAGTGCAAAGTTGTAACACAGGTGTAAATTACAAATGGCGTGTGCTGTCAAAATTTATGTTTGTCTTGACTATTTGTGATGTTTTTTCATGTGTATTATTAACAAGTAATAAGATGATTTCTTGTGCAATGTGGTGTCAATAAGCACTTGTAAATGTTTCAAAGACTGCAAATTGCATTTGCCCCTATAGGCTCATGTAATTTTGTTGTCTTGAAATTTACTTTTGCTTATTAACACCAAATTGCACTCAAAATAATGTTATTACCTATACTTTAACACTACATGTAATAGCCCTTGGAGGGTTTTATAGCTCAAATTACCCTTGACGTCCACATGTTAAGGTTGTGATACACTGTTCTTAATAATTGACAATGCTTTGCCTATAGATTTGTTCCAAATTGTTCCTATTTATCTTTCTTATGGCAAACTTCTTTTGGATGCTGCACCTTTTTAAGAAGTTCCCTAAAGATGCCTTATAAAGGCACTATCAAATGAATTAAAATAAGCCTTTTAGTAAATAATTTACTTTTATAAGGATTATTATTTAGTAATCAATGTGGCTATTTTGGACAATTGGAATGCATATTCAGGTGTTCTAGAATTTTGCAGTGCATTTGATATGCCACTGGTTGGAACTGCATTATTTAAGAAATACAACAGACAAAGTATAATTGCTAAAGTATTATATACTTGTTAGTGGACACAGCTCAAAGGCTGGGGGAGGGGGGAGGAGGGCAGAAAATCTTCTAAATAAGTGATTCAGATTAAACACACCAAAGTTAGGATGCTTAAAGTGTGGGACATAAAACAGTTGGGTATTTACAAGGGTGGCATAGGACTAGAACCTGTGACCTCTGCCTTGCTGCTGTATCATGGCTAGTAATATATATCCAGTATTCTGGATTGTGATCTCTTTCCTAGAGGTATGCTTTTTCACATATGGCTTTATGAAGGGAAAGGGTTAAAGCAATGCTTTGCCTGGCCTTTGTTGCTGTATTCTATCCTTGTTAAGGTTGATTAGTTTCAATTTATGTGTGACATATGACATGTTTTATGACTGACAATAGATAACTCTATTACAGTTCACATGTGCTGGCCAAAGTGTGTACTTATTTCATGTACAAAGTACGATACACCAACAGCAGCACAGAAATTCCAGAATTTCCCATTGCCCCAGAGATTGCACTGGAGTTGTTGATGGCTGCCAATTTTCTGGATTGTTGATTTTTTCAGATGAGTGTCTTCGGTGTAGATTATGGTTTGCCAAGCTGTTTTTGCATGACTTGTATTGCTATTATAATCCTAACTGATATTCCATTAGTATCCTTATTGGTATTATGCACATATTTTTATCTTTAAATGTTTACCTCTTTATATAACTCCCCAACAGAAATCTACAGTTGACATAACATTGTGTTACAATTTGGTGGTATGGACACAAACCTATAAATACCCTATTTCCTCAAAATAACTTCATTAACTGCAGTCTCAATTGATCTTTTATGTAACCATCTTCTACTGATCAAGGAAAACAGACAGGTTAACGTTGATAAGCAAGGTTAAAACAAATCATTTTAGGTGCAGTATTACCCAAATAACTGGTATGATCATGAAATTACATTCTATTTTCTGTTTCAATTTACATGTTTGTTGCACAAAAGCAAGTTTGATTACAAGGGAGTGGAAAAGAGGGTTTTCATTATATTTAAATATAACCATTACAAGAGCCTTTTTCACATATGAGATTTACTGTGCAAATTTTTTTAAAAACTGCTTTAAAATGATAACTATACATAAGTCACTATCATAAGTGTAAAATTACAAAAACACATTTTATATTGATGTACTTTTTGTTAACTTTGTTGGCTCGATAAGTGAACCAAGGATAACCTGACTTGTTTTTGTAAAATTTCTGTGAGAAATCCTCCAAAGAAAAACAATAAAGGGTCATAAAAAGTAATTTTAATGATTATGGTTTCAGTGAATTATTATTTGATGCACAGTCATTTTGATTTTTTTATCACAAGAGAAGTTTCAAACTATTTTAGGATAGCTAAGAGTGTAATGTCAAGGATATTGAACCAATTACTCTTTTCAGAATCAACAGAGAATTGTGAAAAGCCCTAAACTATACTAAAGTTATGATGGATAATTGTAAAAAAGAAGAGATTTCATTATCATATGTGGCAGCATTTATGAGGCAAAGAAAGACAGTTATGAACACCAAAGGGAGTGGCAGGAAAGAGGTGTTCTTTTTGGCATGGTCACAACCAGAACCCCAGTTCATCTTTATTTACATTATCATTGTATCAACTTTGTGTCAATGTTCCTATCCTAGCAGTATGCAGAAAGTTTGTTGATATGAACCTATTATGACAGCCTAGCCTGCTACAAGTCTCCCGTAGTCCCATATAGTCTCCTCTCAGAAGGTTTGATCCCTATTGGGAACACTCAGAGTTCTTTCTCTTCAAGTGTGCTTGTGTCATACATTGAATGATGTCATCTTTAAGGATCTCAGTTGTTTTAGAGTGTCTTATGACACTTAGCACCACCAGCATTTTAAGTACCCATTAAATTAAGATGGTTTATGGTATTCCCTCAACATTTCCAATGTCAAAGAGGCTCTTTAATGACAGGAAGAGCTCATCCTCACTACATCCACAAGCAAAGTTTTTTTGAAATAACTAAAGCATGGATCCCATTATCACAAAACACAGCAACAGACAGGAGAACTGTGAGGCAACAAACTGATAAGGGAACAATTCAGCAAAGGATAAAGAATGCATTGCAGCACTACAGATAATGAAAAAAAGCCAATCACAGCATTGGAAACCAACCAATCACTGCAGAGCAGCATGCTTCATAAGATTACATTAAAAAAAGTGATCCTTATCATATGATACCCAGCAGGCATTGGGAACATTGTTTTATATGGGGTAGTTGATTACATTGTGAGACAAATGATAAAACTTGTACTCCCTAACATCAGTATGAATATTCTCCTTACTGTTCTGTATACACTCTTAGGTGCAGACATGGAGAATTTATTTAACAATCAAGAGCTTCTTTATTTTGTGATCATTTCCTATATTCTCTTGACCTTAATGTTTGATTCAGGGGTGATATTGTAAGGAGAAATTAGATGCTAGTCTTTTTTAGGAGGTCAAAGGGTCAAAAATTTAACTTAATCTCACAGGAACTTTTGGTGGTTTTAAAAGATTTAATTACTTAAAGTGGGCAATAACAACAACATTAAAATATTTCATGTATAATTTTATGCATTATGAAGTGGTTTTGATATTCATCTTTACTGAGAAGATCATTCTGCAGATTATTTGCTTTCCATTCTTCAAAAGTCATTTACTCTCAATTTCTGTACTTTTTATGGGTTTCAAGGGGCTGGAGTAAGTTTGCCAGGTGTGCAGTTGTTAATGAAGATAGGTAAAACTTGGGGGGCATTTTAATGATAAATTTATATTTTGTGACTGTCTATTGTATTACTAGAGTTATTTTCCACAGGTGATACCATAATTCAAGCCTCAACTTTCAATTGGAGTTTTTAAGTGTAGCCCTGACCACAGGAAATGGTTTGAGCCCAAGATTTAAACCAGAAAGCACTCTTCTTAGTGATTGTAATTCATATACATGTAGCAAAAACTACTACAACCTGAAAAAAGAAAGTTGCATGCAGCACCAGTAATTAGGTTGATGAATGACATACTGGTTTAATATGGCTTCTAAAGTACACAACTAAGGCAGTAATCTTACCTGGAAATACAGTTGCTTGATCATACTTTAAAGAAACCATCCTATTAACACAGCATATTTATTGTGGAATTTAAACCTCCCACACCTTGTTGTAGCATATAAGAATTGCTGCTGATGCAAACATTTCCTTTCTATTTTATTACATACAATTTTGTACAAAGACAAACCTTTTTTTTAATTTACAAAAATAAATTCATGATATATCATCTCTTTGTTGAGTCTAGGTTTGTTTGCTTTACCATGGTAAAGTAGAACTGTTTCGACTTAAATGAAAGGGTGAAAATGTTTTTTTCACCATGCAAACTGTTCACAGCTGTGACACTGTTAACATGTTGCAAACAACACTTGAAAAACCAATCTAATTTTGTGCACTGTGGTTTAACAAAAATAATTTTCACATACCAAATGTTTATTCACAGGCAAATTCTGATATTTGTGACTCAAATTGACACTCCAATTGACACTCCAATTAGCCAAATTAAAAGGTGATTTTGAGACCCAGATTTTTTTTTTTGTAGGTTGCATATATTTTCTGTACACATTTAAAAATTATACAGTCTCAGAAGTATGTACAAACAATCTATAAACAGTGAATGAACAATTGATAAAAATACTCTTTTAAACCAGGGAAGATGGGAAAACTGCAAGAAAATTTTCTTTATGCAAAAAAAAAATTTTAATACATGATTTTACATTTTCTTTATGTGTAATTTGCTGTATCAAACCCTAAGCAAGGAAGTACTATATTTTCTTTTGGTTTTCATTGTCTTACAGTATAATATAAATAGGATTTTTCACTATTAAATAATAACAAATGCTATATCCATCTTCCATGTGAGTTGTAGATGAATGACTGTTTTCCATAATGCTGTGGTCGATAGGTTGCTAAAACCAATCAAAAAAAGCGAAACTTTAACATTCATTGCACTACTTAAATGAATGCTGTATGAGATGAGTTGCTGGCTTATTTTTAGGGCCTAAAAAACTGGTAAGAATGTGTTGTTCATTTCAAACCTGACCACTACCTGTTTTATGTTACAAGTGTGAACAACTGGACATTTAACCCTTTACACCTTAACATCAGTATGCAAATTCTCCTTACTGTTCTCCATACAATTCCTTGAGTGCTGACAACAAGAATTTGTTTAACTATCTAGAGCTTTAGGATGCACAGCAAGAGTCACAGATCACTCCATGTGGCCTCTTGTACTTTACAGGAATTGACAGCCAAATCTAAATAACATGTACCCACCTGGCCCTGGGGCCTCTTCCTCTCCAGGTGCCCCTCCTGACCACCTACTAGTTGTTGATACAAAAGCTGAGCCAGACATGTAATGTTTAGGGGGGCCTTCATAGTCAACCACATTGTAATGACCAGGTCCTGGCATAGGCTCTAGGGGTGGGAGGGGCATGGCAGGTGCAGAGATACACAAATAGTGCTTGTTACTGCAAGATTAAGGAAGTAATAAAAGTTATTTTGACATCATGTCCTTCATCTCTCCAGTATTAACAATGCAATAAGTTTTTTCATCTCCATTAAACCTTTAGCTGTTTGGGCTTAAGGTTATTAAAGTATGCATAACTTATGTGCATGGAAGATTCTATCCTCTGAATGTTCAAGGTATTTAAACAGTCACACATTTTAGTGAACCATTTATTGGGCTTACACTCAAAAAGCCAAATTGAAATTCAGTTGTTTTGGGAAATTAATGAATATTTAATATTATTCGGCAACTAGCACTTCAAATGCAGCCATGACCACAACAGTTTGAGCCTGGAAAATAGGTCACTCTCTATCTTCCAATGTAAGCAGGGTGTGGGAATTTGCAACACATGGTTTACACAAAACTTTTATTGGGTAAATCATGGTATTGTGAAAATTCTCAAATAAACCAGTTGTGGTTCATAAGGTTGACAGGCCGCAATCTATGACAAATGTTTGCCTTGAACAAGGTCATGAATTGAACATTATTTGAGGGTACAGGTTTTTTACAACTTTGTCACACACCACCACCACTGGATTGGCTCTCAGGAGGTGTCAAACACAGCAAAATTGGTAGATCACTTGCACTTTAGAGCCTGTAACATCTCTTTTGTTCTGAATTGATCATATACATGTAGGGATAGTGAGTGAGTGCCCCCAAGCTGTACTTACTGAAATCCACTCTGCTGCGGCTGTTGCTGCTGCTTTAGTGTTTGTCGTTCTGCTGTTCCAAAGGGTTTGTATGACCCAGGCCCAGGGTATGGTACAGGAGACTGCATCATTTTTCTCTCTGTTGTAGACTTAAAAGGCGCAGTGGCAATTTTGGGTGAATCTGTTACCAGCTTGTCATTGATTGTGTAATGACCTGTGGAAGTATAAATAATTGGTAAATGGAAATCTAAGGCCCACATAGCCACAAAGCATACAGTTTCTCACACATTGTGTACATGCAGTAGCAAAATTATGAATAGTAAAGAAACGAGGAGCATCACTATTGTTTCCGAAAGGGACTCCCTCTCTCTCATGTCCTTTACGCCTAACAGGCATGTAGGGCAGCAATGTGTTCCCTCCACATCTGGCGATCCCTTGCCATGAACTTGATGCCCTCCCAGGTCTTCCCCATCTCCTTTATTTCCTTCTCAACTGTCTGTCGCCATGTGATCTTGGGGCGACCCCGCTTGCATTTCCCTTCCGAAAGGGAATAATCAACCTATCCTTACTATCCTTTCAACCCTTCACGTCCTAACATAAATTTGCATATTCTCCACACTGTTCTCTACACATTTCCTATAATGATACAAACAAGAAGAAATTGTTTGAAGATCAAGAGCTTCTTCAGTTTGCGATCATTTCTGTTATTCTTCTGACCTTAATGTTTGACTCGGCTGTGATATTGTAAGGAGAAATTAGATGCTAGTCACTCTTAGGGGTTAAAGGGTTAAACTCCTCAGCACACATTTTTCAGGTTCCTCTTAAAGAGTAACAGCTAAAGAATAATTTGAGTCATCTAAAGCCAAATTGCTTATAAATTCCATAACTTTTAGTTTCAATTACTTTAGCTCCAGCCAGAAAAATGTTTTCCTAATGTATCAGAACATAATGCTCTTCACATCACCAGCTTCCACCTACATTTTGGTTCTCTAAACACTTCAACTCACAAGATCTGATTTTCAACTCTCCCATCTGCCTGCTAAACATTTCCTTGTAAATTAGTTACTGGTGCAAGAATTTGGTGTTAGATCAAGGCAACAACTTCTACCTGATAACTTTGAGTATTCCCTCTACCCTTTTTCTGAACGATGTACAGATCTTGCAGTGATAAGAAACATGTCAATCACTTCTGGGAGTTAAAGGGTTGAAGACCCAGCTTTATTGATTGCTATACAGTGCTACCCAAAACTCACTTAAAATAGCTGTATGTGGGGTTTTTGGTTATTAGTATATTTAGCTTAAGCAGCATGACTTAATTTTGTTTCACAGTTCAGTTTGACCATGAAAAACTTGGACAAAGTACAAAATAATGACAGAATTTTCTTACATGGAGATGGTCCATAGATTGCTCCTGCACTCCAGTCCTTTGATCTTTTGGATCTATATTCAAAAGTGGAAATTATTCTTTGGGGAAAAAATGGGTGTATCCTGTGATCTATAATCTTTATTTCAATCTCTTTCAAAGAGGTGAGGCTTCTGCACATCCAAATCAATTTCCTCTTACTGTGTATTCTGTAAGCAGTCTTTTTTTTTTTTTTTTTTTTTTTTTGATCCATGCATAAATTGAATGTGATATTTGATATCAGTCCCCCTTATTGTGCAGCTCAAGAAAGTTCACCACAAACCCCATGGGGAAGGGACTACAAAGGTTAAATCTTTACAGGGCACTGGAATTTGAGAAAGAAGAGAAAGGTAATAGACAAAGAAGAATGATAAAAGCCTCCAAATCATATTTCCTCTTAAAAAGTTTTGGGTCCAAATTGAAAGAAAATAACATTCAAACAACAACCTTAATGATGCAACAGATTCAAGTCTTCTTACACTGTACCTGGACTGAAATGCAGCACAGGCTGCAACATTGTTATCATAAACAACTCTTCCTGTTGTGCGACCAATCTGTTGTGCAAAAAAAAAAAAAATAACACGAATACATGGTTATTTGCAACTGAATTACTGTGTTTCACTAATTGTTATTAACTTCCACTACGGAAAAAAGACCATAAATGAAATACATTATAATGAAGTGGTCTAAAAACTATGAAAAAATTAATGTCTTCATTGCAAGGTTACCCAACACTTTGTTGTCAAATATCCATTCTATAGTACAATGTACATTCAATCAGTCTATAATTTACATAACTTGATCATCTGTGAAGTAGCTGTCCAAAATAAATTGTTTTTAAGTGACATTTTGACAACCCCAGTACGAGCCATTGTCAGGTGTGATCATTAGAGCCATAAGTAGAACTTACTTCCATGAGTATTGACATTTTAACATGGCCTTAAAGTCTCAAGATCCAACTCACACTTTTTCTTGTAAATAAGGAGAATTTTGTCTTATTTCAAAATAACACCCTCTAGCTCATAAGCTTCTCTGTTCTTATAACTTGTTAACTAGATAACTAAATGATTGAAATTGCAAGAAGAAAAAATACACTTTAAACATTTCTTGGGATGACAGGGTTAACAATTAGAATGAAATGGGTTACCGTGTACTGATTTGGTGCTGGGAATTGTCCTTTTTTGTTGTCTCTTTCAAGGGCAATGGGAAGATGAAAATTCCTATATTAAGAGAATGGGAAGATATCAAACCAATGTTAAGGTAAATGGAGAGCTAACAATGAATTTAATACATGTAGACTTTATTCTTGACATGTAATTGACTGAAGTCCAAATGATTCAAAAGAGTAAAGTTGAAAATTGATCACCACTGAAAAAGTGTTACACAGTCATGTAGATCAACTCTTAGGATGGGATTGACAGTAGATATAAGACACTGTATTATGCATAAACATTATATATGCATAAAAATTATGATAACTCACTGTTATTTAATTTTCAATTTATACTAAAAATTACATAATTATACCTTGTAACAGAAGATTTGTTGAAATTGTTTTCCCTTGGCACTGAAGGATCATAAAAACCTGACAGAGAGGAGGCAGGTACATGTATCATGATTTTTATCGAAATTATCCCTTAACCATTTAACTCTCAAGATCTAATTGTTAATTCTCCTCTCTAGCTGCTTCAGACTTCCTTGTAAATTAGTTATGAGAATTTGGTGTTAGATCAAGATAAAAACTTCTTCCTGATAAGTTTCAGTATTCTCATCACCTGTTTGCTGAATAATGCATGGATATTATAAGAAGTTAATCACTTCTGGGAGTTAAAGGGTTAACTCCCAAGATCTGATTGTTAATTCTCCCCTCTAGCTGCTACACATCTCTGTGTAAAAATAATGACAGTTGGGTGTTGGATCAACTTCGACCTGATAAATTTGAGAATTCTCATTTCCTGTTTGCTGGATAATGTATAAATACTATAGGGAGAAGTTACATGTTAATCACTTCTTTGGAGTTGAAGGGTGAACATCAACTTTGTAAGGGTGAAATACTAAATCACCAAATCAAACTTTATTAAAGACATGGTGGAAACCATTATGACACACTGATCATGTCTTAAATGTACCTGGACCTGGTCCTGTATTCTGAACTCCTCTTGGAAAACGCTTTGCCTGAGGAAAACAAGAACAAGCATGACATTGCACAACTAGTGATTGACAAGTTTGAATTTGTTTGACAGGAGGAGGAACTTCAATATGGAGATCACAAAGCACTTCGCTTACAAAATACAAAGACTATACTTGAATACAAGTTGCCATGCCTGTGTAATCAGCATTGTTAGATTTGAACAACACTTTGTTCTAGTGGTTTTGCACTTACCTTGGACACAAAACCACCAAATCCTTTCTTTGAGAAGGAAGTGCTTCTAGTTTCACTTGATTTTAGTTCTCCATAAGTCCCAGGACCTGGGTTTACACTCTGCACAAAAATAAGCAAATTGTATCTTTAATCAAGATTTCAACTGATTTTCCTCTCTCTCTTCCTCTCTTGGTCTACCGAAGCGTTGATCAATTTAAGGGGGAGGGAGAGAATGTTAAAGCCTTGAAATGATTGTGCATAGGTTGCATAATAAGAAATTACCTTGGGATGAAAAGTTGTGTCCATCTTTTAATAGTATTATGAGGTTATATGTCAATAAGATGATACTATGGGGAAAAAATGTTCCTGTCCCAGTGACCTACATGAATATGAACTACTTTCATGTGCAGATGTTTATACAATGTAAATGACTCAATTGCAGCTAAATTGAAATTTCTGGCATAAAATTCAAATTGGAATCAAGCAGTACATTTTGTACCTTATGCGTGTTTCATGTGATGAAGTCTTTATGATTTAATTTTGCTAATCCCAACTGCCATAGTCCAATCCCTGTTCTCAAAATCCCACTCAGATTTCTCAGTTCCAAAAGGACACAACTCCCATCTCTCCATATAATTATTTCGCAACTGTGTTGACAAGAATGTACCCTCTACATGACTGCAAAAAGGCGATCAACCATTCATATCCACACCAAGCTGAATTACGATCAAACTTATATGTGAAAGTATTCGGGCACCAATAGTTTCGGCTACAGGTATATCAAATTACATACTTGACTTAGGCAAAATATATAAAAACAGCAATTCTTATTTTAGAAAAGATGAACACACTTACCACATCAAACCCTTCAAAGCGTTTGGATCTAGAAAGGAATCCTTTCTTTTCTGAATTATCACTCACGATTGTCTGATATTTGCTGGGGATAGAGGCCGATGCAGCTGTTTTGCCATGACCTTTTCAATATGGAAAAAGAAAATAATAATAATAATAATAATAATAATAATAACATTACTTTAGTGTATGGCACAAAAATTAGAAGGGAACATAAACAATAAACAACAGCTTTAAAAAAACTGCCGATGTTCATTGAACTATTCTTCGATAAAATGCTTTTAACATACTGGTGTTTACTTTTTATCCTTAATCAACCGAGAGAAAATCGAAGAAACTAAGGCCTCGTCAAACTGTCCAAAATCTATGGATCACTTGATCGATCGAACATGCAAAATATTCTTCACTTTTCTTTTAAACACTCGAACGCGAATAGTTTTGATTATCGTTCGAGAATCATTAATCGATCAATAGTCTATAAATTATCTAAACCTATACCTTTGTGAATCCTTCCTGTTGTTATAATTCCTCCAACAGCTCTCCGTTGCGGCTCCTCAACCTGCACACTGTCCGCCATTTTGCTTTCCAGCCTAAGTCTCCTTGGTAACCAAAGCAAAGCGCTTTGCGACCAGGCCTCCGGATCCTTTGAAATGACGCTTTCAACTAATCGCCACACGACATTTTCAGGAATATTTTTCTATAATCCAATAATAAAAGCGGAAACAGTACAAGTTTATTTCTCTTAAATGTACCATGTATGATCTGGAGAACTAGAAGTAGTCTGAGATTTTTCGCTCACGCTTTCAGTGTGCACATTTTGTAAAAAAAAACCAGACGAGATTTTATTTAAAATATTCATTATTGGATATCTAATCAAATGAAATGAGCTCCAATGAGTCGAAGATGGAGAAAACAGGTGATTTTTCCTTTCTAATAATTTTCTGTTTGAAGTGAGTTGATGAAAACCAAGCAAAGAAAACTTTAATGATGAACGATAGTAAATTTACCGATGAAAAAAGGCCATGTTGCCACTATAATCTAAGGCTTGGAACAAAAGGTCTGTCTAGCTTTACATAAGTTCCCTTTACATTTTAAATCGTATTTGTTTGTAAAACTTAGCGTGAAGAGTTTCGTGCACAGTGCGGCGAAGGAATATTGGTTCAAAAAATGATTTAGATATACAATTTACCAGTATAATCATGTATTCTCGAACGCTAACTTTGCCAAATTAGATGCTTGGAATGGTCAGTGACATCGCGTGCGAAATTGTATTTTCTCAATTATTTACTCAATTTTTTTTTTAAAATTCAAAAACTTTCTCAGTTTAAATGTGCTAAGAATCTCACTAAAATGGTTTTAATGAGCACTTCTAGAGCGTTAAGTCGTTCCAGGGACACTTTTCCTTTCTTATTCAGAGCAAATGAAATACTCATTCCGCTAATCCTATATATTCGAACGCAAATCTTCTTTCTCCTAATTATCATTTGCGCAGAAACAATAGAGGACTTTTTCCCGCCACGTGTACAATGTAGCAGAAAGTCTTATCCAATATTCGACCAATCCTAAGGCTGCATTTAGAATATGATTATTATGATCCAATCACAATGCGTTTAAGTTTGTTTTGAAGTGTGAAAAATGCGCGCGACTAGGAGGAAAACTGACGCGTTAGCGACTCAACAGCTGATCGCTGCTAACAAAAGCTATTAACATGTTCCATGGTCTATTCAGATATACTGCCAGGGTGGCATAAATATAGATGAAAAAAAAAGAGAAAGGTGACCCACTATTTTCTGTACTACGAAAAACCCGGCGACAGCATTGTGCCTCCTTCTACACCTTTGTAGGTGTGAATGAAAATCTCTGAACTGACGAGGAACGAGTTTACGTTCGGCGCATGGATATATGATAAACACAATTTACAAATGAAGGTCTTTTAGTCTTTTACAGCTGACAGAGTCACAGACGAGTTCGGAATTAATCCACACCCGTGAAGAAAACTGGAATTATTTTTAACATTATCAGCAACAGGCCAGCTTTTCTTCTTGGTTTCCTTAAGGCTTCAAATGACATTTTCTTAATTTCCAAGAACTACTTTAGCGGCGAACATTCGTAAAGATGACTGGAATAAGTCAAATACATTTTGGCTGATAAAATCACTGGAGGAAGTCTCATCTTGACGAGTTATTTGCCTTAGATTTGGTAAAGTATAATAATTTGAAAGTCCCACGGTTCTATAGTTATGTCACAGCCGAAAAAGACTCGAAAGACACGCTCGAGATCGTCGCGCGGGAAAACAACTCGCGACGAATCTCGCTTTGGCATTCGTTATTTACATCATCATATGTTCGCGGGAGACACGCCTGGTGATCAACAACTCTGCCCGTATGAGTGCAAATGCGGCGCGTCGATGTCTTCAATTTACAGCAGAAAGACGCTGACTCTGCTCGTAATTTCAATTCTTGTTCTTCTGATCGGCGTTACATTTATGCTGGTCGGCTACCTGATTCCTCGAAGATCAGTTGTTTACTTGGAGAAAAGCGATGGTACTCGAACGATAGTGGATAAAACTGCCATTTCGTTCAACACACTGTTGGACGATTTCACTCTGGTTGGAACAGCACTGGTACCGCTAGGAGCTTTATTATTCTGTGTCATACTAATCGTACCACTCTGTAGTTCGTCTTCGGTTCAGAAGAAAGGGCAATATTTCAAAGCACCAACTGAGGACGCGGCTTCCTCGGTGACGAAGACCAAAACTCCGGAAACTGCGTCAGTCGCTTCAGAGGACGGTCGCTCACTGAGCAGCGCTTCATCTCAATCAACGATTCAAAAAATTCCTGTTCTAGCTCTCGTCCACAACGTTCAACCGGAGCAAAAATCTAATAGTACTGGGTCTTCTGTGGGTAAAGGCAGAGATTACAGAAAGAAAACTGGCAAGTTTAAGGATTCATTTGACGAGGAAGAGGAGGAGGAATAATTTAGCCTAAAAAAATACAACCTGAATTTCCTGTCTTAAAAAATTGGCTGTATATTATTCTTATGATTTAATTTTGTTAAATTCTGAGGATTGATTTTTATGTTTTTCACCATTATCGCTGTTGTAAGTTTGTATAATTTTCAACAGAAAACGAATTCAATGATCCTTGAGTGTCGAATCCAAATTCTCACTCTTAGCCGGTACACTACAAATCAAGATCACAAATGAAATGAATTTCCATATTTTTGTACGAAAAAGAAAATATACCGGCATCTCCTAATTAACATAGTTATTTAAATTTCCGCTTAAGGAGAAAGCTGGGTTTGTATCGGAAGGGAAGCGAAGGATGGAAGAGTGTCACAATATTTGCTCGGGAAAATGAAAACTGTCGAAAGACAAGGAAGCTGGGAGAGGGTGTATTCACCAGTGTCAATAAAGAGGATTTAAATCATTTATACGGCTTGTCTCTTAAGATTTTTGCATAACCAATCACACAAGGAACACAATGTACCAAACAAGACAGCTGTCTAAAAAGAGTGTACGACAGGAAACAGAGAAACAAAAGACAGACGAAAATTTCTTTGTGAAAAAAAAATTGATATGTGTAGCGAATTATAAAGGTGACCTTCTTGAGCTTGAATCATCAGTTAGCGTGTTTGAAACGGATTACGTTACCTAACGTTTTATTTTTCTCGTCTGCTAATGGGTTCAAGTTGCTCTTGAAAGATATTCTGACCTAAGGGTCAGATATGAAGAGATGAAAAAAAAAATCTATTCACGGCCTTGTCAATCGTTGCCTGACTCGAGATGGAAAGATAAATGTAGACATCACATTTGCATCTTGGCGGCGCTAATCAAATCTCATAGACGAAATGCTCTTTACTCTTATAGTAGGTGGAAGTCAAACAGACTTCGGAAACTGAAAGACACGTTGCTAGATCTAACGGTGACTAATTCTTTTAAACAACTCGCTTTGTTGGCCATTCGCCGATTAAATCTCATAGACGAAATGCTGTTTACTGGAAGTCAAACTTACTTCAGAAACAAATAAGGGAACAAAGCGAGTTGTTTAAAAGTTGCAATATCGAATCGGCCTCGAATTTTGTTTTTGTTTTTTGAAACTTTCTTTTCGCAATTGAGAATCAGTAACCGTAAGTTCTAACAGAGAGTTTCCATGGCCTGTTCCAGGGGCAAGCGGGAAAAAAAGCGAGGGGAAAACAGATTTTCTCTCTCATGCCCTTACGTTCATCTCCACCGGAAGGCTTGGCACAGGCTACCGAGGCCGAACCCTGGTAAAATAAAAGAGTGCTAAAGGGATTCATACCGAGAATTAAAAAGCTTGCAGTACCATAACGTTACTCACGGGTCCGAAAAATACTCAACTTATTTGGGTCGCAAATCGGGAAACGCAATTATATCTGTCGAAATGAAAGTGTTTGGAAACATTGAAAGCATTATCAAAACCCAGCCAAGCGTTTCTGAAACTATACAATCCATTGCACAAGACTCATCTGGTTAAGATAAAATGGGAATGAAGAAATATTTCTCTTGTATCACTCCATTCACACCTGCAACAATAAAAAGGCGAAAGGAAAAGAAATCACAGGGCTTGAGGGCGAGCAAGATGGTCCACGGAAAATAAGTCCAAGTTGATTGATTCTAAAAGAGAGGGGAAATGACATTAAACACACCTTCATTACGCTTGCGTCTTAAACACTTGCTGCTTTCAATACTTTCTTTGCCATTTCCAAGGTTGAGTAAACTGTAAACCTTTTCCACTCGCCCCTTCCCCCCCCCCCCCATCTGACACAAGAAAGGGGGTGATTGCGTGATGTCTGCTTTCCACAATTGTCGTCAACAATAAGTTTGTATTTGTTTCCCATAATTCCTTACATCTCATTGGTTCTGAAAACAAAGCCATGCAATGCAGGTTCAATATTACAATAAAGGCTAACATTTCTTGAATACTAGATGTGTCTGATCGCTTTTATGGAAGTTTTCAAAAGTTACGCTCGTTACTTGTCTCAACAGTGATAGCAAATGGCGTCCATCTTAGGGCCATCGGAGGAAAAAACTAACGGTACCAAGTTAGCACGACTGTTAATTGATGGAGGTACACAAGCGCTCAGGAACGTGTTAGAGTCTTTCATACATCCGCCTTCAACACTGCAAATTATGTTAAACAACAACAAGGCGACCCTCGCCAACTTAAAGAGCAGACGTAAATTATATGATAGCCAGTGGGAAAAGCTATTTCCTCCATCGGGTGGCCTACCAGACTCAAACACATTTGATATCACTCTTCTACATTTACTGCTTCGTGAAATCTGTCCCGCTTTGATTGAACCTGCCACAGGATGGCACGAAATGCCGGCAAAAACAGATCACAGTCGTGAAGCGGAAATCGTCCGGATAAAATGCTTGCGAAACAGCCTGTGTCATAGCATTTCCACCGGTGTTCCTAATGGTGAGTTTGAAGACAAATGGAACACAATTTCTCATTCTTTAGTAACCTTAGGGCTCGATCAGCTGGAAATAAGCCGCCAAAAAACCGAAGACATCGATCATGGTACACAACGACGAGTGGAAGAAGAAGTGGAGAAATGGAAACTTGAAATCGAACCGAGAGTGCAGATCTTAGAGCACGAAGTACAGCAGCTCAAAGATGGGCGAATTTCAAGTAATAAACAGCCCATTTCAGAGGTGGGTGAGTCTTTTGAGCTTCTCAATTGTCTTCCAGATGAGGTTCAAGATGTGTTTGGCCGCTCGGATGAAATTCAACGAGCTGTAAAATTTATTCAAAGCGGAACAGTCTCCATCGTTTCCTTAACTGGTGGACCGGGCTTCGGGAAGACCACTGTGGCCAACAAAGTGGCCCACGAGCTTGCCAGACGCGAAAACAGCCGAAGTGTGTTATATTGCTCACTAACATTCCAATCATCACTAAACGATATATTTACCAAAATGATTCTTACCTGTAGCAAAGGCCTTTCTCAGCCGCCAGAGCATCCAAAACACTGGCTTCTGAACTGGAGCAAACAGCAATCTAGGAAAGTCACATTAATTCTAGACAATGCAGATCGTGTCCTCGAGTCTGAAGATCGAAACCAATTTGTTGGCATGTTACGTGAAATGAGGACCTTGTCAAGCCAAAATCTAACTTTTATTACTACATCTAGAAAAATAGTGGATGCCCCCAGTCGCGATTCAAACATCAAAACCATAAGATTGAATTCTCTCCCTTTGCATGAGGCAACCAAGGTTCTTGTTTCAAAGGTTGGCGATAAGGAAACGAGAGAGGAGCTCTCCCAAACGGAAAAAATGATCTCACTATGTGGTTGTGTCCCTTTAGCCCTTTGCATTGTTGGATCTTTGCTTTCGGACAACAAAGAGGAAAAATTAATCGCAATTCTCGAAAAGAAACCTCTAGATGTTCTTCAGGACAACAATTTGTCGGTTGAAAAGGCCATTAAGACATCATTCGATCTCTTAAGTGAAGCAGAACGAAAGGCGCTGGCAATCATGTCTGTATTTCCAGGTTCATTCGATTCAGATGCAGCTGAGGCTGTAATTACAGCCGTAATGGGTACTGAAATTCAGCCAGTTTTGATTCTCCAATCGCTCAGAAACAGGTCTCTCTTGGAGCAGCCAAGTTCATGTAGATATGAAATTCATCAGCTTATCAGAATGTTTCTATCGAAACATAGTCACGTCAAGTATTCACAGGCTGTTGCTCAAGGTGAACAAGAAGCCTGTGCACACTTCATTTGTCGACTTGCTTTCAATGCCAATATGTACTGGAGCAAAGATAAATGCAGAGAATCTGTTTTGGAATTCAGCAAAGACAGACACAACTTCGAGTATTTCTTGGAAATTTACATTCGTGATGCAGATCCTCTTCAGTGTTCCACAAATATATTTTTTGAAGACTTTCCACAAAAGTGTATGTATTTAGAAATGTGCCTTTTACCTAACTTCTACATAAAAATTTTGGAAAAACTCTGGAAGTACTTCCACTCAGTAAGTCACCATGTTCACATCGTTGAAGTTTTGTGTCTTCTCGGACATGAAAAGAGAAAGGTGGGCAAACTAGCACAGTACAGCTATCTGATGAATCTTGCCAAGGGAGTTTACCTTACTAATTACAAAGCTTTCAAAACAAACGGTTTGTCGCAAGTATATTTTTTCAATAGCTATGCATATTTTCTTTCGGTACTAAGGCTTCCCAGTGGATCGGAAATGGTCTCCAAAGTCTATGAAATAGCTTTAATTTTGTGCCGTAAAAACCTCAAAGAACATCCAGAGACTTCAGCTACTTTGCAGTACATTGGTCGGCATAGCAAAAGTAGGAAACATCTTCAGGATGCAATGGACATGTCTACCCTGTGCCTCGGAGAACATTCCATGACAGCTCAGTGTCACAAAGCCATCGCAGACTTCTACTTTAGACCTTCTTTCTACAAGAGGGATAACACAGAAATGGAGAAATGCTTTGAGCATTATGGAGCTGCACTGACTTTGATGAGAAATCTTGGTGTTGGTGACCACAAGGAAAGCATTTTGACATTGAAAAACTATGGGGTTTGCTGCAAAAACAAAGGAAATTTTCAAGAAGCAATAAGTGTTCTGACCAAATCAAAAGAAGTCGCTGATATTGAATTGGAAGAGGACCACAAATGGAAAGTGATGATTGAAACACACCTGGCCCTTGTGTATGACTGCACTGGAAATGCAGAAAAAGCGGAAAAAATCATGAGGAAAGCTCTGAACATGAATCAACGCCTCAAACAGTCAATCGATATGTTAGCAAATAAAAGAGAGATCCTGGAATTCCTGAGGCGTCATCCTCAGGTTTACCAAGAGCCTCTGATGAGGTGGAATTCCCGTAGTTAGGGTTAAAAAGTGTGTCAGTACAATTATCCTGTAGTTTTTCATGAGGTCAAACCAAGGTTGTGCCTCTTTAGGCAAAGACCGTAACCTGATACAAATGAACTGTTCAAGTCTTTCATTCGGTTTCTACTTCGCGTGAGTGAGAACTGTCTTCCTTTCGTTTAGTATAGCTAATTACCTGCTGCCGGTAATTGCAGGTGTAAGTTTTAGAGATCAGTCATTAACACGGATAACTTCTTGTTTCTTTTTACTTTAATTAAAGGACTGGGTTGTTTATTGTTTCCATTTATTTCTCGTGAAGTTGAGGTATACAGACTGCTGTCAGACCGTCAGTTCTTTCCTCTCTCCCCCCCCCCCCTCCGCTGCCCCTGAACATGACTGCCTTAATTCTTTACCTGGGGCTTAAAAACAAAAGGAACCTTATAAGTCAAATAGCTGGATAGGTGTTTATCCTTTCACCCCTAAGAGTGACCAGCATCTAATTTCTCCTTACAATATCACCCCTCAATCACGCATTAAGGCTACAAGAATAAAGGAAATGATCACCAACTAAAGAAGATTTTGATTGTTAAACAAATTCTCCTTGTCAATACCATAGGAAATGTATAGAAAAAAGTAGGGAGAATATGCCTACTGATGTTAGGGTGTAAAGGGTTAAATAAAGCAGCTTTTACTTGTAACTGGAACCGTTTCTGTGGTAGTGGTCCATTATCACACATTTCAGTGGCATCGACAATTTGTGTAACATACCAGATAGTAGGACGTAGTAGGAAAGCCAAGATATCGACTTGAGAAAGTCGTGATTGCAATTCAGTTGATCCGGCCATTCTTCATTTGAAAGTCAGAAAGGTAAAGGAAGAAAAATAAGGGCATGACCAGGAAAAGAATACACAATTATTGGATATCCAAAATAATCAGCCGAAGCCGCCTTACTTCGACCTCGATTATTTTATGGATATCACAAAACCGAATCTAATAATTGTTTTATTATACATTGAACGAAAAAATAAATTGTCACGACAGTAAGCGAAACTGAGGATTTATTTCTTAACGTGTAAAAATTTACAAATAGCAGGCAAGACAAAGCGCGCGAACTTGACATGATTATCCTTAGAAATCATGCACTGCGGTCATACATGACACGATTACCCGTGATCCTGAGTGTTTTTGACATGATTATTGTACAATCCTCAGCTAGATGACGTTTAGCAAACTGCAAACCACGATAAATCTGTAAATACATATTTGGAGGGAAATAATGTGTATGTTTGTTGAGGAAGTATATATATTTAAAGAGAGTAAAGAGATACTCGCGTAAGCAGCGATAAAATCAAGACTGCTGGAGGTAGGAGACTCCAGTTAGGTGAGGTAACCCGCTCTGTCGTAATCGAAAAATAACCCGCGTTAATACACAGTCTTACAACCCCTGATGCAGGGTTGAAGTTTCTCTGGGTGGTTGTTATCAATATATTAAAATACATTCATAAATTGCTCTTTTAGGTGCGTTAAAACGGTTTCTGAAATTTCTTTCCTGATTCAAGGTGAGCAATTTAATAATGGTTTGCATCTGATGCCGTGTGTCATATCATGCACGCAGTTATCCCGTGCGTGTCTTGCTGACAGACGATACTCTGGGCAACCCGATACTTTCGTGCTGCTTATCATTACGGCATTAGGTAGGAATTGCTACTTTGAACCAGTAAATATCGCACTTGATAACTGAATATTTTAATTATTCATTTTGTTAGAACACTGAGTTAACAAAAGAGATAAAAGCTAAAATGAGAAGAAAGCTGCACTTGTGTGATGGACAGTATGTAATTTTATACAGATTAGATGAAAGACAAATAATCTTGAAACTCTACCCATGCGTACTAGCTCAATTGCTATGAGAGAAATAAATCATGCGTTAAGAGTTTCTCAGAAAACAGGAAGTGATTCATCATTCACGGTTTCTGAGAATATTATCACCCTGTTCTTGAGCTGTCTATAAATCGTACTGATTATTGAGAGTAATTTAGCATGCTTCCCTAAAGATACAATCTTGTCCACCGATTTTTGTAAAAACATTTAGACAAATTCAGAAAACAAGATCTTTCCGACACGTTTACGAGAAAGAACATGGCGGCGAGTGCAGCCTCTTGTGATCTGTCTACTGGATCGTCTGTGTACGATACATCGGAGGAGAAAACCAATGGCTTAAGACTCGTGCGACTGCTGATCGATGGAGGAACAGCCATTTTGCGCAATTTTTTGTATTCTGTTTACCCACCGGAAAATTTACAGGTCGTCTTAAAGAAGAATGAGGCAAAGCTTCAAAGGCTAAAGTCGAAAGGTGTAATATTTGCAACCCAATGGGAAATGTTATTCCCTCCCTCAGGTAATCCACCGAACGCAGAAGTGTTCGACATCACACTATTGCATTTACTGCTCCGTAACATTTGTTATCTTACGGCGCCTTCCACTGGATGGCACGAAATGCCTCCGCACGATGACGATAGTCCTGAAGCCAACATCGTCCGGATCAAGTGTTATAGAAATGACTTGTCTCACCATGCCTCTACCGAAATTTCAAACGGCGAATTCGAGGATATTTGGACTAAAGTATCTTCAGCTATTGTGGCACTTGAAGGAAGTGTACTGAGGAAGAAAATCGAAGCCCTGAAAACCGACCCCATCGATCGCAAAACTCAGCAGCATCTGGAAGAGAAAGTCAAACAATGGAGGAAATTAGAAGAACAGGGTTCGAGCGACGCAAAGTCTGATATTCACAGTTGTTTACCAGACAAGCTACCAGATAAACTACTATTTGGTCGATCCCAAGAAACACAGCAAGTCATAGAGATCATTGAAGAAGGTACAACTCCCGTTGCTTTGATCACTGGAGGACCCGGATTTGGAAAGACAACTGTAGCGATCTCAGTAGCTCACGAATTAGCAAGAATCGAAAACAACAGGGCTGTGCTGTTCTGCAGTCTTTCATCAAGAGTAAGTTTAAATGAAGTAGCCACAGAAATGATCCATTCATGTGGAGAACTTCAAACGAAATTGCCAGAGAATCCAGAGCAATGGCTCAAAAACTGGAGTAAACAGATTCATACCTGTGTAACCTTTGTCCTCGATCATGCAGATGATATCCTCGACTCTAACTGCAGAAAACAGTTTCTAAGCCTGTTGCGTACCGTAAGAATGCTGTCGGAGCAAAGAGTGACTTATGTTATTACCACAAGGAAGACTTTCAAAGATTCCGAAATGCAAACTGATGAGGTAAGACTTAACCCGTTATTACCCGTAGAGGCAAAAAATATTCTTGTCTCTCGCGTGTACGACAAAGAGGTCCGAAAAAAACTGAGCAAGACAGAAGAAATAGTCGAGCTATGTGGCTTTGTTCCTTTGGCACTCTGCGTTGTTGGATCCTTGCTTTTAGATTTCTCAGAAGAAAGGCTTATTAAAAACCTCAAAGAGAAACCTTTGGAGGTTCTGGAAGATGACCAGATTTCAGTAAAAAATGCGATTAAGACTTCATTCGATCTCTTGGAGAAACCTGAACAAGATGCTCTCGTTCTCATGTCTGTATTTCCGGGTTCATTTGACTCAGATGCTGCTGAGGCTATTGTGGAAGCGTGTGCGAACTCTAGAACGCTGCCTATTTCGATCCTCCGTTCCTTGAAAAACAGGTCCCTCGTCGAGCAGCCAAGTTCCCAAAGATATCAGTTGCATTCACTGATTAAAGCCTTCGCTAAAAATGTCTGTACATCAGCACCTCTGTTAGCTGTGGGAGAGAAAGTGGCATGTGCTCATTACATGTGTCGCCTCGCAAAAAATGTCAATCTCTTTTGGGGTAAAGACACTTGCAAACAGTCCTTCGACGCCTTTGATGAAGATAGACAAAATTTTGAGCACTTCCTTCTGGCCTACACACAAGGAAGGGAGAACGGCGATATTGCTGTCATGGACTCCTGTGAAGAGTTTCTTGCCAGTCTTCCCCAGAAACTAATGTACCTTGAGAAGTGTGTTCTTCCCAGATTTTACACCGAGTTCTTAACGAAGCTAAATGGAACCATCCATCCAAATACTCACCCTGAGCACAAAGTGGAACTTTATTGTCTTCTTGGACATGAAATTAGAAAAGAAGGAAAGAAAGAAGAATACGAGGTCTGCATGGAGGAGGCAGAAAAGCTGTATTTGGAAAACAAAACCAAATTCGACGAGAACCCTTTGTCAGAGGTGATATATCTCAACAGTCATGCTCGTCTTATCTCCAAGGAAAAAGATACCCGACAAGCCTAGGGAGGTGTACGAGAGAGCACTCAAAATCTGCGAGCAAAAACTCCCTAATCATCCTGAACGGGCGGCAACATTTTTGTTTGCTGGAAGAAATTCCAAGCGCCGAAATGAATACGAGCGTGCTGAAGAACAGCTCAATCAAGCTTTGGACCTCTCCAAGAAGTGTCTCGGTGAACACATTATGACTGCTCAGTGCTTTAAAGATATCGCCGACTACCTGTTCTTTGCCAAGAGAAAGTTACCAAAAGGTGAACGAAGTTTTGATGCTGTTCTTTCATATTACGAAAAGTCTCTGGAAATGTTAGAACATCTGGGCAGGGATGGCCACAAGGAGACCATTCTAACTCTGAAGAACTGTGGATCCTGCCACAGTAGCAATGGTAACTACGAGGAAGCAAGAAAGTTTTTGGAAAAAGCGGAACGTGTTGCCGAGAGAGAACTGGAGAACGATCATAGGTGGAAAGTAATGGTGAAGACAGAGAAGGCCCTTGTGTTTTACAAAGAAAAAAAAGAAGAAGAGATGATAGAGGCAATGCAAAATGGACTAGAAATGTGTTACACACTCGGAATGACTGTTGAAGACCTAGGCAACAGGTATCAGATCCGGGAAGTTCTAGACCGTCATTCTGAGAAATTTCCAAAGGATAAGTACCCTCGCTGAAAGGAATGGACGCTCTTTTCATCCTGAATGAAGAATGAATCGACGAGGAACTTTAACTGAGTCCTTCACTGAACAACTGACTTCACATTATCTCTGACTTGAAGATCGGTATGTTCCTTTTTAAACTCATAATAATAAATCCACCTCTCCTAAGTTATTTTGCATAATGAGTTTCGAGCAGCGCTGCTTAAGGAGAGTGCTTTTTGTAGTATTTTGGAATAATTAAATGAGGATTAGAAGCATGCATGAAAAGAACAGCAAAGTGTATATGATCGAGTACTGACTATTCAGAGCTCTGATAATTAATGGAATATCTCGAGCACTTACTGCCTAACGAGAGTTTTACTATTCAAAATTTACTAACGCAAGATTTGTTTTGATTTCATTCAGAATTATTTGTTCGTATCATAACTCAACCGGCCACTTTACTTTATTTCATGGTAATAATTTTGAGGGTAATTGAAGAAACGTAACCGAAGAGACTCGTATTTTTTAATTTTTCTTATACATATTGTAGACTCGAGCGAAAAAGCAAAATTCTTTTGAGCATTATCAGTTACTCGTTATACAAATTTGTTTGACTGCGTTCAAGTAGAAGTGTTCCGAAGATTGTACTTGTCTTTGTCGGTTGTCACTTTCACAACCAAGCTTTCTGTCAAACTTACCAGGTTGCTTAAATGTATCTGAGGATGATGTTTAGCGAATTTCAAACTCATGTCTGCGATATTATTTCTCCAACATGAGTATGTCCTCCTCTCCACGAACTTTTGCAGATTACTTTTCTTTAATCTCAAAATATTACGCGAGGAATCTTGAATTTGAATCACCACTTTTACCGTGTGATTTTTGGCGTAGGAAAATTAAGTATTTTCAGAAATGTTACAAAAGAGCAATTATATCTTTTAAAGGTAAAAGCATTTAAGTTTTTTTCTACTGAAAAGAATGACATATTCTTTGCTCTTTTGCTGTTAAATTTCGACTGACGTGCTGAAGAAATATTTGAAATGTGCCTAATGGTGATGGATAAATATCATTACAAATCACCGGTAGCAACAATAATTAAACGTGTGAATAAAGATTCTATCAACGAATACATCGTGTTTTTAATGAGAAGGTATAGTTCAAGGGGGTAATAGGATATTTTGCGCAAGCTGTTTTCGTGAATTCTCAGGTATGAACAAAAATAAGGAAATAAAGAAAATCAGATTTGTGGAGATAATCCCGTACAACTAAAGCAAAACCAGAAACACTATTCGCTGTTCCATGATACATGTTTTATTTCCACTATTAATGACAGACAAACAAATGCGAACTTTATCGTGGGATAGTTTGGAAGACTGAAATGAGAACCTTGACGAGAACTCTCGTCCATTCGCTTCTTAAATCTTTGGTACAAGCGGGACCAATATGTAAGTGCCTTTGTAACTTTGTTTTCCTCAGTTTAGTTTTCCAGCATTGGGTGAAAGTATGCAAACAGATATTTTGTTGTATTGCCGTACAACATTTCGTGGAAATTTCTTGGTTTCCAAGAATCCTCTAGGTCCTTATCTTCTAGACAACATGTTTATCCGCTTCTAATATCCAGAGTGAAATGGTGTCATGTTCTGGGTCACGCCTAGCATCTTTTCAGTTTTGTGAAGACGGCTCTTTTCATGTTTTTCAAATTTCATGCGTTTAAACCTATAGGCATGCGCAGTTGGACTTATCACAATGAGCGCGCTACCGAAACTTCGTACTTTAACGTAGTTTGTATAGGTTTATTTGTATTTAGTTCATTGTCATTTTAATCTCGTTATCGGCGTTAAGGCTAAGTTTTTTTACACGCTATTTTTGATTATGTATTTTGCAACATTTCATTAGATTGATAGACCGTCGTTGTTTCATTGTTTCAGTTTGATTGATTGATTGTGAGATTGATCGCGATTTTGATCGTTGATTGTGGTTCGTGGTCGATTGCTTGCAAGATACAAGATTCGTGTAAACAGTCAACTTTGGTCCGTTATTCTTCAATCTCGTGGGATGTTCGAGGCACCTTGATACGTTATTACCGCATTACTATGCAGTTTCTAAGAGTTTGTCGTTGTGATAATTTGTTCTTAGTCTGTCAAGTTTCCGTGAAAAAGCGCAGGAATTTGTTGTGAAACACGAATCTCTCAGAGCCTCTTTTTGCTTCAGTAAATACCGCACTTGATAACCGAATATTTTACTTCAGTCATTATTTTCGAGCCCTTTGTTACTGGAAGAGACAAACAAATTAAATTTACATCAAAGACAGAATGTGTCTAAGTTTATACATTAAAATTGATCTTAAATGTCCAACCGTCCATATCTGCTAATTGTTTTGAGAGACAACGGCTTTCTTGGAAAGAAAGCAACTCTGTAAAAACTTCTAGAATTTTGGGGCCCTGTTGTCGAGCGTCTATAAAAATCGTATCTCTTAATGATAGCAATTTCGAGTGCTTCCCCAAAGACGTGATCATGTTTACCCAGAACAACTGCAAAGCTGAAGTCAACCCACTATTCCATCGTTGAAACATATCGGCAGATCTGTTCTAGTGTGAAATTTCACGGAGTCAAGGGAATGAATTAACATTCCCTGTTTCTCAGAGTGCTGGCGAAACCGCAAAAGCAGTGGCACGAAGACTGGAGTAAACAGATTCAAACTTAACGCCCATGCCCAGAACAGCAATACATTTACGTATTAACCGTTACTGGAATTAATTTCCTTCAGAAATCCTACTACATATCCTTTGCTTTTCATGACTGTTTTCCTTAACCTTTCAAGTATCTTTCCTGGTTTCTTAATTGACATTTGATGTTGATTTGCACTTCGAGCCTTATGTCTTATCATGCATGATTTAGCCCGTGGGATGTTCGAGGCAACCTGATACGTTATTACCGCATTACTGTGCAGTTTCTAAGAGTTTGTCGTCATGATGATTTGTTCTTAGTCTAGCAAGTTTCCGTAAAAAAGCGCAGGAATTTGTTCTGAAAACGAATCTCTCAGAGCCCCTTTTTGCTTCAGTAAATACCGCACTTGATAACGGAATATTTGACTTCAGTCATTATTTGAACCCTCTGTTACTGAAAGAGTCAAACAAATTAAATTTACATCAAAGAGAGGAAGTGTCTAAAGATTAGACATTGAAATTGATCTTGTATGTCCAACCGCCCATATCAGCTTATTGTTTTGAGAGACAAAGGCTTTCTCGGAATGAAAGAAACTCTATAGAAACTTCTAGAGGTTTGTAACTCTGTTGTCGAGTGTCTACAAAAATCGTATATCTTAATGAAAGCAATTTCTAGTGCTTCACTAAAGACGTTATCTTGTTTACCGAGAAAAACTGCAAAGCCGAAGTCAACCCACTGTTCTATTGTTAAAACATATTTGGAAATTTGCTCTAGTGTTGGATTTCGCGGAAATAAGGGAACCAATTAACATTGCCTGTTTCTTACGATGCTGGCGCTCCGTTGGGTAGCTATAGATTAAAGGTTTCTCAATTCATTCTATTATTTCAGTGGGTGCGGCCTTGTCTGTTCAGAGTTTACACATAGCTGGCTCTATTTTAAAATCGAAGTAGAAGCTCTCCAACATTGAGGTGAGTAATGTTTCAGAATATATTACATGTGGATCGCAGACACAAAAGTTGCTGTAGTAACGGCTCTCGGAAAGAAAGCGACTCTGTAGAAACTTTGGAGCCCTGTTGTTGAGCGTCTATAAAAATCGTATGTCTTAATGATAGCAATTTCGAGTGCTTCTCTAAAGACGCGGTCTTTTTACCCAGAACAATTGCAAAGCTGAAGTCAACCCACTATTCCATCGTTGAAACGTATCGGCAGATCTGTTCTAGTGTTGGATTTCGCAGGATTAAGGGAACGAATTAACAATGCCTGTTTCTTACAATGCTGGCGCCCCGCTGGCGCCCCGTTGAGTAGCTATAAATTAAAGGTTTTTCAATTCATGCTATCATTTCAGTGGGTGCGGCCTTGTCTGCTCAGAGTTTACACATAGCTGGCTCTATTTTAAAATCGAAGTGGAGGTTCTCCAACATTGAGGTGAGTAATGTTTCAGAACATACTACATTGTGAGACAAACGAATGCACAGCTCTTTGGAAAGTATATTTTGCCACGATGGCAAACTGCAATTTATTTACGATATAAGTGCTATAATGAATAGAAACCAGACAGGTTTATGTCGGTATTGACGGAGGCTCGAGTTTGTATCCAAGTTCGAGTACGCGTTGGACTATAAGTTACGTTTCGAGTCAATTGAAAAAGTGTTGATGGGTCTGCAAGTGATTTTAAATCCTGTCTTTAGCGGCATTTTTTTTTCACTGTCCTGAAACAGATGATTTCGTTCCTAAAACAATTTGATAAATAAATTGGTCCTTATTTCGTTTCATCTCTCTTTTTACCGTATGAGACCAAAGCTAACTCATGTTAGATTTACTATCAGATGGCACTGAACTTTTGTTTCGCCCTATGTTTATATGCCAGGACTGTTACTAATCGTTAAAACAATGCGGACGTTAATCTCGCATATGATTGGGTTGAGTAATGAGCCACAATTGCATGTCTACCAAAAGCCCGATTCCCGTGAAGCAGATTATCCGCATTCGATTACGTTTTGCTTGAAAAAGGGATAAGATGATGACGGATTTTTTGAAACGTTAGCAGTTTATTCCAATGTACCATGCCAGGCGTCAGCCCGTGGGATGTTCGAAGCACCCTGATATGTTATTTTCGCATTAATGTCCAGTTTCTGAGAGTTTTTCGTCACTATAATTTGTTTTTTAGTCCGTCAAGTTTCCGTGAAAAGCCGCTGGAATTTATTGTGAAACACGAATCTCTCAGTGCCCCTTTTTGCTTCAGTAAATACCGCACTTGATAACCGATTATTTTACTTTAGTCATTATTTCCCAACCCTGTGTTACTGAAAGAGTCAAGCAAATTAAATTGACATCAAAGACAGGGAGTGTCTAAAGATAAGACATTAAAATTAATCTTAAATCTGCAACCAACCATAACAGCTAAATTGTTTTAAGAAACAAAGTTACTGTGTAGAAACTTATAAAAGTTTGGAGCTCTATTGTCGAGCGTCCACAAAAATCATATCTCTTAATAAAAGCAATTTCGAGTTCTTCACTAAAGACATGATCATGTTTACCCAGAACAATTGCAAAGCTGAAGTCAACCCACTATTCTATTGTTGAAACATATTAGGAAAACAAGCAGATTTGGATTGAAAATTTTCCGGGATAGAACGTCTAATGTTTCATAACCCAAATATATTTAGTTACAACAGCAATGGAGTCGCCAGTGTGATGAACTACTGTTAGAAGTATGCAGGCGTAAATTGCCGGGTTATAAATAAGCGGCGAACATAGGCAGGTGCAATTAAACTTATCATAACGAGCGCGCCACTCATGATTACCTAACAATATGCGCATTCGGAGTGTGGTCACTCATTACGCAGCCTTTGAACATTTAAGTTCTCGGTTCGAGTAAAAGTATTAAAATAGGCTTCTTTAACCTAAACTTATCGTTGCAACGAGTTCACTGTTTGAGGCAAGGATCTGGCCATTAAATTTGACAGTTTTATGTCAATTCTACTCGAAAATTAAAAATAACCCCTGGCTTTTAATCCTCTCAAGAAAGAAGGAGTCTCAGAGCCTTCCTTTGAGGCATGCATGAGTCAAAAACTTAACAGTTTTCTCTTACGCAAGATATTGATTTATTGTGAATGATGTACCTACATAATATGATCCATTCGTGTGTAGCAGTTCAAACGAAACTGCCAAAACAGTGACACGAAGACTGGAGTAAACAGATTTAAACTTAATGCCCAGAACAGCAATACATTTATGTATTGACTGTTACTGGAATTAATTGCCGTCAGAAATACTACTACATATCCTTTGCTTGTTCATAACTGGCGTTAGCCCGTAGGATGTTCGAAGCAACCTGATAAGTTATTACCGCATTATTGTGCAGTTTTTAAGAGTTTTTCGTCACGATAATTTGTTCTTAGTCTGTCGAGTTTCCGTGAAAGAGCGCAGGAATTTGTTGCAAAACACGAATCTTTCAGAGCCCCTTTTTGCTTCAGTAAATACCGCGCTTGATAACCGAATATTTTACTTCAGTCATTATTTTCGTACCCTGTGTTACTGAAAGAGTCAAACAAATTAAATTTACATCAAAGGCAGGAGATGTCTAAAGATTAGACATTAAAACTAATCTTAAATCTTCAACCAAACATAACAGCTAAATTGTTTTGAGAAACAAAATTGCTGTAGTAACAGCTTTCTCGGAAAGACAGCAATTCTGTAGAAACTTCTAGAAGTTTGGAGCCCTGTTGTCGAGCGTCTATAAAAGTCGTATCTCTTAATGATAACAATTTCGAGTGCTTCTCTAAAGACGTGATCATGTTTACCCATAACAACTGCAAAGCTGAAGTCAACCCACTTTTCCATCGTTGAAACATATCAGCAAATTTGCTCTAGTGTTGGATTTCGCTGAAATTAGGGAACGAATTAACATTGCCTGTTTGTTAGAATGCTGGCGCCCCGTTGAGTAGCTATAAATTAAAGGTTTTTCGATTGATTCTACCATTTCAGTGGGTGCGGCCTTGTCTACCCAGAGTGTACACATAGCTGGCTCTATTCTTAAATCGAAGTAAAGGATCTCTAACATTGAGGTGAGTAATGCTTCAAAATATGCTACATGTGGATCGCCTCCGAAGTGAGTACATCGTGAGACAAACGATTATATTGCTCTTTTGAAAGTATTATTTTCCACGATGACAAACCGCAACCTATTTACGATATAAGCACTATAATAAATAGAAACCAGACAAGTTTATGTCGGTAGAGAGGGAGGCTCGAGTTTGGATCCAAGTTCGAGTTCCTGTTGGACTTCGAGTTACGTTTCCAGTTTAATGAAAAAGTCTTGATGAATCTGCAAATGATTTTAAATCTTCTCTTCAGCGGCATTTTTGTAACTGTCCTAAAACATATGATTTCGTTCTTAAAACAATTTGATAAATAGATTAATCCTTCTTTCGTTTTATCTCTCTTTTTACCGTATGAGACCAAAGCTAACTTTTGTAAGATTTACTAATGACCGCACTGAAATTTCGCTTTGCTTCTATGCAAGGACTATTACAGACTTTTAAAAACAATGCGAACGTTTATCTTGCATATGATTGGGTAGAGTAATGAGCCAGAACTGCATGGCCACTAAAAGCCCTTTTACGATTCCCGTGAAGCAGATTATCCGCATTCAGTTACGTTTTCCTAGGGAAGCGGAAGAGATGATGAGGGATTCCTTAAAACTCTAGCAATTTTTCCAATACATATGGGCGGCTCGATATTTGGACGAGAAAGATTTTAAAATTGAAGACGATCGAAATTGTTCAGGCCTTACTTACTTGTTCAGGTCTTAGCAGCAGTTAGACATTTCAGTTACTAGCGTTAGCTTCAAAAGATGGCTGATATTACAAGCAGAACTAAATTAAAAAATTTCCGGAATAGAATGTCTACCACGTCATAACCCAAATATATCCAGTTACATCGGCAATGAAGTCGCGAATGTGACTAACTACTATTAGAAGTATGCAGGCATAAGTTACCGGGTTATATAAAAGCGGCGAACATAGTCACGTGTAATTGAACTTATCACAACTCTTCCGAATTAGATGCTTCAGAAATGAGCTGTTCCACGGGCCCTCAACAGGAATTGCAAAGGTTGAATTCGAGAACAAGTGGGAAAAGATTGGGTCGTCTTTAGAGGAAACTGAGATTTATGTTGTATGAAAGAGAATCAAAGAGGAAATGGAGGCGCTGAAGAACAATCCCATTGATCACGATACAAAGCGACGTTCGGAGGAACAAGCCGAAAAATGGAACAAAGTACAGGAACAACAGAAGAGTAGCCTTCGCCACTGTCTACCGCGCGAAATACCAGAGGAACTTGTATTTGGCCGCAACAAACACATAGAGCGTATCAAGAAACTGGCTGAGGGTGGGAAAACCCCAGTTGTCCTGATTACTGGTGGACCTGGATTTGGAAAGACGACTGTGGCTAAAAGAGTGGCGCATGAATTAAAAAAATCAGAGACAAAGGTAACTGTGCTGTTTTGTAGTTTACAAACGAAGACAGATTTCAACGAAGTGGTCGTAGGTATGATCAACTCGTGTGGTAAAGCCAGCACGCAAGTACGAGAGAAACCGGGACAATGGTTAACAAACTGGAGCATACATGTCCCAAACCAGGTCACGTTTGTTCTTGACAATGCAGATGGCGTCCTCGAGTCCAGCGATCGAGAATCATTTATAAGCATCTTATCTGACATGAGAATGTTATCGGTGGAAAAGGTAGGATTTGTCATAACTACCAGGAAAACCTTTAAGAATACGGACTTGCAGCCCCTCGAAGTCAGATTGGGCCCTTTGTCCGCCGCACAGGCAAAAAAACTCCTTCTTTCGAAGGTGCAAGTATGTGAAGGTGCCCAGCAGCACCCTTCCAGGGCAGATTACATCGCCAAAGATCTATGTGGCTGCGTTCCTCAGGCACTTTGCATTGTTGGATCCTTGCTATCAGACTATCCTGAAGAAACGCTCATAGAAAGCCTTGAAAAGGAACCATTAGCGGTTCTAGAGGACGACGAAGGATCTGTTGAAAAGGCCATTAAGACTTCGTTTGACCTTTTGAAGAAACCCGATCAAGAGGTTTTCATTCTCCTATCCTTGTTCCAAGGTCCATTTGATACAGATGCAGTCCAAGCTGTGACGAAGGCGCATTGTTCAACCTCCGGGGCTTTGCCTATCTCCATCCTGCGCTCATTAAAATACAGATCTCTTGTGGAGGAGCTCTATTCGCGCAGATATCAGATGCATCCGCTCATTCAGTCATACGCAATGAAGATTGGTCGAGATAAGTATGACAAACTTTGGACAATGGGCAGAAAACTGGCTTGTGTACACTTCATGTTGCGCCTCGCGAAGAATGCCGATATTTACTGGAGTAAGGACACCTGCAAGGCTTCCCTTGTATCATTTCAAGATGAGAAGGACAATTTCGAACATTTTCTTCAAATTTATGCTCAAGCTAGGGAAGAAAAAGATCCAGAGATCATGAAAGACTGTGAGCCCTTTCTGGACAGTTTTCCTTACAAATGCATGTATCTGGAGAGATGTCTTCATCCAAGATTCTACACTGAGATCCTTGAAAGATTATTGGAAACTTTTGACTCTGCAAGCCAACCAGTGTATGTAGTAGATCTTTTGTGTCTTCTTGGTAATGAATATAGGAAGAAAAAAGAAAAAGAAGGAAAGAAAAAGTACGAAGAGGTCATGGTTGAAGCCAAAAAAATTCATTTGAGGAATCCTGCTGCGTTTGAGTCGAAACCGTTATCAGAACTCCATTTTCACAACAGCAATGCCCGCTTCCTTAAAGGGAACGAACAGAAAGAAGAGGAGTGTACAAAGGCTTTGAAAATATGCACAGAAAAATATGAACAGCTTCATGATCACCCGGAAACAGCAGCGACCCTCATCTTTTCAGGAATTGTTTCAAAGCTCTGTAAGAAGTTCGAAGAAGCCATAGATCGGTCTAAAAAAGCGTTGGAACTCTTTCAAACAAAACTTGGGAACCACTATATGACTGCTCTAACCCTGAAGATTACCGGAGACCTTTACGTGTCTCTTGATGAAAAGTACGAAGTCGACGGCCTTGAGTGTTATAAAGCTGCTTTGAAAATGTTCGATGACCTAGGAATGGATGAAAACAAAGAAAGCATCTTGGTGCGAAAGAATCTTGGAACTTGTCACATGAAAAGTGGGAACTTTGACGAGGCAATGAAGCTATTCTCGGAAGCAGAGCAAATTGCCAAACGAGAATTAGAAGAGGAACATCATTGGAAGGTCCTTGTTAAGACTTCGTTGGCCCTCTTGCTTGAGAAGATGAATAACGTAGAGGGGGCGATAGACAAGATGCACAAGGGACTGGAGATGGGCAAAAGCATGAATCTACCCGTGAACATGATGGGAGGAGAAGAGATGATTAAATTTCTCAACCGGTATCCAGGGAAGTTCCCCGAGACTGAACTCCCAAGTAAGTAAATATGATGTTTTAACAGTGGTCAATGTTCTTATTAGTTAGCTGTTCCACATGAAGCAGCATTGATAGTTTCTTCCTTACCATCGAAGGAAATTTCAAAAATTATCCTAGCTGTTTGATATGAGGAGGGAAGGATTTAGGCCTCACACTCCATGGAATTTGCAGAGTTAGCATAAAAGCGCTCATAGTTAAATTAAAAACGTCTCATATTTTATATTTCAAAGCTTACTCTCTAGGTAAGAACTTAAACATCCATAGTAAAAGCCGTCTGATCTGGATATCAACATTCTTTATGAATTAATGTAAAAGAAACTTCTTTTATTCGCGCGCTACATTTTCCTCAAAACTCCCTCTAGCCTCTTTACGAGATTGCAAGATACTCATCAAAAATTATGGTTAAGTTTAGACGCTTCGGAAAAAACATTTAGGCATGTCGAGCTTTAAGTAAAGTATACAGTGAGAGAGAAGTTTTATCCTTGTTAAATTGCACCGTGATGATTCATTATACATACTGCGCTTAATCTTTCAGGAAACGTTGCCAGTCGAATAGGCCATCGAGACGCACAGCCCCACGGGAAGTGGAAAGCTGGCTCTGGAAGAGGATGGAATCAATCAGGAAATTAAGTAAAGGGGTTGTTACAAATGCAGAAAAATTTAAATGGGAGCAATGAAAAACTCGGAAACTTCTAAACTGAGTCTTAGAGATGCGCAAACCATGATGATATGGAATCAATCTTTGAAATGACTGATGCAAATCGAATTTACAGTGATAGCTTTATATTTCACACATGAAGATAACTATACAACAAGAGAAAACAGGGATCTCTAAGATACAACCAATTAACTTTCGTGTGGTTCTCTTTTTTTCTTTTATGTGAAAAATATAACCTATTCAATCGTTTTGAAGCGAGAGGCAGATTACCGACGATTAACGATTAACCAAATTCTGTCAGCGTGCCTCGCGCCAATTATTTTAACAAAATAGATTCCATCGAGTTGCGCGTCTCTTCAGTAATAGTTCACAGATGACGTCAAATGTGGTAAGAACCGAAAAGTGAGACACGAAGCCCAGCCGAGTGTTCCTCATGTTTTTACCACATTCAGTTATCATCCGTGAACGATTACTTTACAGAATCACGACAACACGGAGTCTATTTGTTTTATGCATGTTATATGATAAAAAGAGTTGTTAATATTTGTATTCACTCCATTCAAAATTATTTTTCAGATTGTAATTCAGCCGGCTATACTTTATCTTTTGGCTGGAGGGATAGTTTTAAGGGTGATTTTAGGAAATGTAAGACTCCGATTAGTAAGGAAATCGATAGCTGAATTTTTCTTGTACATAATGTAGACTTAGGCGAAAAGGAAATTATCTTTGAGCATAATCAGTTAGTTACTCGGTATAGAAATTTGTTTCACTTCGTTCAAACAGAAATGTGCCGAAGGTTATAAGCACCAATGTTTTATCACTTTCACAGTCAAGCTTACCGTCAAACTCACCAGGATGCTTAAATGTATCTGAGGAAGATTTTTAGCGACTTTTAACTTTCTGTCCGCTTGATTATTTTAACCGCAGTATGTGTTTGTCTTAATATAATAATATAATATACAGTATTTATAGAGCGCTAATTCCCAATGGTCCAAAAGCGCTTTACATAATAAAAATAACAAAATCCTAAACCTACAAAACTACATTGTCATTCTATAAAAATTCCCAATGGTCCAAAAGCGCTTTACATAATAAAAATAAGAACAAAATCCTAAACCTACAAAACTACAAAACTACATTGTCATCCTATAAAAACATCATCATTCTACACAACATCATAACCAATTTTAAAAAGCCACGTCTTGAGCTTAGATTTAAAAGAAGAAAGGGAATTACAAGATCTAAGTTCGAATGGAAGTGCATTCCAAACAGAAGGTGCGGCAATAGTAAAAGACCGGCCACCATAAGTTTTAAGATTAAATTTAGATGTAGAAAGTAAAAATTGATTGGAGGATCTAAGAAGTCTACCAGGTGTATAAGGCTTGATGAGATCAGTAATATAGCTAGGTGCAGCACCATGAAGCGCCTTAAATGTAATTACTGCAATTTTGAAAGTTATTCTTTGTTCAATTGGTAGCCAATGAAGTTGAATAAGCAACGGCGTAACATGCTCATATCTACTAGTAAGGTGAATAAGCCTAGCAGCACTATTTAGGACACTCTGTAAACGTTTCAAGATACATTTAGGCTGACCGTTGAGCAGTGAGTTACAATAGTCGATCCTTGCAGTAACAATGGCATGAATTAGAGTTTTACATGTATCGTAAGAAAGAAACTTGCGAATCTTAAAAATATTGCGTAAATGAAAAAACGAAGACTTGCAAACAGCAGTAACGTGCGGCAACATCGATAGAGAGTTATTAAAAATAACTCCAAATTTTTAGCAGTAGTTGAACAGTCAACAGTGTCAGAGGCAATCACCAGGTTTGTTAACGCAGGACGTGGGCGATAGGAGGATGAAAAAACTATAATTTCAGTCTTCCCACTGTTCAGCTTCAGCTTGTTATTTAACATCCAAAGGTCAATATCTTTAACACAATCTTCAAGAGCAGATGTATATGTTGACATATCCTCAGGCGATGACGTTTCAAAAGATAAATATAGCTGTGTATCATCAGCATAAAAGTGATAAGATAGACCATGAGATCTTGCAATATCACCTAAAGGGGAAGTGTACAAAGAATACAGCAAGGGGCCCAAAACGGAACCCTGAGGTACACCATAAGGTAAGGCATGCACATCAGAAGAGACATCTTGGATTCTGACATACTGAGTGCGATCAGATAGATATGAACGAAACCAGTCCAGTGCCTGGTCACAAATGCCAAAACGGGTAGATAGTCTAGCAGGGAGAAGAGAATGATCAACTGTATCAAAAGCAGCAGACAGGTCCAGTAGAACCAAAACAACAGATTTTTGATTGTCAATGGAAATAGCAATGTCATTGTAGACTCTGAGAAGAGCCGTTTCGGTGCTATGGTGAGCACGGTAGGCAGACTGAAAGACTTCACACAGACCATTGTTGTCAATGTAGTCAACAAGCTGCAAAGCCACTACTTTCTCAATGACTTTGGACAAGAAGGTGAGGTTAGAGATCGGCCGAAAGTTCTTAAATTCTTGATACTCAAGACTCGGCTTTTTCAGCAAAGGACGAATTACAGCTTGTTTAAGTTCAGTGGGCATGACAGAGGTCTCCAAAGACAGCTTAACAATTTTCCAGATCACAGGGCAAAGGAGATCAAGACAACCAAGGAGTATTCTAGAGGGGACAGGGTCAAGTTCACAAGACTTTGATGCCAAAGGGTGCACAATCTGAAGTAAGGTCGAATATGAAGGACAGTTCAAACGATGGAGTCTAGTTGTTGCTACTGTGGCTTCATTAAATAAATAAGTTCCCTGCATAGGGTTCGATTCTAGTTCATGTCGAATAGTAATAATCTTCTCACCAAAAAAGCCAATGAATCTATTTGCAAGATCCACCACGGAAAAGCAAGATGTATACTGCGGTGCAGGACTCCGATGTAACAACTTACCGACAATGCCAAACAGTTTCCTCTGATTAAGGCAATTATCATCAATAAGTTTGGTGTAATATTGTGAGCGGACAGTGAGTAATAGCTCATTGAAAATACGATTTTGTTCAATAAGACGCAGACGATCTTCGGGCAATCTAGTCCTACGCCATCTCCTTTCCAGTCGGCGACGAACTCTTCTCTCCAGTTTAATCTCCTCACTAAACCATGGGGCAGCGGGACGAATGGTAACCATGCGCGATTTTAATGGCGCATGCTTATCCAAAACACTAGATAACTCCGAATTATACAAGTGAAGCAGCGTAAGTAAATCATTGGATGATTCAGACAAAAGAGGAGACATTACAACATCTTGTCGAAAATGCTCCAAGCTGATGGCTTTTCATTTCCGACCACAAATACGCTTCCTTTCCCAATTAGGCTTAACAAAACGAAGATCAGCACAAACAGTGCAATCATCCGATATCTCTGAGGAATTATCAACTGAAATAGCATTTAAAATATATTCAGCATCACGAGTGATTACCAGATCCAAAGTATGTCCAGCTCTGTGGGTGCAACTACGAACATGTTGTTGTAAATCAAATGACTCCAATAAGCTCAGGAAATTAGCCGCCGCAGTATCAGTTGTATCATCAACATGAAAATTAAAATCACCAGCGATTACAAGTGAACCAGTTTTAGTGATATAGGATTCTAACAGCGACGAAAATTCATTCATAAAAAGCTCAGTTGAAAGATTGTTTCCAGATGAGGGTGGAGGACGATAGACAATAAGGATGGAAACAGATTGCGAAAAAATCTTAACTTCACTTTCGATGGCTTCAAAGGAAATGAAGGTGTCCAGATAGACCTTTGATGTCTGCTTAACTGGCAACGAACTTTTGAAAAGCAATCCGACGCCACCACCTCTTCCATCACGAGCAGAGTGTAAAAAGCAACAGCCATTTGGGATAAGACTTCCGATTACTAAATTATCATAATCCCCAGTGTTGAGCCAGGTCTCGGTAATAGCAAAAATATCAAAATCCTTGTCCACAACATAGTCCTTGATAGAGAGATACTTATTGCGGACTGATCGACAATTCAGGAGGCCAAACAAACAAAACTTCGGAGCCGATAAAGTAGATTTGTTGGAGATAACAGGTTTCCTGTTCAAAGTAATGCAAATCTGCACGAGATTATTCTTGTTAACAGCATTATGCAAATTTTTAACTTTAGAAGGAAAAGTTCTTCGACTTTCCACAGTATTGATAGGCCAAACCCTGTCGGTAATTTCACTCTTGACTTCCAATCCTGACATAGTCAGATTAGTTGTCGATGTTCTAAGATGAAGATCAGAATCACACTTGATTTGCTCGAGGTTACAAGGGTTACGACGTCGTTGCATTTCATGGCGCTGCCAAAAGCGATTTGTTGTAAACGATGTAATAGAAGGACCAGGGTTAGGATTGATGTCACCGCTGTTTGCCAGCCGAAGTCGAGTAACATTGAAAGTAGAAATAGAGTTTGGTGTGTAAGGTATTCGCGAAGTAAAGCAGTGACTCGTCCTTGTTGAGGATTGTAATCCAAGAAGGCGGGTCGATTTCATCCATGACGAGCAAATTGCAAGGTACAAATCCATTTCATCAATGTTCATCGCAACTTCACCATCGCTTAAAACACGACAAAAACCAAAAAGGAACGTACTCGGATGACACAACGAACGACTTAGACAACAGAACAAGAATAAAAATAAAATTGAAGCGGAGCAAATATAACTGCGACCAACCGCCATCACTGACCGCTTATGACTACTAATGTCTTCCTCGAGATTGTGCAAATTATTGGTTTTTCATATCAAATATTAAGCGAGAAATCTTAACTCATTTCTGTTATTTGCCGTGTAGGCACACGAAATATTAAGTATTTGCAGAAGCCACAAATGTCGCAAAGAAGCTGATGTGAATTTTAAATGTGATAAAAATTTTGTATTTTTGTACAATACAGTCTTTGCCTTTTACTCAGAGCTGTTACATTTGCACTGTGTTGTCTAATTATAAAAATTGGATACCTTTACATAATTGCTGGTAGCAACAATAAGTAAATTAGTGAGTAAAGATTCTATCAACGAATATATCCTGTTTTTGATGAGAAGGTATAGTTCAATTTCTTAGGGAAAATTAAGTGATTTTTCCATGAGTTTTTTTGGAGCATATTTTATACTTTTTTCAATATTTTAGCCGTTCTTAATTCATTCGAGTTTTTTTATTGTAATGTTTTAGAAAAAGATAAAAGCCAACAGTAAGTTCTTTCAACTACCAACATGTACATATGGCTTTCTTCTCGCCGGCTTTGTGCAACTGAACATCCTTCCTTTTGTGATTTTATTCTTAGTGGACATTGTTAAGTACACATTCCTTGTAGCGACCTTTCCTGGTAAATTACTTCTCAGGGAAGTTGCTAGCTGTAAATTAGTTCTTTTCATGCGATAATTTTTCTCGTTGCTACTTGTTCAAACTTAACACCAACATCGCTTCTATAAGCACAAATTTTAATTAAGTTCTCACCTTTACTTGCTAAGATATACAATCAAGCAATTGTAGATTTAGGGAATAGAACCACGCGCTCGATAGTGCATAAAGAGGTCTATTGTAAAGCTTTTTCGATTACATAGACGACTGCGTGGCGATTACATTGACGGCTGTGTGGCGATTAAGAAGTTGAGAACGCCAGAGGTCATGTCGTTTCCCGACAGGAACTAAAATAAACTTACTATGGAACCAAACGCTGTCTCATCCTTGACGTTCGTAGCAAGCTCGCTTGAAGCAGGTCACCGTGAGCCAGAAAACCGTAACGAGTTTTCGTTCCCGCTGCCAAGTGGTCTCTACCGAGCTATTTTCCCCTGTTATCGTTTTGTTCCCCGCAAAAGTCTAGCTAGTGCGAGATATCGTGTCTATTGTCACAAGTAAGGAACGGGATGTGGGTGTAAACTGTTACCGTGAACGCTTAGGGCTGTTAATGAAATAAGGGAGAACAGGTTTTGTGAAGATACTTCTGTAAGACTAAAGTAAAAACCAGAAACACCATAACTTCATACATGTTCTGTTTCCATTATTCATTGTAGACAAGTCCGAACTTTATCGTGGAAAAGACTGAGACTGGAATGAGACCCTGATGCTTCAATTTGTTATAACTATTTTCATTGCGAACCTTGGTTATTTTGATTTATTTCACTGATAACCAGTAAAAAGGGTGACATTCTCGGAAACACGATATACTAATAAGAATGAGAAAAAACCTCACTGTTCAGCTCTAGATTTTAGCTCTGAGTACACTGAGCCCTCGCACGCAAACAATAAATGGATTACATTGCATCTCAAGCGTACTGAGCAATGATTCCGAGAAAGATGTCCATTGTGTATTTGTTTACATTTCCTCCAAGTTTCTGAGAAAATCCGGAATAATTGCTTGTCAATAGGTACGTCACAGGTACTTTACGTCGTTGGGAAACTTTAATTTTAACTACAGACGTGTATAGCTTCGTTCTTTAAGCAGCAAATATTGCTTAAAGAAGAAAATGCAAGTCAATTGGAAGTCACAATATACATATTACTGGAGTGTTAAGGTTAACTAACTTGAGCAACTCGCGCCAACGGAGGCACCAGAAGTCTGATCAAGCACTTTTAATTCATTCGGTCATTTGGTCACGCTTTTAAATAACGGTAGGCATGTTTGGGTTTACGGGACAACTGACCTTGGAGGAGTAAACATATTTTTAGAATGCTAACCGAAACAATTTCACGAGACGTTCGAAATAGACAACAAAGTAGTACAAAATCAATATTCAAGAACTCGCTAAAACCTAAACATCACTTTCCGTTGACGACTCTAAACAAGGTTAAGCACAAACCCAAACACGACTATTGATGACAAATATCGTGCGAGAGTTAAGCCATATTACAATGGTCGAGGAAAAATCACTGAAAAGGTAAAAATAAACGTGTGGTCTTGCAGCACATAACAAACCAAGGGTCACAGTACTCTCACAAGGATTTCAAGATAATCTAACAGGCCTAAACAAATCCCAAACACTCAGTCAGAACATTTCTAAATTTAGTAGTTCCCAAACACTTCTAATGTTGGTAGTTTAATGGAAAGTGATTAGCTGCCAATATACTACGCAAATTTCCGATTTTTAATGCACGAGACATATTAAATTCCGAAAGACACGTAAGGGCTTCCTTGAGAGCGGAATCACAACTAGTAACTTCACAATCAGAGTTCCCCAACTTTCTCTTTCTCACGAAAGCGAAACGTCAGAATGACGCTCAAATGACATATTTGGCTTGTGGTTGACAGCGAGAGCTTAACCGCACCAATCAGGAACTGTAGACAATGATCTTTCTCGGAAACCATAGAAAATTATTCATCATCCAGTATTTCCTAGAACTCATTGGGAAATTTCCCTGTTAACTAGTTAAAAAAATTGTCGTGTCGATTGAAAATCGCAATTCGTGGTTATCTGAAGACAAGCTAACGTTCTTATCCTTCTCAAAAGGAATTTGCTTTTTGAGAGCTTGATAGTAGGTTATGGCAACCGGCGGAACATCGTCACCAACTTCTGCTGGTCTTGGTGGACCCTCAGTGATGGATCTATCGAAAGAAAAAACGAATGGCACAAGGTTGGGAAGACTGATTATTGACGAAGGAACAAAAGTTTTAATGAAATTCTTGCATTCCATGCATCCAGAGTCAACCTTACAGAACGCATTGAACAACAATCGCCCAAAGCTCGAAGAGCTGAAACGAAAGCGAGTAATATTTGATGAGCAATGGGATAAATTGTTTCCTTCCTCAGGTAAACCGTCAGACTCGAAAGACTTTGATATCACGCTTCTACACTTACTGCTTCGTGAAATTTGTCATCTATCGGCTCCTTCGACTGGATGGCACAAAATGCCTGCCGACTCTGATGCCAGCCCTGAAGCCAGCATCGTGCGTATCAAATGCTATAGAAATGAGCTTTGCCACAGTGTTTCTACTGGAGTTCCGAATGACGAATTCGAAGACAAGTGGTACAAAATATGTTCGTCTTTAGAAGTACTCGAGGTTGCCGTCTATCGGAAGAAACTTCAGTTCTTGAAGAGTGTTACCATCGATCACGAAGCTCATTTGGTTGAAGAGGAACTCGAACAGTGGAGGAGGGAGAAAGAACTTGAGAAGATTGGAAAAGTCTCTGAACTCTCCAGTTGTCTTCCTGATGACTTGTCAGAAGAACATATCATCGGCCGTGGTGATCAAATACAAGACATCAAAGGAAAAGTTGAAAGTGGAACGGCTCCTGTAATTCTGATCACTGGTGGACCAGGATTCGGAAAGACGACCGTAGCAAAGCGAGTGGCATGTGAATTAGCCAGACTACAAGATCGAAGAACTGTTTTCTTTTGTAGCTTATTATCAAAGAAAACGTTTAACGAGGTAACCATGGAAATGTTTAATTCATGTAATAAAGTAGTTAACACGCAAGTGCTGGAGAATCCGGGGCAGTGGCTCAAAGACTGGAGTAAACAGATCCATGACCAGGTCACTTTTGTTCTTGACAATGCAGATGGTGTTCTCGAGTCTGACGATCGTGAACCATTTCTTGAAACCTTACGTGATGTGAGAAAGTTATCGCGACGAAATGTCACATTTGTAATCACTGCGAGAACAACATTTGAAAATCCCGACTTGCCGTTAAAAGAGGTTAGGCTACCCCCGTTGTCGACTGAACAAGCCAAAAATCTCCTTGTTTCTCGGCTTCGCTCTTATAAACAGGATGTTCAACACGAGCTATGCAAAGCAGAGCAACTTGTCAAATTATGTGGCTGTGTTCCCCTGGCACTGTGCATTGTTGGATCTCTGCTCTCAGATTTCACGGAAGAAACACTCATCAAAAACCTCGAGAGAGAACCACTGGCTGTCCTCGAGGACGATCATGGATCTGTAGAAAAGGCAATAAAGACGTCTTTCGATCTTCTGACAGAGGCTGAACGAGAAGCCTTTGTTCTTATGTCCACTTTTCAAGGTTCGTTCAGCTCAGTCGCTGCTGAGGCTGTTATGAAAGCATGCTCTATCCCTGGAATTTGGCCGATCAAGATTGTTCGTTCCTTGAAGAGAAAATCGCTCATAGAGCAGCCAAGTTCCCGAAGATATCAGATGCATCCACTCATTCACTCGTATGCAAGGAAGACCGGTCTAGAAAATGATCCCGACCTTTTAGCTGGAGGGGAAAAATTGGCCTGTGTCCACTTCATTTCTTGTCTAGCGAACAATGCCAACATGTATTGGAGAAAGGACAGCTGCAAAGAGTCTCTTGATTTATTTAACGAGGACAGGGACAATTTCGAGTACTTTTTACACATCTACGCTCAGAGAAGGAAGGACCAGGATGAGAAAATCGCGGAATGCTCTGAGACCTTTTTGGAAAGTTTTCCACAGAAGTACATGTATTTGCAGAAGTGTCTCCCTCCAAAGATCTACGCTGATATCCTTGAACAGTTACTGGACACGTTTGACTCAGTTCTTGAACCGGTAAACTTTGTGGAACTTTCGTGTGCCCTTGGACACGAATGTAGGAAAAAAGATCAGATGAAGTACAATGAACTTATGCAGAAAGTGGAGAGAATTTACTCTTCAAACTCTGATGAGTTTGACCGAAATCCGTTGGCAAAGGTCTACTTTCATAACAGTTATGCACGCTTCCTTTCCGATAAAAAAGATCCCAGTGAAAAGCAAAGAATTGAGAGAGAGAATCAAATTGCTTTAGATGTATGCTATGAAAGTTTGGGTGATCGTCATCCAGAGACAGCAGCTACTCTTCTCCTTACAGGAATAATTGCACAACGCCTTTGGAATCTTGATGTAGCTAAAGAAAGGTTAACAAAGGCGTTAAAACTATTTCAAGAGGTCCTTGGTAAACATTTTATGACTGCTGAAACCCTGAAAGCTAAAGCAGACCTATTGCTCGCTCCCGATAAATCTGTCACCGACTTGAAACCTTGCCTTAAGTATTATGAAGCAGCTTTGGAAATGTTTGATCATCTAGGAGTGGGTGGAAGCAAGGAAAGTATCTTGCTATTAAAGAACTTTGCGAGCTGTCATACGACAAGTGGCAACTTTGACGAGGCAATGAAGTTATTTAGGAAGGCAGAACAGGTTGCAGAGCGAGAACTAGAGAAAAATCACACTTGGAAAGTCTCGATAAAGACTTCACTGGGCTTATTGCATGAGAAAATGGGTAAAGTGGAGTTGGCGAAAAAGGCGATGCTTGAAGGACTGTTAATGCACAAAGAACTAGGACTTGCAATGGACAAGATAGGAAACAAACTCAAGATTCGGAAATTTATGAATCGATATCCGAAGACCTTCCCCGAGACTGAGTTTCCAAGTAAGTACAAGGTTCATTTTCCAATTACGTATTACATCGTCATAAAGCTGCTTGACTGTGGAAGAGGTCTGAACGAAATTTTGGAATACTTATCCAGTGGCTACTGTGAATGAGGAAGTTGTTGACTCCACGATCAATAAAAAGTACATAGATCCTTTTCAAGTACACGTTTCCAGAAACATATTTTTGTGGTTCAAAACTCGTAACTATCGTCAGTACGATAATTCATTGTGAACTGAAACGCCATTATTTCCGCCCCTATCTCATCCAATCGAATATCAGTTGATATTCTCGTCTGATTCTAAAAACGCTGTACATTTAAGTGTGATTGCGTCTGGACACTTCGTCATGAATGTTGCAAAGCGATGTACATGATCTTTGTGTTTGATATTCTAATTGGGTGTATTTATATTACCCTTGTAAGTAAATCTGCTTACTTTTCATACCTAGAGGAAACTTGAATCTACGAATGCTTTAAGTCATAAACAAACGAATCCAAATATCTACTTTTGTTTGTAAATTTCAGGAAACGTTTCCGGGCGAACTGGCCATTAAGGCAAACATTCAAGCAAAAAGTCCAAGGCTGGATCACCATAAGAAGGGGACAAAGAAATGTTAGTGGTGACAAGAAAGAACTTTAAGAACAATGTGGTATTCTACTTTTTGCAAACTGACGACCGAAACAAAGGAAGAAGAGGGAAGGGAAATAAGTAATGTCATTAACAACTCGCAAATACCCGACAGTCGTAGGTCGTACTTTTTTAGAACAATTTATTTCAGTATTACAGATCGAACGAGCTGAAAAAAAAATCATTGCTGACCCACAAAAATAGAAAATGTTTAAAACTTCAGTGTTTTGCAATTTATGACAACACAATTTTGTAAGGAAAATTTTACTAGAAGACTTGTATGCGTATGAAACGTTTTAGTTCATTAAATAATGCTCGGTGAATATCTTGGTTGCAAATCACCAGAATTAGATTACAAACACATGGAAGTCAAAAATCGTTACGCGACTTCAAAATGTTTTGAGTGTTTGGCAAAAGATGGCAAAACGAACAGATACTTGCTCGAGCTTTTAGCACAGTCGTACCTGTTGAAAACTAAAAAACTTTAGCGATAACACTACTGAGCCTAAAAAAAAAAAAACTACCCCTGTCTACCTCAGACAAATTGCATCATGATTACATTAGCTGCCTAAAGCGCTGAGGATTTGAATCTGACTACATATGCCTCGATTTATCGCGCCGTTTTGTGATTCCTTGGATAACACTTGAATTAAGAGGTGCAGTTCACGTCACGTCACGTCACAACACGCATAGCCTCCACTTTGGCGATAGTTTGGACATCTTGATATAAGCTCCCTAATCTTAAACATTTCTTGGAAATTGCTGTCTTCTGAGAATTATGTTACAAAGCATCTCCCATTCAAACTGTCATTTCAGCCTCATATTTTCTTGAGCAAAATGGTACCATGCAAAAGGTCGCGTTCATTGAGATTCCAAAACATTCAATTCAAAATCGAGCTCTCGAAAAATCAGTGACCCTTGCAGCACTGTTCGCCACAGGCTATTAAAAACTAAGGTTATATTGCAAGTGAAAGGAGCCAATATATATTTTTCTTTTGCGCTCGAACGCGATAAATGTTTGTTCACTTGGAAGGTGATATTTAAGGCAACGATGCTCGGCCTAAATTGCAATAAAGCCTCTATGTAGTTTTATGAACGGTTACTACTACAATATGGTTTCGTGCTCGGGCGAGTTCAGGACGACTTATTGCCACAGTGTCTGTTTTATTTGGTGAGTGAGCGAGTGAATGACTGACTGACTCTTTTGAACGACGAAAAAAATCGTTTGCACGAGTTATAAGTAATTATAATGTTAAGCTAAAGTTGAAGTTACACGAACCGTGACATTAAGCTTCCCAGAAACAAACATCTCGAATATCCAGCCTTGCATGACACTTAAATCATGCTTTGACAGTCTCATGCACGACAGACACATGCAAATTGACTTATTATACACCCATAAGTCCAAAGATCTTTCTCGGAAACTAGATCATCTCCTTTTTCTTAGAACTTTTTACCTTCTTGTAAAGTGGTTTGAGTTCATTAGGCTGATTAATGTGTTTAAGGATGGCGACTCCGTTCGCTTGTTTTAAGATGCGATCATGAATCCGACAAACACACCCACGCATCGGTGAGGTAAGCTTATTCTCTCATTTTCCAAACGAAATTTCCATAAATACTTGTCTTGCCACCAAGACCATTCCTCGAGTTAAAACACGAAAGATAATGGCTGGCACAGCCTCTACTCCTGTTTCTCCTGTTTCTTCTGGATCTTCTGTGCTAAATGTATCAGAGGAGAAAACGAATGGCACGAAGCTAATGCGACTGTTGGTTGACGGAGGAACACACGTTCTTCGCAATTTATTACATTCTGTCTACCCAACGGATAAATTACAAGTCGTATTAAACAACAACAAGGCAAAGCTTCAATTGCTAAGGTCCAGAGGTGTAATATTTAAAAACCAGTGGGAAATGTTATTTCCTGCCTTAGGCGATCCACCGGACTCAAAAACGTTCGACATTTCACTTTTACATCTCTTGCTTCGTGAAATTTGCCATCTTACGGCGCCTTCAACCGGCTGGCACAACATGCCTGCAGAAGATGATAATAGTCTCGGAGCAAACATTACCCGCATCAAATGTTTCCGAAATGAGCTGTGTCACAACGTCTCTACCGAAATTCCAAACGCTAAATTCGAGGACAAGTGGAACGAGATAGCATTGTCTTTAGAGGCAATTAAGATTTGTGTTCTACAAAAGGGACACGTAGAGGAAATGGAAGCACTGAAAAAAGATCCCATTGATCACAATACAAAGCGACATTTGGAGGAACTAGCTAAAGAATGGAACAAAATACAGGAACAAGAAAGGATTCACTCGTCAAGTTTTAGCCCTCGCAGCTGTTTACCGGACATAATACCAAAAAAAAATGTATTTGGCCGTAACCAAGAAATAGAGCTTGTCACGAAAATGGCTGAGGGTGGAGACATCCCTGTTGTCCTTGTTACTGGTGGACCTGGATTTGGAAAGACGACTGTGGCTAAACGAGTGGCTCATGAATTAGAAATTTCAGAGAAGGAAGGAACTGTACTATTTTGTAGTTTACAAACGAAATCAACTTTAAATGAAGTGGCCATAAGAATGATCAACATATGTGGTTCAGTCAGCACACAAGTACCAGAGAATCCGGGGCAGTGGCTAAGAGACTGGAGCAAACAGATTCAAAGCCAGGTCACGTTCGTTCTTGATAACGCAGATGGCGTTCTTGACTCGGGCGATAGAGAGTCATTCCTGAGCCTTTTATGTGACTTACGAAGTCTATCGAGGCAAAAGGTAACATTTGTTATTACTACAAGGAAAACATTTGAACATTCCGACTTGCAGCCAAAAGAAGTCAGGTTGGACCCTTTGTCCAAGGAACAGGCAAGAGATCTCCTTGTTTCCCGAGTGCAAGTCTATGAAGGTGCTTCACAGAAACTTTCCAGGGTAGATTACATTGTTAGTGATCTATGTGGCTGTGTTCCTTTGGCACTTTGCATTGTTGGTTCTCTTCTTTCAGATTATTCCGAAGAAACACTCATAGCAAGCCTTGAAAAGGAACCATTAGCTGTCCTAGAAGACGACCAGAGTTCTGTAGAAAAGGCCATTAAGACTTCGTTTGACCTTTTGGAGAAACCCGAACAAGAGACTTTCATTCTCCTGTCTTTGTTCCAAGGTTCATTTGATATTGATGCAGTCCAAGCTGTGACGAAGGCCGAATGTTCGATCTCTGGGGCTTTGCCAATCTCCATCCTGCGCTCATTAAAAAACAGATCTCTTGTGGAAAAGCCCTATGCCCGCCGATATCAGATGCATCCGCTCATTCAGTCATACGCAAAGAAGATTGGTCGTGATAGGTATGACGAGCTTTTGGCAATGGGCGAAAAACTGGCTTGTATACACTTCATGTTGCGCCTCGCGAAGAATGCCAATATTTACTGGAGTAAGGACACATGCAAGGATTCCCTTGTTTCTTTTCAAGAAGACAAGAACAATTTCGAGTATTTTCTTCAAATTTACGCCCGAGGCAGGGAAGAACAAGATCAAGAGATCGTGAACGGCTGTAAACTCTTTCTAGACAGTTTTCCGCAGAAGTGGATGTATTTAGAAAGATGCCTTCTCCCACGATCTTACACTGAGATTCTTGAGAAGTTACTGAAAACTTTTGACTCTCGTATCCAACCGGTGCACACTGTGGATCTTTTGTGTCTTCTTGGACATGAATACAGGAAAAAAGGACGAATAGAAAGGTACAAGGAGGTTATGGATGAAGCGCATCGAATTCTCTCAGGGAATACTGCTGCATTCCATACAAAACCGTTATCTGAAGTCTACTTTCACAACAGTTATGCTCGATTCCTTTCGGATAAAAAAGACTCAAAGGAAAACGCAAGGAGGGACAAAGAGACTGAAATGGCTCTAAAGGTCTGCCATGAGAGACTGGGAAAAATGCACCCAGAGACAGCAGCAACTCTCTATCTCTCAGGAATCATCGCAAAGCGCAATAAAAAACCCGAGCAATCTGAGCAACAGCTCCAGGAGGCTAAGTCAATTTTTCAGAATTGCCTCGGCACACACTTCATGACTGCTGAAACTTTAAAGGCCATCGCAGACCGCCTTTTTTTTCTTGAAGGGAAGAACAAAAATTACTCGAAAATGTGCCTTGAGCATTATCAAGCAGTCGTGGAGATGTTCGAGAAACTTGGAGCGGGCGGTAGCAAAGAAATTGTTTTGACCCTAAAGAACTTTGGAATGTGTCACATGAAAAAGCACAATTTTGAAGAAGCAATGGTCTTACTAAGAAAGGCACAACAAGTTGCCGACCGAGAACTAGAAGAAAATCACAAATGGAAAGTCGGGATAAAGACTGCGTTGGCTATATTGCATGACAAAATGGGAAAACAAGATATGGCGATAGACGAAATGCAAAGGGGACTGCGAATGGCAAAAATATTTGACCTGTCAATAGATCGCATGGGAGACAAAGACGACATAATAGACTTCACAGGACGCCATCCGGAGGAATTCCCAGAGTCTGAGTTTCCAAGTAAGTAATGTTTTCACTTTCTAGTCACCTGGAGGATCTGCTCGAGGAGATATTTTAAAATAGAAATCAGTCCTGAACCCAACTTGGCGCTCTTTGATATCGCTTTCCACTCGTTTTAGGAAAACCATAAGAAGAGGTTAGAAATCTAATCTTGTCACAAGGGAGCAAGCGCGTGCTACAACTTTTAATGCAAATTGCAAGTGCCCCTTTCACTGCTTTTTTTTTAGCCAAAAACGTGCTTCCGCACTAACTGATTACGTTGGTATTTATGATGTCAGTTAAAAAGTCAGTTTTTTACATTCCTGGACATAATGCTATGCATAAGCAGTATATTTAAACGGCTATTTCATCGTACTTATAAGTGACTTTGTACTCATTTTATTAAATTATGCGTTTTAAGACCTTTTAAACCTCAGTTTTTTCATTGGAAGTTAAAGGTGGCATGCTTGAAGTTCGAGCCCAGACCGGAAAGAATAACCCGAAAAAAATGATGGATTGGTCACCTGATAACGCATAGCACCTGATCTGAATTTCAACATTCTTTTATGAATAAATGTGAATAGAAACGTCTTTTATTTGTGCTTTCACCTCCTCAGGCACGCATGTCGAACTTTAGGTAAATAAAGGGCGTAAAAGGTACTTGGAGTTTTTATCGTGAGCTCTTTTCCCATTAATGAGAAGAAACTTGCACCCCTATCAAATCAGTGTGCCGTGATAATTCATGCATACTGCGCTTTTACTTTCAGGAAGTGTTGCCAGTCGAACAGGCCATCGAGTTGAACAGCCCCACTTTCCCAGAAAGTGGAAAGGTGGCTTTGGAAGAGGAAGGAATCAATCAGAGAATTGAGGAAAAAGGTTGTTTACTGATGGAGAACAATTTAAATGATAGCGTTAGCATACTCTTAAACTACCAAACTGAATATTCATGATTTGCAAACCATGATGATGAAGATCATTCTTTGAAATGACTGCTGCAAATCGAATTTACAGTAATAATTTTATATTTCACGCGTGAAGATAACGATACAACAAGAGAAAGTAGGGATCTCTTAAATACAACCAATTAGCTTTCGTGTAGTTTTTTTTCTCTCGTGTATGAAAAATGTAAGCAATTTAATCATTTTGAAGCGAGAGACACATTACCGACGATTAACGATTAACCAACTTCTGTCAGCGTGTCTCGCACTAATTATTTTGACAAATAGGTTCCATTGTGTTGCGCGTCTGTTCAGTAATGGTTCACGGATGACGTCAAATGCGGTAAGAACCGGAAAGTGAGGCAAAAAGCGCAGCAGAGTGTGTCGCTCATGTTTTTATCACATTTAGACATCATCTGTGAACTCCTACTTTACAGAATTACTATATACATTATACATTTTATATGATAAAAAAACAGTTGTTAATAATTGTATTCACTCCATTCAGAATTTTTTTTCAGATTGTAACTCAGTCGGCTATACTTTATCTTTTGGCTGGAGGGGTAGTTTTAAGGGTGATTTTGGGAAATGTAATGATCTGATCAGTAGAGCGAAGTATTTAGTATTTAGCAACTTTTAAGTTTCTGTCCACTTGATTATTTTAACCGCAGTATGAGTTTGTCCTCCTCTCCTCAAAATTTTGCAACTTCTTTGTTTTTCATATCAAAATGTTGAGCGAGAAATCTTGATCTTTACTCATCACTGTTACTCGCCGTGTAGGCACACACAAAAAAAGGAGCTATTATGAATTTTAAATATAACAATTTTTTTTGGAAAAGAATGATATGGTCTTTTCCTTTTTCTCAGAGCTGTTAAATTTCGACTGATCTGCTAAAAAAATATTCGAATTAAGTAAAATTATGAAAATTGGATATCTTAACATAATCGCTGGCAGCAACGATAAGTAAATTAATAAATAAAAATTCCAGCAACGAATACATCCTGTTTTTGATGGAGTAATAGGATATTGGTACAAACTGTAACCGTGAACGCTCAGGACTGCTATCAAATATTGAAATAATGAAACACAGGTTTGCGGAGATACTCTGTAAGACAAAAGCAAAACCAAAAACACCATAACTTCATATATGTTTCGTTCCATTAGTTAATGTAGACAAGTCCGAACCTTATCGGGGAAAGTTTCAGTGAAGATTGAAATGAGACCCTTAATGCTTTAATTTGTTATGATTATTTTCATGATGAACCTTGGTTATTTTTACTTATTTCATTGATAATCATGCATGAAATACAAGGGGTACACCCAATGCTGTGCAATGAAATTATGCGTGACTCCCCTGGAAACACGATATCCCGGATAACCCTGTATAATAATTTGCTAAATTTAGAACATTTCGTGGAAGTTACTTGGCCTCAAAGAATCTTTAAGATCATTATCTTCCAGACAAAATGAGTGTCCGCTTCTGATATCAAGAGTGAAATTATGGCAAGCCAAACAAGACAAAAGTAGGTTAAGTTCAAAATTACCTATCGAGTTATCACTATATGAGAAATATAATTTACCGAACGAGAATGAAAAATTGTCATGTGAGATTTTAAATCACCCATTGACAATGGAAAAACATTAATCGAGGAAAAGACTGATGCAACAAGATTCCGAGAAATAAATATTGACTGTTGAGAATGAGAAATTGTTGCATGAGAAAAAGAAGTTACTACACGAGATTATCGATTAGTTTTCCTGAGCCCGTGTACAGCAATCAGTCAGCGGAGTGTATTTCTCGCAAAATGGCGGAGCAACGGAGTGCAGAAGACTTTACAGCATTTGTTGATTCTCTCAGGAGTACCATCGAAAGAAGCGCTTCCGTTTATCACGCATATGATCATGAACGATTAGAAATCTGTGCTAGGAAGCTTGAAGAACACATAGGAATGGTTATCGCGATATCTCTGTCCCAAAATTCCTCTCCAGACCTGTTTGAGGTGTTAGAGCTGTGTTATTAAGAAGGTCGTCTGATATTTTAAATGCATCAAGCTTTCGTCCAAAGGAGAAAAATCCGTTGGCATAATCTGCAAGTTCAAGAGAAAGACCGAGGTACTTAATTACAAGGTAAATGATCGCGCAACTGCGTAAGACTGGTATGAACTGGAGAATTAATAGCAACATGCCTTGGAATCTCCAACCAAACACTACACACAAAAAGGATCGAGTTTGGAGTAAGAAACAGTTTCACAAATATTACGAGTGAAGAATTAGACGCGCAACGATAGCAGACTCCCAATTTAACGCCCTATAGCGGGGAAACCTATGTTAGGGGCAGTCTCAAAGGTAGGGGTACAAATGATCAACAGTTCAGAATCAGAGAAAGCTTGAAAAAGATAAATGGTGTAGGTAGAGTTGTAAGACGTCGGTATGCAATCTGTCAAAGAACTTACAATGTCACTCGCCCAAATCATTTGTGGCACACTGACTCGAACCATTTGCTAACTCATTAAGATTTGTCATCCATGGATGCATCTATGGCTACAGCAAAGCCATTGTATATCTGAAATGTTGTGCAAAAAAACAAAGCTAGTTCTGTGCATCAATATTTTGAGCAAGGGGTACAAGAGTCTGGTCTCCCTTTCAGGGTTCAAGGTGACCAGGGTATAGAGAATGTAGATGTAGCCAGGTACATGCTCATCAACCAGGGATCTGATAGAGGTAGCTTCATTGTTGATACAAGTGCCCACAATCAGCACATTTAAAGGCTATGGGCATAAGTTAATAGAGTCAGCTCAGCACTTTACAAGGATTTGTTTGATTTCCTTGTGAGTGGAAATTTGGACTCACTTGATGAGTAACACCTGCTGGCTTTGCAATATGTTTGTATTCCTTGGATCAATGCCTCTATACATGGGTTAAAAAGCCAGTGGAATTATCGTGGTATTAGAACAGTAGGCCACCAAACACCCTAGGGAATGTGATACACTGAATTACTCAATGCTCACGAAGAGTCTACTGTGACAAATTGGCAGACATATGGAATTGTTTTTGATGGTCCATTGACTGATATTGAAACAGACAACAATTTTGTTGTTGTACCAGAGTCATTCAGTCAGCTTACAAATCACCAACTGCATAAATTATATACTAGGATTGACCCTCTCCCTGATGGAGACAATGGAATTACCCACCTTCTGAACACTGTGACAATCATTGAAGGTTTTACAGAGCAGTAATGAATTTAAAATTTATCAGCTTCTAATTAAAAATATTTTGATATTTCCTGTTATGATAATGGAATGACATTCACAAGATCATTGTTTTCCCTCCCTCATATGGGCTTCATAAAGATGGAAAAGCTTACTGCAGACATGTTTTCAATACAAATAACACACTGAGAAGATCAACCAGTCAATAAGATTGAAGTTATGCTGTTGTCTTCAAAGCTTTTATAATGAAGTGGTCATCTCTTTTTTTTTTTTTTTTTTCAGTGGTTAAAAAATTGCACTGAACACAAAGAGAGGAAGAAAATTTGATTCATGATTTGTCTGGAGGTTGAAAATGAAAGTCATGACACTTTTTAGCAGCTGTCACAGGTATAGTTGATCCCTTAACAATAAATTCAAGTATGAGTCTTGAATTTTGATGGTTTTAATCTTAATGAAATGTTGTCATTTTCCCTGATTTATCATTAAACCATTTTCACATTTTCTAGATGCATTTACTTAGTGGTGTAAGTAGTGTAGCAAAACCAATGCAATTTTTGATGCAATTTGAAATTTAGGCATTGATTTCTTATATGAAGAGGGCACCTACTGATAGTAAAAGCAACATGTCACTTTTAACCCTTTAAGTTGTCTTATTCCAAGGGATTGACAACTTAGTATCATGTTATGTAATGACCACTTACAGGACTGTAATGAATAAAGTCGATTCATGATTTATTTATGTTCATAATATAGGAGATCAGCTGATAAAATTGTTACTTAGAGTTTGTAGTCTTGAAACTAGCAAATTTTACATCCTTTCAAAAGGCTTTCTAACTTGTAACCATTTAACCAACTGCTGGTGACAACTGTAATTTGAATAGATATAACTGTATGACTTGATCCTAGTTGGAAAGTTGAGAAATTCCATCAACAGTAACTTGTATTCTCTGTTACGACAAATCTTTACACCAGTTATATGTAAATGTTATGCATAGAACAAAAACTGTGACACTGAGAAGCAAATTTCAAAGTGCTCAGGTAGTAAAGTGCACATCAATGTTTTGAAAATTGTAGAACCATAAGAACATGGATAGAGATTTGGCTTTCATTGACTTTACAAACCATTTCAGGTGTTCAAAGAATGTACATTCTGCTTTATTTGCTGGTTCAGCTTTGAATAACTTGTTAATTTTCTTGGATGTTAGCTGCTTACTTTGGTAAAAGATGTTGAGTTTCTTGAGGAACTGAAAGTTTTATTTAAAGCATAATACCTAGAGAATTGGATTCCAGTAGTTGATCACATATCTTGGCCTCTGGACAAGTTCCTGGTGGGTAAGCTTTATGATAATGGCTTCAATGTTGTTCTTACTTGGTGCTTTAAAACACTTGAATGATGTAAGTAAGTCCGAGACATCTTCATCATTAGGGTTAAAATCATCACCAAGGCACTTTCCTAATGCCTCTCTATCTCCTGTAGCTAAAAATTGTCTAAAGCTTTTTATCAAAGTCTCTGAAGTGATAACATCATCCCCATAAAGACACAGGACCACAAAGAGGTGACATAAATTTAATGGGATGTAAAATTTCAGGAATGATGCTCTGCATGTCATGCCTAATAAATGAACTTTTCCATTGTTTCCAATCATCAGTGATATGAAGCACTTTTGCCAAAAGCATGCTAAAAGATCTAGAAGAATCCCCTTGCCTTCTCACTCCTCTTCTTGCCCAGCAGTGCCAATATGTGGAGATGGTAGTTCAAAGTACTTTCATGTTTGAAAATCTGCATCACTTCTTCCCGAATAGCAACTTGATGGATTGTGACTTTCTTTTCACATAGTAGGCCATCATCAATGGTTTAATCCTGTGAAATGCCTTGAGCTGCAGGCAGTTTACTTATGCTTTCAATGGGTGGCTGCTGTGGAAACCGTTCAGTGATCTCCTATCAGCTGACATTATTGGGACTGGCAAGAGTTAGTTATTGGGAATAAATAATGGCCTGTCCTTCGCTCGATCTAGAGGCACTTCATAATTGGGATTTATGGTTACACTCGCGTTTGCAGCATGAGCTTGTCTAGCACTAAGACTTGTTTCAGTGTAAGAGGGTACACTCTGTGTAGGATTTATGGTTGCAGTAGAAGTTGTAGCATGAGTTTGTGCGCCAGTTGAGCCTACTATGCGGGTGTGCAGTATATTCTGTCTGAAGTTTGGTGTTACCGTTGAAGTTGAAGCATGAGCTCGTGTGAAAGTTGGACCTGTTTCAGTGGCATGAGGTAGTCTCTGTACAGGATTTGCTATTATAGTAAAACCAGCACAGGAGCACAGGAGGGATTGCCTGTAAGTTTTGTCACCGGATCTGGTAACATTGCTGCTAGCAAGTTATCATCATCATCAAATTCAAATTCTGGATCATCTTTAGTGTCAATATCCTTCAAAATTAACAAACAGAATTAAACTAAAGACAAATAAATTTACAAGAAACAGTACATGTATGGATTTTTTAGAGGCATTATCAATTTACTTATAAGCCAATTCATTGTTTGATTTTGGAAATTTGTTTCCATTGTCCTGATTCAATAGAGGTATTTCCAGCCCTTCTTTATCAAGCCAAATTATACACGGGAGGTGCAGTATTGGGCATGATTCGAATGGTTGTCTTAATTACTCATTATTACGCATTGATTACTTAAATTTGCAATCATTTACACAAGAAATCAAGTCGAGTTACTACGAATCGTACCTTTGATAGATCGGGGCAGCAACACTTTACTTGGCCTTACATACACATACTTGTTTTTGAAAAAGCGATTTTGTAAAATAACCCCAATAATACCTTTCTGACCTGGTGTAAGTGATGGCTTAACGAGCTTATTATGGACTGACATAAGGACTTCTATGTCTACAAGGCGAGGAATGGTTTCTTCAAACGCCTCCCTGACGATGGCTTTAAAAATTGACATGCATTAGGAACATGGCCGTGCTCACTCAATGTCACCCTCTTTCCCTGTTGTGGTACAACATTGACTGTTGGGCCAGTAAATATTATTAAATCGCCAAGAATGGAGTGTTTTCTTTTTCTCTTGCGATCTGAAGTACCGATTTGTCTCATGTTTGTCATAGGTCTAAAATGCGAGGAACTTGCAGAACTTGCATTGTGATGGAGGCTCGAGCTTGGATTACGTTGTCTACTATGCGAGCGTCCAGAAACACAAGATACTTCAGAAGTAATATTTGATTGAGTTGGCTGTCATTTGTTTTGATAATACTCGTACTTCCTCAGGAAGTTGACGCAGTTGCTGTTCTGAGTCACAATATAGATATTACTGGAGTGTTAAGGTTAACTAACTTGAGCAACTCGCGCCAACAGAGGTACCAGAAGTCTGATCAAGCACTTTTAATTCATTCGGTCATTTGGTCACGCTTTTAAATAACGGAAGGCATGTTTGGGTTTACGGGACAACTGACCTTGGAGGAGTAAACATATTTTTAGAATGCTAACCGAAACAATTTCACGAGACATTCGAAATAAACAACAAAGTAGTACAAAATCGATATTCAAGAACTCGCTAAAACCTAAACATCACTTTCCGTTGACGACTCTAAGCAAGGTTAAGCACAAACCCAAACACTACTATTGATGACGAATATCGTGCGAGAGTTAAGCCATATTACAATGGTCGAGGACAAATCACTGAAAAGGTAAAAATAAATGTGTGGTCTTGCAGCACATGACAAACCAAGGGTCACAGGACTCTCACAAGGATTTCAAGATAATCTAACAGGCCTAAACAAATCCCAAACACTTAGTCAGAACATTTCTAAATTTAGTAGTTCCCAAACACTTCTAATGTTGGTAGTTTAATGGAAAGTGATTAGCTGCCAATATACTACACAAATTTCCGATTTTTAATGCACGAGACATATTAAATTCCGAAAGACACGTAAGGGCTTCCTTGAGAGCGGAATCAAAACTAATAACTTCACAATCAGAGTTCCCCAACTTTCTCTTTCTCACGAAAGCGAAATGTCAGAATGACGCTCAAATGACATATTTGGCTTGTGGTTGACAGGTAGAGCTTAACCGCACCAATCAGGAACTGTAGACAATGATCCTTCTCGGAAACCATAGAAAATTATTCATCATCCAGTATTTCCTAGAACTCATTGGGAAATTTCCCTGTTGACTAGTTAAAAAAGTCGTGTCGATTGAAAATCGCAATTCGTGGTTATCTGAAGACAAGCTAACGTTCTTATCCTTCTCAAAAGGAATTTGCTTTTTAAGAGCTTGATAGTAGGTTATGGCAACCGGCGGAACATCGTCACCAACTTCTGCTGGTCTTGGTGGACCCTCAGTGATGGATCTATCGAAAGAAAAAACGAATGGCACAAGGTTGGGAAGACTGATTATTGACGAAGGAACAAAAGTTTTAATGAAATTCTTGCATTCCATGCATCCAGAGTCAACCTTACAGAACGCATTGAACAACAATCGCCCAAAGCTCGAAGAGCTGAAACGAAAGCGAGTAATATTTGATGAGCAATGGGATAAATTGTTTCCTTCCTCAGGTAAACCGTCAGACTCGAAAGACTTTGATATCACGCTTCTACACTTACTGCTTCGTGAAATTTGTCATCTATCGGCTCCTTCGACTGGATGGCACAAAATGCCTGCCGACTCTGATGCCAGCCCTGAAGCCAGCATCGTGCGTATCAAATGCTATAGAAATGAGCTTTGCCACAGTGTTTCTACTGGAGTTCCGAATGACGAATTCGAAGACAAGTGGTACAAAATATGTTCGTCTTTAGAAGTACTCGAGGTTGCCGTCTATCGGAAGAAACTTCAGTTCTTGAAGAGTGTTACCATCGATCACGAAGCTCATTTGGTTGAAGAGGAACTCGAACAGTGGAGGAGGGAGAAAGAACTTGAGAAGATTGGAAAAGTCTCTGAACTCTCCAGTTGTCTTCCTGATGACTTGTTAGAAGAACATATCATCGGCCGTGGTGATCAAATACAAGACATCAAAGGAAAAGTTCAAAGTGGAACGGCTCCTATAATTCTGATCACTGGTGGACCAGGATTCGGAAAGACGACCGTAGCAAAGCGAGTGGCCTGTGAATTAGCCAAACCCGAGAATGAAAGAACTGTGTTGTTTTGTAGCTTATCATCAAAGACTACTTTCAACGAAACGACTATGGAAATGATCAACTCATGTCGTAAAGTGGTCAACACGCAGGTACCAGAGAATCCGGGGCAGTGGCTCAAAGACTGGAGCAAACAAATACAAGAGCAGGTCACTTTTGTTCTTGACAATGCAGATGGTGTCATCGAGTCTGAAGATCGAGAATTGTTCCTCAATTTATTACGTGATGTAAGAATATTTTCGCGACAAAATGTCACATTTGTGATAACTACAAGAAGAACATTTCAAAATACCGACCTGAAACCAAAAGAAGTCAGGCTACGCGAGCTGTCAAACGAACAGGCCAGAAGTCTTCTAGTTGCTCAAGTTCACCTCCACGAACAAGCTTTCCAGCAGCAACTCTCTAAAGCAGAGCGCATTGTAGAACTTTGTGGCTGTGTTCCTCTGGCCCTGTGCATTGTTGGATCTCTGCTTTCAGATTACACCGAAGAAACCCTGATTAAAAAACTGGAGAAAGAACCACTTGCTGTACTAGAAGACGATGAAGGATCTGTAGAAAAGGCTATCAAGACCTCTTTTGATCTATTGACTGAAGCTGGAAAAGAAGCCCTCGTTCTAATGTCAACTTTCCAGGGGTCTTTTGACTCAAGTGCTGCCGAGGCTGTAATGAAAGCGTGCTCCGTTCCTGGAATTCTGTCCATCAAGATTATTCGCTCCTTGAAAAAGAGTTCGCTTATCGAGCAACCAAGTTCCCAGAGGTATCAAATGCATCCACTCATTCACTTGTATGCAAGGAAGATTGGTCGAGCCAAGTATGCCGATCTTTTAGCTAAAGGAGAAAAACTGGCCTGTATTTATTACATGGCTTGCCTTGCGAACAACGCTGAATTGTACTGGAAAAGAGACAGTTGCAAGGAATCCCTTTTTTCATTTAACAAGGACAGAAACAATTTCGAACATTTTCTTCGTATTTATGCCCAAGGAAGGGAGAAAAAGGATGCAGAAATTATGGAACGAACTCAAACTCTTTTGGAAAGTCTTCCGCAGAAGTGCATGTATTTGGAAAAGTGTCTTCATCCAAAGAATTATGCTCAGTTTCTTGAACAGTTAATGGACACATTTGACTCAACTGTTAAGCCAATACATGTTGTAGAACTTTCGTGTCTTCTTGGAAATGAATATAGGAAGAAAGACCAAAAGAAGTACAGCGAACTTATGCAGAGAGCGAAAGAAATTTATCTCCTGAATGCTGCAAAGTTTAAAGAAAATCCGTTATCAGAAGTTTACTTTCACAACAACTATGCACGCTTCCTTTCCGATAAAAAAGATCCTAAAGAAAACCAAAGAATTGATCACGAGACTCAATTAGCTCTAGAAGTCAGTACAAGTTTGGGTGAACTTCATCCGGAAAGAGCAGCAACTCTTCTTTTTTCGGGAATCAATGCCAAGCGCCGCAAGGAGCGTGATACAGCTAAAGAACAGCTAAGAAAGGCGTTAGAAGTCTTTCAACAGAGCCTTGGTGAACATTTTATGACAGCCGAAGCCCTGAAAGCCATTGCGGACTCTCGGTTTTTTTTCCTTGGTGGAGAAACAAAAGAGGACGACGACTTAAAATCTTGCCTCGAGTATTATAACGCAGCCATAGAAATGTTCGACGATCTTGTCGAGGGTGGAAGCAAAGAAAGCATCCTGACTTTAAAGAATTGCGCAGCTTGTCACCAGAGAAAAGGAAACTTTGATAAGGCAATGGCTTTATTCAGAAAGGCAGAACAAGTTGCCGAGAGAGAATTAGAAGAGAATCACGAATGGAAGGTCGGAATCAAGACTTTATGGGCCATCTTACATGACGAGATAGGAAACAAGGATAAAGCGAAAGAAATGATGCGTGAAGGACTGTCGATGGCCAAAAAACTAGACTTGCCAATAGAAAAGATGGGAAACAAATACCAAATACGATCGTTTATCAACCGTTATCCAGAGGATTTCCCTGAGACGGAATTCCCAAGTAAGTACTGTATCCAAGTTAGCAGTTAATAGAAGGCCCCCCTCTAACTCAAACCTAGCCCAGGCCTACTCAAACCAAAACTGATTTGCCGAAGAACTCCGCTAAATAGTTATTATTATTTTATCCTCGATATCTCAAGCCTCTCAATAACTCGAACCAGTTTTTGTTTTCCTTGCGGATATTTTAAAATAACCTTGCCCTCGGTAACTCGAAACAACAACAAAAAAAAAAGAGCTTTACCGCTATGTAGCGCGTTGAACTGATTTGAAGCAGGCGTTTCCTCCTGCGTTGTAGTAATTCCTGATATCTATCGCGGTGTCTTCAACTTTCAGGAGGAGAAAAGAAGAAAGGAAAAAGAAGATGAGAGGGAAAAAGGACAACAGCAGTTAAGATTCACAATAATAATTTAAAGAAAGGTGAAGGTGTCTGGCCATAAATGTATTTGCAAGGGACTAGAAGGAACTGAATTATAAACAAGGCATTTCTCAAGTTCCCAAAGCTCCAAATATTTTTCGAATATTTCTTCATTTTTCTTTAAAAGAAAATTTTTCTAGGATCAGATTCCTTGAGTAAATCACGAAAAAGAATTACACAATTTTTGAACTAATCCGCCACATAACTGACGATAAGGTATTGAATACTTTTTTAATCTAACTTCTGTTATTTGATCAGTCAAGCTTTCTGGAGCCTAGAAGAAAGAGCCGCACTATCCTGCAATTAATTCATTAGATTAAGGTCGGCTTTCCCTCCTGAACCTTGGGTTGGAAGGGCAAATGGAGCAAAACAGTCGCTGACAAGGAGAGGAATCGATATCTGTTATGTTCTTCCACATGGGACAGATGTCGAGAAAGGACGGGTTTCTCTTCATATGCCTCCTCGACAACTAAATTCGATTAGAGTGCTTTCATATCACAATGTTAAGATTACCCCTGTGTTGTCAGTTTCTTAAGCAAATTCATCATGCCGTTTGTTCTTAATCTTAGAAGGCTCGTTAACGTCTTTAACTCGGGATATTTTCATGATCAATGCTATCTGCATTATGAAATGCTTTCTATCCTCAAGAGAAATAGGCTTTTTTTAATCAATCGAATAAATAGTCTTAATTATTTGCACTCCGCACTCTCGCAGCCAGTCTACTAAAATAAATAATGTCTCATGGAAACTTAATTAGTCACGTCTGAGAACTTGGCATAACAATTTTGTGGCCAAGAACTTTGACGCAATTAACCATGTTGGTTTGTTAGAAATAAAAATTTTACGATGGTCTGCTCTTCAAGCCTTCTCGGTATGTTCTTGTAAGCCTTGTTGTTCCTTGCGTCAGCTCATGCCGGCATTTATTAAGACGACATTCTTGGCAGCCCGATACATCCGGCCGAATTGAAAACATTTCTCGGAATCTGCCTCCAAGACAGATCGATTTCCTACGAATTTTGTACTATCACAATAATTTTATTTAAGCTTCCATGAAAACTGCTTGAATTTCACGTGTACCACGTTTCTGTCCCTCTTTTAACCATGGAAATACCATAATTAGTAGATGAAGATATTACTTCTTTATCTAATAACCTCAAATTCCCAAGGGAATGAGCAGTACTGACGAGTGAAACGAAAATTTTGTTAATGATGTCGTTTACTAATTGGACATAAAAAAATCATCTTGAATCTCCAACCGTGAAAAACACCTATGAGACCGGTCATTATTTATGGCCGAGGGAGGAGGTGGGGTGTCGTAGGATTTTAGTCGTGCCCATGACCCCTCTCGTTGGCTGTTAATCGGCAGTCAATTTCTCTAAGTTTCTCCATTATACTCAATTCCCCGCCCTATCTCGTAAAAACCATGTGATCCCCTCCCCCCGCAGAAAAAATGATCCTCCGACCCTCTAAGCGATCTACAACGACTGGTTACGAAAGACATATGCAAATTTGCTCTAGTGTTGTATTTCGCGGAAATCAGGGAACGAAACCAATATTCCCTGTTTCTCATGGTGCTGGCGTGTCGTTGATGAGTAGCTGTGAAAAGGCTTTTCGATTTCATTGCTATCAAATCACTTCAGTGGATGAGACCTTGTCTACTCAGAGCCAAGCGTGTGCGTAGCGTGCCCCATTAACTGAAATGGAGGTTCACCAACGTTGAGGTGAGTGATGTATCAGAGTATACGGTACCACACTAGCTGAATAACTAACGAAACAAAATATTACCTTACTAATGAGAAGTGCCGAGGCTCATTCGTAGGAAGTAATTCCATCTCACATGGAAAACGAGTAAAGGGGGTAGGTTTCTAAAGAAACTGTGGTGCTGCGTCGGTGGGAGAGTATAACAGGGTAATTTAGTACTATCAACTGAGTTGATAACGTAAATTGGCCACCGTAAAGAGTTTCAAAGCTGACGTTTTAGGCGTCAGCCCTTCGCCATTCGCTCTGACGAAGGGCTAACACTCGGAAGGTCAGCCTTTAAACTCTTTACGGTGGTTAATTTACGCTTGTTTCTCTTTCACTTGATAAAACAAAACATTTGAATGCTTTTCTATTTGATTTTGTTCTCGTCTTGAATTGACACTTAAAAACATTAGCTATTTCGTAAGTGGATGCGGAAAAAAGTTCTACCTTGTTAGGCGTAAGAATTATGCTGCGTGGGCAACTGAAGATATACTCAGTCGAACACTTAACAATAATAACTCATTCGAAGAATACATTTCTGATGAGTTTAAATGAAATCACACTGCATATTATGGACTGACATAAGGATCTCTATGTCGACAAGGCGAGGAATGGTTTCTCCAAACGCCTCCATGACGATGGACTCATCTTGTGCTCCGTTCATGGCTTTAAAAATTGACATGCGTTAAGAATATGGCCGTGCTCACTCAATGCCATCCTCTTTCCCTGTCGTGGTACAACATTGATCGTTAGGCCAGCAAGTATTATTCAATCGCACAAGAATGGAGTGTTTTCTTTCGCTTGCTATCTGAAGTACCGATTTGCCTCATATTTGTCATTCGTCTAAAGTGCGAGGAACTTGCAGATCTTGCATTGTGATGGAGGCTCGAGCTTGGCTACGTTGTCTACCATGCGAGCGTCCAAAAACACGAGATACCTCAGCATTAACATTTGATTGAGTTGGCTGACATTTGTTCTCATAATACTCGTACTTCCCCAAGAAGTTGACGCAGTTGCTGTTTTGATTGCTGCACCATTTGCCCGAATCCGACAGCGAACGAGGACGCCTCGAGGATGAGAGAATTTCCCGCCAAAATGTACTCCGCTGCCTAGCTGTTGCTCACCGGCTCAGAATAACTAGTCGATAAATCCGCATAGTGATTTCTCATTCTTAACAGCTAATATTTATTTCTCGGTATATTGCTACGTCAGTCTTTTTCTCAATTAATGTTTTTTTCATTCTCGATGGGTAATTTAAAATCTCGCATGACAGTTTTTTATTCTCGTACAATGATTTCTATTTCTCATGCAGTAATTTCCCAATCTCACATATGGATCACTGAAACTCGATTGGTCAATTTGGACTCAACCCACTTTGTCGTGTATGGCTTGCCATATGAAATGGTGTCATGTTGTGGGTCACTTCTGACATCTTTCGGTTCTGTGAAGACGGCTCTTAAAATGTTTTTCAAATTTCATGGAAACGTTAAACTTCGAATAAGTAAAAACCGCGCCGTTCAGCACGAGATTTTAACTCTGAGTGCACCGCATATCTAGTGTACTTAGCAATGATGCCGAGAGAGAATTCCATTGAATCTGTTTATATTTTCTCCAAGTTTCTTAGAAAATCCGGAATGATTGCATGTCAATATGTTATGAATTCGTCATAGGTACTCTACATCATTGGAATACTTTAATTTTCAACTACAGACTTGTATTGCTTTGTTCTTGAAGCAGCAAATATTGCTTAAAGAAGAAAATACAAGTCAATTGGAAGTCACTATATGCATATTACTGGACTTTTAAGGTTATCTAGCTTGAGTGATCGTGCCAGCGGAGGCACCAGAAGTCTGATCAAGCACTTTTAGTTCATTCGGTCATTTGGTCATGCTTTAAAATATCCTAACGGTAGGCATGTTTGGGCTTACGGAAAAACTGACCTTGGGAGAGTAAACATATTTTTAGAATGCTAACCGAAACAATTTCACGAGACATTTGAAATGAACAACAAAGTACTTAAAAAACCTATATTAGAGAACTCACTAACACCTAACTATCACTTCCCGTTGAGGACTCTAAGCAAGGTTAAGGACAAACCCAAACACGACTATTGATGACGAATATCGTGCACGAATTAAGCCATATTACAATAATCGAGGACAAATCACTCAAAAGGTAAAAATAAATGTGTGGTCTTGCAGCACATGACAAACCGAGGCTGATGGATCAAGGGTCAAAGACTCGTACAAGGATTTCAAGATAATCTAACAGGCCCAAGCAGCTCCCAAACACTTAGTTAGAACATTTCTAATTTTGATAGTTCCCAAATACTTCTAATTTTAGTAGTTGAATTGGAAAGTGATTAGCTGTCAACATACCACGCAAATTTTGCTCAACAATAGAGCATGAAAGTTGAATTTTTTATGACATCACATTGTGCGTAAATGGAAATGAGCCTTCTAGAAAATTACAGATTCGTGTATCATCGCGTCTTCTGTGAATTGTTTAGTTTTTCCTGTTAAGTGGTTAAAATTTTCATATCGATTAAGAGTTGCAACTCGTGGTTGTCTGAATACAACGTAGGTCGCTTATCTGTCTTAAAAAGAAATTTCAATATAAAAAGCTTCGATAATGAGTTCATGGCACCCGGTAGATTATCATCAACAACGTCTGCGAAAATACAAAACCACTGTGCAATGCATGTTTTGTTTACGTCATTCAATTATGACAGCCGTATCAATCTAAACTAGATCACCAGTACTTTATTTACTTAAGTCATAAAGAATTGATATTAGACTTTCTGTATCTTCTTAACAAAAACATTTCTCGGAAACTTATTGGATTCCAAGAATCCTCACGGTCAGTACATTCCGGAAAACATGAATATTCCCCTCGATTTCCCAAAATAATATGTTGTCATGTCATGGGTCACATGAATATCTTTTCGTTTCTAAAAAGGTGCCTCTTTTAGCATTTTTAAGATTTTTATGGAGCTGAAGAACATGACTTTGAGCGCACTTATATCTCAAACTAGAGATTCCGACCACACTGTGACGCGGAACCAGCATGCCATCAATGGATAATATCACAGTGATCGTTACATTTTATTTCGACATCCACCAGTTTGGTTTTATTTCATCATTCAAGTTTCTGTAAAAGTCCGTAATGATTTTTTTTTTCAACAGTCAACAGTCCAAAACTCTGTTAACCGTTAATTAAATATGACTATGATCATTAAAATGACGAACTTCATCGAAAGAAGAAGCAAGTGAAAAGGGACAGCAATTAAATTGACACCAGCTGACATCGAACAAAACATATTTCCTTAGTCAGCAACTATGCATGGATTTATACATCTGAGATGACAGGACAAGCTCGTGCAAATTTCACACTGATCTTTCTCGGAAACCGTGGAAAATTATTCTTTACGGTGTATTTGCTCAAACAGGGAAATTTCCCTATGATTATCGGGAAAATTCCCTGTTTTCTGGTTATAAAATTCGTGACGATTGAAAATCGCAATTTGTGGTTATCTGAAGACAAGCTGACGTTCCTATCCCTCTCAAAAGGAATTTATTTTCAAAGAGCTTTGACGGTTGGTCATGGCAGCCGGCGGAACATCCTTACCAACTTCTGTTGGTCTTTGTGGACCCTCAGTGGCGGATAAATCGGAAGAAAAAATGAATGGCACAAAGTTGGCAAGACTGCTTATTGATGAAGGAACAAAAGTTCTGAGAAAATTTCTGGAGTCCACGCATCCAGGGTCAACATTACAGGACGCATTGAACAACAATCGCCCAAAGCTCGAGGGTCTGAGGTGGAAGCAATTTTTATTTGATGAGCAATGGGAGAAATTGTTTCCTTCCTTAGGTAAACCAGATCCGCAAAAATTCGACATCACGCTCTTACACCTATTGCTACATGAAATTTGTCATCTATCGGCTCCTCCGACTGGATGGCGCAAAATGCCTGCGGACGCTGATGCGAGCCCTGAAGCCAGCATCGTGCGTATCAAATGCTATGAAAATGAGCTTTGCCACAGTGTTTCTACTGGAGTTCCGAATGACGAATTCGAAGACAAATGGGGCAAAATATCTTCGTCCTTAGAAGTACTTAAGGTTGCCGTCTATCGGAAGAAACTTCAATCCCTGAAGAGTGCTCCTATCGATCACAAAGCTCATTTGGTTGAAGAGGAACTAGATGAACAGACGAGGGAGAAAGAACTTGAGAAGAGTGGAAAAGTCTCTGAACTCTCCAGTTGTCTTCCTGATGACTTGCCAGGAGAACATGATATTATCGGCCGTGGTGATCAAATACAAGACATCAAAGAAAAAGTTGAAAGTGGAACGGTTCCTGTAATTCTGATCACTGGTGGACCGGGATTTGGAAAGACGACCGTTGCCAAGCGAGTGGCTTGTGAATTAGATAGGCTAAAAGATCGAACTGTTTTCTTTTGTAGTTTATTATCAAAGGAAACGTTCCACGATGTGACCATGGAAATGTTTAATTCATGTAGTAAAGTGGTCAACACGCAAGTGCCGGAGAATCCGGGGCAGTGGCTTAAAGACTGGAGCAAACAGATCCATGACCAGGTCACTTTTGTTCTTGACAATGCAGATGGTGTTCTCGAGTCTGACCATCGTGAACCATTTCTTGAAACCTTACGTGATGTGAGAAAGTTATCGCGACGAAATGTCACATTTGTAATCACTGCGAGAACAACATTTGAAAATCCCGACTTGCCGTTAAAAGAGGTTAGGCTACCCCCGTTGTCGACTGAACAAGCCAAAAATCTCCTTGTTTCTCAGGTTCGCTCTTATAAACAAGATGTTCAACACGAGCTTTGCAAAGCAGAGCAACTTGTCAAATTATGTGGCTGTGTTCCTCTGGCACTGTGCATTGTTGGATCTCTGCTCTCAGATTTCGCAGAAGAAACACTCATCAAAAACCTCGAGAGAGAACCACTGGCTGTCCTCGAGGACGATCATGGATCTGTAGAAAAGGCAATAAAAACGTCTTTCGATCTTCTGACAGAAACTGAACGAGAAGCCTTTGTTCTTATGTCCACTTTTCAAGGTTCGTTCAGCTCAGTCGCTGCTGAGGCTGTTATGAAAGCATGCTCTATCCCTGGAATTTGGCCGATCAAGATTATTCGTTCCTTGAAGAGAAAATCACTCATAGAGCAGCCAAGTTCCCGAAGATATCAGATGCATCCGCTCATTCACTCGTATGCAAGGAAGACTGGTCTAGAAAATGATCCCGACCTTTTAGCTAGAGGGGAAAAATTGGCCTGTGTCCACTTCATTTCTTGTCTAGCGAACAATGCCAACATGTACTGGAGAAAGGACAGCTGCAAAGAGTCTCTTGATTTATTTAACGAGGACAGGGACAATTTCGAGTACTTTTTACACATCTACGCTCAGAGAAGGAAGGACCAGGATGAAAAAATCGCGGAATACTCTAAGACCTTTTTGGAAAGTTTTCCACAGAAGTGCATGTATTTGCAGAAGTGTCTCCCTCCAAAGATCTACGCTGATATCCTTGAACAGTTACTGGACACGTTTGACTCAGTTCTTGAACCGGTAAACTTTGTGGAACTTTCGTGTGCCCTTGGACATGAATTTAGGAAAAAAGATCAGATGAAGTACAATGAACTTATGCGGAAAGTGGAGAGAATTTACTCTTTAAACTCTGATGAGTTTGACCGAAATCCGTTGGCAAAGGTCTACTTTCATAACAGTTATGCACGCTTCCTTTCCGATAAAAAAGATCCCAGTGAAAAGCAAAGAATTGACAGAGAGAATCAAATTGCTTTAGATGTATGCTATGAAAGTTTGGGTGATCGTCATCCAGAGACAGCAGCTACTCTTCTCCTTACAGGAATAATTGCACAACGCCTTTGGAATCTTGATGTAGCTAAAGAAAGGTTAACAAAGGCGTTAAAACTATTTCAAGAGGTCCTTGGTAAACATTTTATGACTGCTGAAACCCTGAAAGCTAAAGCAGACCTGTTGCTCGCTCCCGATAAATCTGTAACCGACTTGAAACCTTGCCTTAAGTATTATGAAGCAGCTTTGGAAATGTTTGATCATCTAGGAGTGGGTGGAAGCAAGGAAAGTATCTTGCCATTAAAGAACTTTGCGAGTTGTCATACGACAAGTGGCAACTTTGACGAGGCAATGAAGTTATTTAGGAAGGCAGAACAGGTTGCAGAGCGAGAACTAGAGAAAAATCACACTTGGAAAGTCTCGATAAAGACTTCACTGGGCTTATTGCATGAGAAAATGGGTAAAGTGGAGTTGGCGAAAAAGGTGATGCTTGAAGGACTGTTAATGCACAAAGGACTAGGACTTGCAATGGACAAGATAGGAAACAAACTCATGATTCGGAAATTTATAAATCGATATCCGAAGATCTTCCCCGAGGCTGAGTTTCCAAGTAAGTACAAGGTTCATTTTCCAATTACATATTACATCGTCATAAAGCTGCTTGACTGTGGAAGAGGTCTGAACGAAATTTTGGAATACTTATCCAGTGGCTACTGTGAATGAGGAAGTTGTTGACTCCACGATCAATAAAAAGTACATAGATCCTTTTCAAGTACACGTTTCCAGAAACATATTTTTGTGGTTCAAAACTCGTAACTATCGTCAGTACGATAATTCATTGTGAACTGAAACGCCATTATTTCCGCCCCTATCTCATCCAATCGAATATCAGTTGATATTCTCGTCTGATCCTAAAAACGCTGTACATTTAAGTGTGATTACGTCTGGACACTTCGTCATGAATGTTGCAAAGCGATGTACATGATCTTTGTGTTTGATATTCTAATTGGGTGTATTTATATTACCCTTGTAAGTAAATCTGCTTACTTTTCATACCTAGAGGAAACTTGAATCTATGAATGCTTTAAGTCATAAACAAACGAATCCAAATATCTACTTTTGTTTGTAAATTTCAGGAAACGTTTCCGGGCGAACTGGCCATTAAGGCAAACATTCAAGCAAAAAGTCCAAGGCTGGATCACCATAAGAAGGGGACAAAGAAATGTTAGTGGTGACAAGAAAGAACTTTAAGAACAATGTGGTATTCGACTTTTTGCAAACTGACGACCGAAACAAAGGAAGAAGAGGGAAGGGAAATAAGTAATGTCATTAACAACTCGCAAATACCCGACAGTCGTAGGTCGTACTTTTTTAGAACAATTTATTTCAGTATTACAGATCGAACGAGCTGAAAAAAAATCATTGCTGACCCACAAAAATAGCAAATGTTTAAAACTTCAGTGTTTTGCAATTTATGACAACACAATTTTGTAAGGAAAATTTTACTAGAAGACTTGTATGCGTATGAAACGTTTTAGTTCATTAAATAATGCTCGGTGAATATCTTCGTTGCAAATCACCAGAATTAGATTACAAAGACATGGAAGTCAAAAATCGTTACGCGACTTCAAAATGTTTTGAGTGTTTGGCAAAACGAACAGATACTTGCTCGAGCTTTTAGTACAGTCGTACCTGTTGAAAACTAAAAAACTTTAGCGATAACACTACTGAGCCTAAAAAAAAAAAACTACCCCTGTCTACCTCAGACAAATTGCATCATGATTACATTAGCTGCCTAAAGCGCTGAGGATTTGAATCTGACTACATATGCCTCGATTTATCGCGCCGTTTTGTGATTCCTTGGATAACACTTGAATTAAGAGGTGCAGTTCACGTCACGTCACGTCACGTCACGCATAGCCTCCACTTTGGCGATAGTTTGGACATCTTGATATAAGCTCCCTAATCTTAAACATTTCTTGGAAATTGCTGTCTTCTGAGAATTATGTTACAAAGCATCTCCCATTCAAACTGTCATTTTAGCCTCATATTTTCTTGAGCAAAATGGTACCATGCAAAAGGTCGCGTTCATTGAGATTCCAAAACATTCAATTCAAAATCGAGCTCTCGAAAAATCAGTGACCCTGGCAGCACTGTTCGCCACAGGCTATTAAAAACTAAGGTTATATTGCAAGTGTACAGAAAGGAGCCAATATATATTTTTCTTTTGCGCCCGAACGCGATAAATGTTTGTTCACTTGGAAGGTGATATTTAAGACAACGATGCTCGGCCTAAATTGCAATAAAGCCTCTATGTAGTTTTATGAACGGTTACTACTACAATATGGTTTCGTGCTCGGGCGAGTTCAGGACGACTTATTGCCACAGTGTCTGTTTTATTTGGTGAATCGTTTGCACGAGTTATAAGTAATTATAATGTTAAGCTAAAGTTGAAGTTACACGAACCGTGACATTAAGCTTCCCAGAAACAAACATCTCGAATATCCAGCCTTGCATGACACTTAATTCATGCTTTGACAGTCTCATGCATGACAGACACATGCAAATTGACTTATTATACACCCATAAGTCCAAAGATCTTTCTCGGAAACTAGATCACCTCTTTTTTTCTTAGAACTTTTTGCCTTCTTGTAATGTGGTTTTGAGTTCATTAGGCTGATTAATGTGTTTAAGGATGGCGACAAATGCGATCATGAATCCGACAAACACACCCACGCATCGGTGAGGTAAGCTTATTCTCTCATTTTCCAAACGAAATTTCCATAAATACTTGTCTTGCCACCAAGACCATTCCTCGAGTTAAAACACGAAAGATAATGGCTGGCACAGCCTCTTCTGCTGTTTCTCCTGTTTCTTCTGGATCTTCTGTGCTAAATGTATCAGAGGAGAAAACGAATGGCACGAAGCTAATGCAACTGTTGGTTGACGGAGGAACACACGTTCTTCACAATTTATTACATTCTGTCTACCCAACGGATAAATTACAAGTCGTATTAAACAACAACAAGGCAAAGCTTCAATTGCTAAGGTCCAGAGGTGTAATATTTAAAAACCAGTGGGAAATGTTATTTCCTGCCTTAGGCGATCCACCGGACTCAAAAACGTTCGACATTTCACTTTTACATCTCTCGCTTCGTGAAATTTGCCATCTTACGGCGCCTTCAACCGGCTGGCACAACATGCCTGCAGAAGATGATAAGAGTCTTGGAGCAAACATTACCCGCATCAAATGTTTCCGAAATGAGCTGTGTCACAACGTCTCTACCGAAATTCCAAACGCTAAATTCGAGGACAAGTGGAACGAGATAGCATTGTCTTTAGAGGCAATTAAGATTTGTGTTCTACAAAAGGGACACGTAGAGGAAATGGAAGCACTGAAAAAAGATCCCATTGATCACAATACAAAGCGACATTTGGAGGAACTAGCTAAAGAATGGAACAAAATACAAGAACAAGAAAGGATTCACTCATCAAGTTTTAGCCCTCGCAGCTGTTTACCGGACATAATACCGAAAAAAAATGTATTTGGCCGTAACCAAGAAATAGAGCGTGTCACGAAAATGGCTGAGGGTGGAGACATCCCTGTTGTCCTTGTTACTGGTGGACCTGGATTTGGAAAGACGACTGTGGCTAAACGAGTGGCTCATGAATTAGAAATTTCAGAGAAGGAAGGAACTGTGTTATTTTGTAGTTTACAAACGAAATCAACTTTAAATGAAGTGGCCATAAGAATGATCAACATATGTGGTTCAGTCAGCACACAAGTACCAGAGAATCCGGGGCAGTGGCTAAGAGACTGGAGCAAACAGATTCAAAGCCAGGTCACGTTCGTTCTTGAGAACGCAGATGGCGCTCTTGAATCGGGCGATAGAGAGTCATTCCTGAGCCTTTTATGTGACTTACGAAGTCTATCGAGGCAAAAGGTAACATTTGTTATTACTACAAGGAAAACATTTGAACATTCCGACTTGCAGCCAAAAGAAGTCAGGTTGCACCCTTTGTCCACGGAACAGGCAAGAGATCTCCTTGTTTCCCGAGTGCAAGTCTATGAAGGTGCTCCACAGAAACTTTCCAGGGTAGATTACATTGTTCGTGATCTATGTGGCTGTGTTCCTTTGGCACTTTGCATTGTTGGTTCTCTTCTTTCAGATTATTCCGAAGAAACACTCATAGCAAGCCTTGAAAAGGAACCATTAGCTGTCCTAGAAGACGACCAGAGTTCTGTAGAAAAGGCCATTAAGACTTCGTTTGACCTTTTGGAGAAACCCGAACAAGAGGCTTTCATTCTCCTGTCTTTGTTCCAAGGTTCATTTGATATTGATGCAGTCCAAGCTGTGACGAAGGCCGAATGTTCGATCTCTGGGGCTTTGCCAGTCTCCATCCTGCGCTCATTGAAAAACAGATCTCTTGTGGAGAAGCCCTATGCCCGCCGATATCAGATGTATCCGCTTATTCAGTCATACGCAAAGAAGATTGGTCGTGATAGGTATGACGAGCTTTTGGCAATGGGCGAAAAACTGGCTAGTATACACTTCATGTTGCGCCTCGCGAAGAATGCCAATATTTACTGGAGTAAGGACACATGCAAGGATTCCCTTGTTTCTTTTCAAGAAGACAAGAACAATTTGGAGTATTTTCTTCAAATTTACGCCCGAGGCAGGGAAGAACAAGATCAAGAGATCGTGAACGGCTGTAAACTCTTTCTAGACAGTTTTCCGCAGAAGTGGATGTATTTAGAAAGATGCCTTCTCCCACGATCTTACACTGAGACTCTTGAGAAGTTACTGAAAACTTTTGACTCTCGTATCCAACCGGTGCACACTGTGGATCTTTTGTGTCTTCTTGGACATGAATACAGGAAAAAAGGAAGAATAGAAAGGTACAAGGAGGTTATGGATGAAGCGCATCGAATTCTCTCAGGGAACGCCACTGCATTCCGAACAAAACCGTTATCTGAAGTCTACTTTCACAACAGTTATGCTCGATTCCTTTCGGATAAAAAAGACTCAAAGGAAAACGCAAGGAGGGACAAAGAGACTGAAATGGCTCTAAAGGTCTGCCATGAGAGACTGGGAAAAATGCACCCAGAGACAGCAGCAACTCTCTATCTCTCAGGAATCATCGCAAAGCGCAATAAAAAACCCGAGCAATCTGAGCAACAGCTCAAGGAGGCTAAGTCAATTTTTCAGAACTGCCTCGGCACACACTTCATGACTGTTGAGACTTTAAAGGCCATCGCAGACTGCCTTTTTTTTCTTGAAGGGAAGAACAAAAATTACTCGAAAATGTGCCTTGAGCATTACCAAGCAATCGTGGAGATGTTCGAGGAACTTGGAGCGAGCGGTAGCAAAGAAATTGTTTTGACCCTAAAGAACTTTGGAATGTGTCACATGAAAAAGCACAATTTTGAAGAAGCAATGGTCTTACTTAGAAAGGCACAACAAGTTGTCGACCGAGAACTAGAAGAAAATCACAAATGGAAAGTCGGGATAAAGACTGCGTTGGCTATATTGTATGACAAAATGGGAAAACAAGACATGGCGATAGACGAAATGCAAAGGGACTGCGAATGGCAAAAATATTTGACCTGTCAATAGATCGCATGGGAGACAAAGACGACATAATAGACTTCACAGGACGCCATCCGGAGGAATTCCCAGAGTCTGAGTTTCCAAGTAAGTAATGTTTTCTTTTTCTAGTCACCTGGAGGATCTGCTCGAGGAGATATTTTAAAATAGAAATCAGTCCTGAACCCAACTTGGCGCTCTTTGATATCGCTTTCCACTCGTTTTAGGAAAACCATAAGAAGAGGTTAGAAATCTAATCTTGTCACAAGGGAGCAAGCGCGTGCCGTAACTTTTAATGCAAATTGCAAGTACCCCTTTCACTGCTTTTTTTTTTAGCCAAAACGTGCTTCTGCACCAACTGATTACGTTGGTATTTATGATGTCAGTTAAAAAGTCAGTTTTTTACATTCCTGGACATAATGCTATGCATAAGCAGTATATTTAAACGGCTATTTCATCGTACTTATAAGTGACTTTGTACTCATTTTATTAAATTATGCGTTTTAAGACCTTTTAAACCTCAGTTTTTTCATTGGAAGTTAAAGGTGGCATGCTTGAAGTTCGAGCCCAGACCGGAAAGAATAACCCGAAAAAAATGATGGATTGGTCACCTGATAACCCATAGCACCTGATCTGAATTTCAACATTCTTTTATGAATCAATGTGAATAGAAACGTCTTTTATTTGTGCTTTCACCTCCTCAGGCACGCATGTCGAACTTTAGGTAAATAAAGGGCGTAAAAGGTACTTGGAGTTTTTATCGTGAGCTCTTTTCCCATTAATGAGAAGAAACTTGCACCCCTATCAAATCAGTGTACCGTGATAATTCATGCATACTGCGCTTTTACTTTCAGGAAGTGTTGCCAGTCGAACAGGCCATCGAGTCGAACAGCCCCACTTTCCCAGAAAGTGGAAAGGTGGCTTTGGAAGAGGAAGGAATCAATCAGAGAATTGAGGAAAAAGGTTGTTTACTGATGGAGAACAATTTAAATGATAGCGTTAGCATACTCTTAAACTACCAAACTGAATATTCATGATTTGCAAACCATGATGATGAAGATCATTCTTTGAAATGACTGCTGCAAATCGAATTTACAGTAATAATTTTATATTTCACGCGTGAAGATAACGATACAACAAGAGAAAGTAGGGATCTCTTAAATACAACCAATTAGCTTTCGTGTAGTTTTTTTTTTCTCGTGTATGAAAAATGTAAGCAATTTAATCATTTTGAAGCGAGAGACACATTACCAACGATTAACAATTAACCAACTTCTGTCAGCGTGTCTCGCACTAATTATTTTGATAAATAGGTTCCATTGTGTTGCGCGTCTGTTCAGTAATGGTTCACTGATGACGTCAAATGTGGTAAAAAACCGGAAAGTGAGGCAAAAAGCGCAGCAGAGTGTGTCGCTCATGTTTTTATCACATTTAGACATCATCTGTGAACTCCTACTTTACAGAATTACTACAACATGGAGTCCATTTGTTTTATACATTTTATATGATAAAAAAACAGTTGTTAATAATTGTATTCACTCCATTCAGAATTTTTTTTCAGATTGTAACCCAGCTGGCTATACTTTTGGCTGGAGGGGTAGTTTTAAGGGTGATTTTGGGAAATGTAATGCTCTGATCAGTAGAGCGAAGTATTTAGTATTTAGCAACTTTTAACTTTCTGTCCGCTTGATTATTTTAACCGCAGTATGAGTTTGTCCTCCTCTCCTCGAAATTTTGCAACTTATTTGTTTTTCATATCAAAATGTTGAGCGAGAAATCTTGATTTTTACTCATCACTGTTACTCGCCGTATAGGCACAAAAAAAGGAGCTATTATGAATTTTAAATACAATAAAATTTTATATTTTTTTTAGGAAAAGAATGATATGGTCTTTTCCTTTTTCTCAGAGCTGTTAAATTTCGACCGATCTGCTGAAGAAATATTCGAATTAAGTAAAATTATGAAAATTGGATATCTTAACATAATCGCTGGCAGCAACGATAAGTAAATTAATAAATAAAAATTCTATCAACGAATACATCCTGTTTTTGATGGAGTAATAGGATATTGGTGCAAACTGTAACCGTGAACGCTCAGGACTGATATCAAATATTGAAATAATGAAACACAGGTTTGCGGAGATACTCTGTAAGACAAAAGCAAAACCAAAAACACCATAACTTCATATATGTTTCGTTCCATTAGTTAATGTAGACAAGTCCGAACCTTATCGGGGAAAGTTTCAGTGAAGATTGAAATGAGACCCTTAATGCTTCAATTTGTTATGATTATTTTTATGATGAACCTTGGTTATTTTTACTTATTTCATTGATAATCATGGATGAAATACAAGGGGTACACCCAATGCTGTGCAATGAAATTATGCGTGACTCCCCTGGAAACACGATATCCCGGATAACCCTGTATAATAATTTGCTAAATTTAGAACATTTCGTAGAAGTTACTTGGCCTCAAAGAATCTTTAAGATCATTATCTTCCAGACAAAATGAGTGTCCGCTTCTGATATCAAGAGTGAAATTATGGCAAGCCAAACAAGACAAAAGTAGGTTAAGTTCAAAATTACCTATCGAGTTATCACTATATGAGAAATATAATTTACCGAACGAGAATGAAAAACTGTCATGTGAGATTTTAAATCACCCATTGACAATGGAAAAACATTAATCGAGGAAAAGATCGATGCAACAAGATTCCGAGAAATAAATATTGACTGTTGAGAATGAGAAATTGTTGCATGAGTAAAATAAGTTACTACACGAGATTATCGATTAGTTTTCCTGAGCCCGTGTACAGCAATCAGTCAGCGGAGTGTATTTCTCGCAAAATGGCGGAGCAACGGAGTGCAGAAGACTTTACAGCATTTGTTGATTCTCTCAGGAGTACCATCGAAAGAACCGCTTCCGTTTATCACGCATATGATCATGAACGATTAGAAATCTGTGCTAGGAAGCTTGAAGAACACATAGGAATGGTTATCGCGATATCTCTGTCCCAAAATTCCTCTCCAGACCTGTTTGAGGTGTTAGAGCTGTGTTATTAAGAAGGTCGTCTGATATTTTAAATGCATCAAGCTTTCGTCCAAAGGAGAAAAATCAGTTGGCATAATCTGCAAGTTCAAGAGGAAGACCGAGGTACTTAATTACAAGGTAAATGATCGAGCAACTGCGTAAGACTGGTATGAACTGGAGAATTAATAGCAACATGCCTTTGAATCTCCAACCAAACACTACACACACAAAGGATCGAGTTTGGAGTAAGAAACAGTTTCACAAATATTACGAGTGAAGAATTAGACGCGCAACGATAGCAGACTCTCAATTTAACACTCTATAGCGGAGAAACCCATGTTAGGGGCAGTCTCAAAGGTAGGGGTACAAATGATCATCAGTTCAGAATCAGAGAAAGCTTGAAAAAGATAAATGGTGTAGGTAGAGCTGTAAGACGTCGGTATGCAATCTGTCAGAGAACTTACAATGTCACTCGCCCAAATCATTTGTGGCACACTGACTCGAACCATTTGCTAACTCATTAAGATTTGTCATCCATGGATGCATCAACGGCTACAGCAAAGCCATTGTATATCTGAAATGTTGTGCAAAAAAACAAAGCTAGTGCTGTGCTTCAATATTTTGAGCAAGGGGTACAAGAGTCTGGTCTCCCTTTCAGGGTTCAAGGTGACCAGGGTATGGAGAATGTAGATGTAGCCAGGTACATGCTCATCAAACAGGGATCTGATAGAGGTAGCTTCATTGTTGATACAAGTGCCCACAATCAGCACATTTAAAGGCTATGGGCATAAGTTAATAGAGTCAGCTCAGCACTTTACAAGGATTTGTTTGATTTCCTTGTGAGTGGAAATTTGGACTCACTTGATGAGTAACACCTGCTGGCTTTGCAATATGTTTGTATTCCTTGGATCAATGCCTCTATACATGAGTTAAAAAGCCAGTGGAATTATTGTGGTATTAGAACAGTAGGCCACCAAACACCCTAGGGAATGTGATACACTAAATTACTCAATGCTCACGAGGAGTCTACTGGGACAAATTGGCAGACATATGGAATTGTTTTTGATGGTCCAGTGACTGATGTTGAAACAGACAACAATGTTGTTGTTGTACCAGAGTCATTCAGTCAGCTTACAAATCACCAACTGCATAAATTATATACTAGGATTGACCCTCTCCCTGATGGAGACAATGGAATTACCCACCTTCTGAACACTGTGACAATCATTGAAGGTTTTACAGAGCAGTAATGAATTTAAAATTTATCAGCTTCTAATTAAAAATATTTTGATATTTCCTGTTATGATAATGGAATGACATTCACAAGATCATTGTTTTCCCTCCCTCATATGGGCTTCATAAAGATGGAAAAGCTTACTGCAGACATGTTTTCAATACAAATAACACACTGAGAAGATCAACCAGTCAATAAGATTGGAGTTATGCTGTTGTCTTCAAAGCTTTTATAATGAAGTGGTCATCTCTTTTTTTTCAGTGGTTAAAAAATTGCACTGAACACAAAGAGAGGAAGAAAATTTGATTCATGATTTGTCTGGAGGTTGAAAATGAAAGTCATGACACTTTTTAGCAGCTGTCACAGGTATAGTTGATCCCTTAACAATAACTTCAAGTATGAGTCTTGAATTTTGATGGTTTTAATCTTAATGAAATGTTGTCATTTTCCCTGATTTATCATCAAACCATTTTCACATTTTCTAGATGCATTTACTTTGTGGTGTAAGTAATGCACTAAAACTAATGCAGTTTTTTGTGCAGTTTGAAGTTTAGGCATTGATTTCTTAAATGTAGAAGGCAACTACTGGTAGTAAAAGCAACATGTCACTTTTTACCCTAAGTTGCCTTATTCCAAGGGGCTGACAAATTACTATCATGCTATGTAATGACCACTTACAGGACTGTAATGAATAAAGTCGATTCATGATTTATTTATGTTCATAATATAGGAGGTCAGCTGATAAAATTGTTACTTAGAGTTTGTAGTCTTGAAACTAGCAAATTTTACATCCTTTCAAAAGGCTTTCTAACTTGTAACCATTTAACCAACTGCTGGTGACAACTGTAATTTGAATAGATATAACTGTATGACTTGATCCTAGTTGGAAAGTTGAGAAATTCCATCAACAGTAACTTGTATTCTCTGTTACGACAAATCTTTACACCAGTTATATGTAAATGTTATGCATAGAACAAAAACTGTGACACTGAGAAGCAAATTTCAAAGTGCTCAGGTAGTAAAATGTTCATTTCAAAGCATTAAAAGTGTTCAATGTTTTGAAAAAACAATTGTTGCTCCTCTTTCAGAACCATAAGAACATGGATAGAGATTTGGTCTTTCATTGATGTTTACAAACCATTTCAGGTGTTCAAAGAATGTACATTCTGCTTTATTTTTCTGGTTCAGCTTTTTGAATAACTTTGAATAATTTTTTTTGGATGTTAGCTGCTTACTTTGGTAAAAGATGTTGAGTTTCTTGAGGAACTGAAAGTTTTATTTAAAGCATAATACCTAGAGAATTGGATTCCAGTAGTTGATCACATATCTTGGCCTCTGGACAAGTTCCTGGTGGGTAAGCTTTATGATAATGGCTTCAATGTTGTTCTTACTTGGTGCTTTAAAACACTTGAATGATGTAAGTAAGTCCAAGACATCTTCATCATTAGGTTCAAAATCATCACCAAGGCACTTTTCTAATGCCTCTCTATCTTCTGTAGCTAAAAATTGTCTAAAGCTTTTTATCAAAGTCTCTGAAGTGATAACATCATCCCCATAAAGACACAGGACCACAAAGAGGTGACACAAATTTAATGGGATGTAAAATTTCAGGAATGATGCTCTGCATGTCATACCTAATAAATGAACTTTTCCATTGTTTCCAATCATCAGTGATATGAAGCACTTTTGCCAAAAGCATGCTAAAAGATCTAGAAGAATCCCCTTGCCTTCTCACTCCTCTTCTTGCCCAGCAGTGCCAACATGTGGAGATGGTAGTTCAAAGTACTTTCATCTTTGAAAATCTGCATCACTTCTTCCCGAATAGCAACTTGAGTAGGCCATCATCAATGGTTTAATCCTGTGAAATGCCTTGAGCTGCAGGCAGTTTACTTATGCTTTCAATGGGTGGCTGCTGTGGAAACCGTTCAGTGATCTCCTATCAGCTGACATTATTGGGACTGGCAAGAGTTAGTTATTGGGACTAAATAATGGCCTGTCCTTCGCTCGATCTAGAGGCACTTCATAATTGGGATTGATGGTTACACTCGCGTTTGCAGCATGAGCTTGTCTAGCACAAAGACTTGTTTCAGTGTAAGAGGGTACACTCTGTGTAGGATTTATGGTTGCAGTAGAAGTTGTAGCATGAGTTTGTGCGCCAGTTGAGCCTACTATGAGGGTGTGCAGTATATTCTGTCTGAAGGTTGGTGTTACCGTTGAAGTTGAAGCATGAGCTCGTGTGGAAGTTGGACCTGTTTCAGTGGCATGAGGTAGTCTCTGTACAGGATTTGCTATTATAGTTAAACCAGCACAGGAGCACAGGAGGGATTGCCTGTAAGTTTTGTCACCGGATCTGGTAACATTGCTGCTAGCAAGGTATCATCATCATCAAATTCAAATTCTGGATCATCTTTAGTGTCAATATCCTTCAAAATTAACAAACAGAACTAAACTAAAGACAAATAAATTTACAAGAAACAGTACATGTATGGATTTTTTAGAGGCATTATCAATTTACTTATAAGCCAATTCATTGTTTGATTTTGGAAATTTGTTTCCATTGTCCTGATTCAATATAAGTATTTCCAGCCCTTCTTTATCAAGCCAAATTATACACGGGAGGTGCAGTATTGGGCATGATTCGAATGGTTGTCTTAATTACTCATTATTACGCATTGATAACTTAAATTTTGCAATCATTTGCACAAGAAATCAAGTCGAGTTACTGCAAATCGTACCACTTTACTTGGCCTTACATACACAAACTTGTTTTTGAAAAAGCGATTTTGTAAAAGAACCCCAATAATACCTTTCTGACCTGGTGTAAGTGATGGCTTAACGAGCTTATTATGGACTGACATATGGACTGACATAAGGACTTCTATGTCTACAAGGCGAGGAATGGTTTCTTCAAACGCCTCCATGACGATGACTTTAAAAAATTGACATGCATTAGGAACATGGCCGTGCTCACTCAATGTCACCCTCTTTCCCTGTTGTGGTACAACATTGACTGTTGGGCCAGTAAATATTATTAAATCACCAAGAATGGAGTGTTTTCTTTTTCTCTTGCGATCTGAAGTACCGATTTGTCTCATGTTTGTCATAGGTGCGAGGAACTTGCAGAACTTGCATAGTGATGGAGGCTCGAGCTTGGATTACGTTGTCTACTATGCGAGCGTCCAGAAACACGAGATACTTCAGCAGTAATATTTGATTGAGTTGGCTGTCATTTGTTTTGATAATACTCGTACTTCCTCAGGAAGTTGACGCAGTTGCTGTTCTGATTGCTGCGAGGACGCCTCAAGGATGAGGGAATTTCCCGCCAAAATACATTCCGCTGCCTAGCTGTTGCTCACCGGCTCAGAAATAGCAGTCGATAAATCCGCATAGTGATTTCTCTTTCTCAACCGGTCAATATTTATTTCTCGGTATATTGCTACGTCAGTCTTTTTCTCAATTAATGTTTTTTCATTCTCGATGGGTAATTTAAAATCTCGCATGACAGTTTTTATTCCCGTACAATGATTTCTATTTCTCATGCAGTAATTTCTCACATATCGATCACTGAAACTCGATAGGTAATTTTGGACTCAACCCGCTTTTGTCGTGTATGGCTTGCCATATGAAATGGTGTCATGTTGTGGGTCACGTCTAACATCTTTTCGGTTCTGTGAAGACGGCTCTTAAAAATGTTTTTCAAAATCATGGAAACGTTTAAACTTCGAATAAGAAAAAACCGCGCCGTTCACCCGAGATTTTAACTCTGAGTGCACCTTCAGCTAAAACTCGGGATTCCAATCCAACCGTGACGTGGGACTTGCCCTCGCATGCTAACAGTAAATGGATTATACCGCACATCAAGTGTACTTAGCAATGATGCTGAGAGAGAAGTCCATTGTGTATTTGTTTACATTTTCTCCAAGTTTCTGAGAAAATCCGGAATAATTGCTTGTCAATATGTTTTGAATCCGGCACAGGTACTTTACGTCATTGGAATACTTTAATTTTTAACTACAGACGTGTATAGCTTCGTTCTTTAAGCAGCAAATATTGCTTAAAGAAGAAAATGCAAGTCACTATATTCATATTACTGGACTGTTAAGTTTAACTAGCTTGAGATACCGTGCCAGCGGAGGCACCAGAAGTCTGATCAAGTACTTTAAATTCATTCGGTCATTTGGTCACGCTTTTAAATAACGGTAGGCATGTTTGGGCTTACAGGACAACTGACCTTGGAAGAGTGAACATATTTTTAGAATGCTAACCGAAACAATTTCACGAGACATTCGAAATAAACAACAAAGTACGTACAAAACCAATATTCAAGAACTCGCTAAAACCTAAACATCACTTTCCGTTGACGACTCTAAGCAAGGTTAAGGACAAGCCCATACACGACTATTCATGACGAATATCGTGCGAGAGTTAAGCCATATTACAATGGTCGAGGACAAATCACTGAAAAGGTAAAAATAAATGTGGTCTTGCAGCACATGACAAACCAAGGGTCACAAGGATTTCAACATAATGTAACAGGCCTAAACAAATCCCAAACACTCAGTCAGAACATTTCTAAATTTAGTAGTTCCCAAACACTTCTAATGTTGGTAGTTTAATGGAAAGTGATTAGCTGCCAATGTACCACGCAAATTTCCGATTTTTAATGCACGACACATATCAAATTCCGAAAGACACCTAAGGGCTTCCTTGAGAGCGGAATCAATACTAATAACTTCACAATCAGAGTTCCCCAACTTTCTCTTTCTCACGAAAGCGAAATGTCAGAATGACGCTCAAATGACATATTTGGCTTGTGGTTGACAGCTAGAGCTTAACCGCACCAATCAGGAACTGTAGACAATGATCTCTCTCGGAAACCATAGAAAATTATTCATCATCCAGTATTTCCTAGAACTCATTGGGAAATTTCCCTGTAGACTGGTTATAAAATTCGTGTCGATTGAAAATCGCAATTCGTGGTTATCTGAAGACAAGCTAACGTTCTTATCCTTCTCAAAACGAATTTGCTTTGTAATAGCTTTGACAGTAGGTCATGGCAGCCGGCAGAACATCATCACCAACTTCTGCTGGTCTTGGTGGACCCTCAGTGGCGGATCTCTCGAAAGAAAAAACGAATGGCACAAGGTTGGCAAGACTGCTTATTGACGAAGGAACAAAGGTTTTAATGAAATTCTTACATTCCATACATCCAGAGTCAACCTTACAGAACGCATTGAACAACAATCGCCCAAAGCTCGATGGGCTGAGGCGGAAGCGAGTAATATTTGATGAACAGTGGGAGAAACTGTTTCCTTCCTCAGGTAAACCGCCAGACTCGAAAGACTTTGACATCACCCTCTTACACTTACTTCTCCGTGAAATTTGTCATCTATCGGCTCCTTCGACCGGATGGCGCAAAATGCCTGCCGACACTGATGCCAGCCCTGAAGCCAGCATCGTGCGTATCAAATGCTATAGAAATGAGCTTTGCCACAGTGTTCCTACTGGAGTTCCGAATGACGAATTCGAAGACAAATGGAATAAAATATCTTCGTCTTTGGAAGTACTTCAGGTTGCCGCCCATCGGAAGAAACTACAGTCCCTGAAGAGTGCTACCGCCGATCACGAAGCTCAATTGGTTGAAGAGGAACTCGAACAATGGAGGAGGGAGAAAGAACTTGAGAAGATTGGAAAAGTCTCTGAACTCTCCAGTTGTCTTCCTGATGACTTGTCAGAAGAACATGTTATCGGCCGTGGTGATCAAATACAAGACATCAAAGAAAAAGTTCAAAGTGGAACGGCTCCTGTAATTCTGATCACTGGTGGACCGGGATTCGGAAAGACGACCGTAGCAAAGCGAGTGGCCTGTGAATTAGCCAAATCCGAGAATGAAAGAACTGTGTTGTTTTGTAGCTTATCATCAAATACTACTTTCAACGAAACGACTATGGAAATGATCAACTCATGTCTTAAAGTGGTCAACACGCAGGTACCAGAGAATCCGGGGCAGTGGCTCAAAGACTGGAGCAAACAAATTCAAGAGCAGGTCACTTTTGTTCTTGACAATGCAGATGGTGTCATCGAGTCTGAAGATCGAGAATTGTTCCTCAATTTCTTACGTGATGTAAGAATGTTTTCGCGACAAAATGTCACATTTGTGATATCTACAAGAAGAACATTTCAAAATACTGACTTGAAACCAAAAGAAGTCAGGCTACGCGAGTTGTCAAACGAACAGGCCAGAAGTCTTCTAATTGCTCAAGTTCACCTCCACGAACAAGGTTTCCAGCAACAACTCTTTAAAGCAGAGCGCATTGTAGAACTTTGTGGCTGTGTTCCTCTGGCCCTGTGCATTGTTGGATCTCTGCTTTCAGATTACACCGAAGAAACTCTTATTAAAAAACTGGAGGAAGAACCACTTGCTGTACTAGAAGACGATGAAGGATCTGTAGAAAAGGCCATCAAGACCTCTTTTGATCTATTGACTGAAGCTGGACAAGAAGCCCTCGTTCTAATGTCAACTTTCCAGGGTTCTTTTGACTCAGGTGCTGCCGAGGCTGTAATGAAAGCGTGCTTAGTTCCTGGAATTCAGCCCATCAAGATTATTCGCTCCTTGAAAAAGAGTTCGCTAATCGAGCAACCAAGTTACCAGAGGTATCAAATGCATCCACTCATTCACTTGTATGCAAGGAAGATTGGTCAAGCCAAGTATGTCGATCTTTTAGTTAAAGCAGAAAAATTGGCTTGTGTTTATTACATGTCTCGCCTTGCGAACAACGCCGAATTGTACTGGAAAAGAGACAGTTGCAAAGAATCCCTCTTTTCATTCAACAAGGACAGAAACAATTTCGAACATTTTCTTCGTATTTATGCCCAAGGAAGGGAGGAAAAGGATGTAGAGATTATGGAACGCTCTCAAACTCTTTTGGAGAGTTTTCCACAGAAGTGTATGTATTTGGAAAGGTGTCTTCATCCAAAGAATTATGCACAGTTCCTTGAACAGTTACTGGACACATTTGACCCAACTGTTCAGCCAATGCGTGTTGTAGAACTTTCGTGCCTTCTTGGACATGAATATAGGAAGAAAGACCAAAAGAAGTACAACGTACTTATGCAGAGAGCGGAAGAAATTTATCGCCTGAATGCTGCGAAGTTTAAAGGAAATCCGTTATCAGAGGTTTACTTTCACAACAGTTACGCACGCTTCCTTTCCGATAAAAAAGATCCTAAAGAAAACCAAAGAATTGACCAAGAGACTCAATCAGCTCTACGTGTCAGCAGTGCAAGTCTGGGTGAACTTCATCCGGAAACAGCAGCAACTCTTCTTCTTTCAGGAATCATTGCCAAGCGCCGTAAGGAGCGTGATACAGCTACAAAACAGCTTACAAAGGCGTTAGAACTCTTCGAACGGTGCCTTGGTAAACATTTTATGACAGCCGAAGCCCTGAAGGCCATTGCAGACCTTCGTTTGTTTCTCGGTGGAGAAACAAAAGAGGAAGATGACTTAAAATTTTGCCTCAAGTATTATAACGCAGCCATAGAAATGTTCGACGATCTCGTCGAGGGTGGAAGCAAAGAAAGCATCCTGACTTTGAAGAACTGCGCAGCTTGTCACCAGAAAATAAAAAACGTTGATGAGGCAATGACTTTATTCAGAAAGGCAGAACAAGTTGCCGAGAGAGAATTGGAAGAGAATCACGAATGGAAGGTCTTAATCAAGACTACATGGGCCATCTTACATGACGAGATAGGAAACAAGGATAAAGCGAAAAAAATGATGCTTGAAGGACTGTCCATAGCCAAAAAACTAGACTTGCCAATAGCAAAGATGGGAAACAAAGACCCGATACGATCGTTTATCAACCGTTATTCAGAGGATTTCCCTGAGACGGAATTCCCAAGTAAGTACTGTATCCAAGTTAGCAGTTAATAGAAGGCCCCCCTATAACTCAAACCTTGCCCAGGCCTACTCAAACCAAAACTGATTTGCCGAAGAACTCCGTCAAATAGTTATTATTATTTTATCCTCGATATCTCAAGCCTCTCAATAACTCGAACCAGTTTTTGTTTTCCTTGCGGATATTTTAAAATAACCTTGCCCTCGGTAACTCGAAACAACAACAACAAAAAAAGAGCTTTACCGCTATGTAGCGCGTTGAACTGATTTGAAGCAGGCGTGTCCTCCTGCGTTGTAGTAATTCCTGATATCTACCGCGGTGTCTTCAACTTTCAGGAGGAGAAAAGAAGAAAGGAAAAAGAAGATGAGAGGGAAAAAGAAGAACAGCAGTTAAGATTCACAATAATAATTTCAAGAAAGGTGAAGGTGTCTGGCCATAAATGTATTTGCAAGGGACTATAAGGAACTGACTTATAAACAAGGCATTTCTCAAGTTCCCAAAGCTCCAAATATTTTTCGAATATTTCTTCTTTTTTCTTTAAAAGAAAATGTTACTAGGATCAGATTCCTTGAGTAAATCACGTAGAAGAATTACACAAATTTTGAACTAATCCGCCACATAACTGACGATAAGGTATTGAACACTTTTTTAATCTAACTTCTGTTATTTGAACAGTCAAGCTTTCTGGAGCCTAGAAGAAAGAGCCGCACTATCCTGCAATTAATTCATTAGATTAAGGTCGACTTTCCCTCCTAAACCTTGGGTTGGGAGGGTAAATGGAGCAAAACAGTCGCTGACAAGGAGAGGAATCGATATCTGTTATGTTCTTCCACATAGGACAGATGTCGAGAAAGGACGGGTTACTCTTCATATGCCTCCTCGACAACTAAATTCGATTAGAGTGCTTACATATCACAATGTTAAGATTACCCCTGTGTTGTCAGTTTCTTAAGCAAATTCATCATGCCGTTTGTTCTTAATCTTAGAAGGCTCGTTAACGTCTTTAACTCGGGATATTTTCATGATCAATGCTATCTGCATTATGAAATGCTTTCTACCCTCAAGAGAAATAGGCTTTTTTTAATCAATCGAATAAATAGTCTTAATTATTTGCACTCCGCACTCTTATTGGCTTTGGACTTGACGTGCGAGAGGTCGCAGCCAGTCTACTAAAATAAATAATTTCTCATGGAAACTTAATTAGTCACGTCTGAGAACTTGGCATAACAATTTTGTGGCCAAGAACTTTGACGCAATTAACCATGTTGGTTTGTTAGAAATAAAAATTTTACGATGGTCTGCTCTTCAAGCCTTCTCGGTATGTTCTTTTAAGCCTTGTTGTTCCTTGCGTCAGCTCATGCCGGCATTTATTAAGACGACATTCTTGGCAGCCCGATACACCCGGCTGAATTGAAAACATTTCTCGGAATCTGCCTCCAAGACAGATCGATTTCCTACGAATTTTGTACTATCACAATAATTTTATTTAAGCTTCCATGAAAACCGCTTGAATTTCACGTGTACCACGTTTATGTCCCTCGTTTAAACATGGAAATACCATAATTAGTAGATGAAGATATTACTTCTTTATCTAATAACCTCAAATTCCCAAGGGAATGAGCAGTACTGACAAGTGAAACGAAAATTTTGTTAATGATGTCGTTTACTAATTGGATATTAAAAAATCATCTTGGATCTCCAACCGTGAAAAACACCTATGAGACCGGTCATTATTTATGGCCGGGGGAGGAGGTGGGGTGTCGTAGGATTTTAGTCGTGCCCATGACCTTTCTCGTTGGCTGTTAATCGGCAGTCAATTTCTCTAAGTTCCTCCATTATACTCAATTCTCCCTCCTATCTCGAAAAAAACCATTTGATCCCCTCCCCCCCTCCCCCCGCAGGAAAAATGACCCTCCGATCCTCTAGGCGATCTACAACGACTGGTTACGAAAGACCTATGCAAATTTGCTCTAGTGTTGTATTTCGCGGAAATCAGGGAACGAAACCAATATTCCCTGTTTCTCATGGTGCTGGCGTGTCGTTGATGAGTAGCTGTGAAAAGGCGTTTCGATTTCAGTGCTATCAAATCACTTCAGTGGATGAGACCTTGTCTATTCAGAGCCAAGCGTGTGCGTAGCGTGCCCCATTAACTGAAATGGAGGTTCACCAACGTTGAGGTGAGTGATGTATCAGAGTATACGGTACCACACTAGCTGAATAACTAACGGAACAAAATATTACCTTACTTATGAGAAGTGCCGAGGCTCATTCGTAGGAAGTAATTCAATCTCACATGGAAAACGAGTAAAGGGGTTAGTTTCTAAAGAAACTGTGGTGCTGCGTCGGTGGGAGAGTACAACAGGGTAATTTAGTATTATCAACTGAGTTGATAACGTTAATTGGCCACCGATTTAAATTAAACGTAAATTGGCCATTCGCTCTGACGAAGGGCTAACACTCGGAACGTCAGCCTTTAAACTATTTACGGCGGTTAATTTACGCCTGTTTCTCTTTTACCTGATGAAACAAAACATTTGAATGCTTTTCTATTTTATTTTATTCTCGTCTTGAATCGATACTTAAAAACATTAGCTATTTCGTAACTGGATGCGGAAAAAAGCTCTACCTTGCTAGACGTAAGAATTATGCTGCGTGGGCAACTGAAGATGTACTCAGGCGAACACTTAACAATAACTCATTCGAAGAATACATTTCTGACGAGTTTAAATGAAATCACACTGTTTATTATGGACTGACATAACGATCTCTATGTCTACAAGGCGAGGAATGGTTTCTCCAAACGCTTCCATGACGATGGTCTCAACTTGTGCTTCGATCATGGCTTTAAAAAATTGACATGCATTAAGAATATGGCCCTGCTCACTCAATGCCACCCTCTTTCCCTGTCGTGGTACAACATTGATTATTGCCATATATTCATCTTGAATCTCCAACCGTCCATAACAGCTAAATTGTTTTGAGAAACATAATTGTACAAAGTTGCTGTAGTAGCGACTTTCTTGCTAAACAGAAAGCAACTCTGTAGAAACTTTAAGAATTCTGGAGACCTATAAAAATCGTATCTCTAAATAACAGCAATTTCGAGTGCTTCCCTAGAGACGTGAGCTTGTTTACCCAGAACAACTCATTGGATTCAAAGAAACCTAAAGATCAATATATTCCGGAAACACGAATATTCTCCTCCCAAAATAATATGGTTTCATGTCATGGGTCACATCGACAATCTTTCAGTTTCTATGCAAGCGCCTCTTTTAGCATTTTCAAGATTTTTCTTAATGGATTTAAAGAACATGACTTTGAGTGCACCTATATCTCAAACTAGAGATTCCGACCAAACTGTGACATGTAACTACCATTTCTTAAATGGATAGTATTACATATCAATGTACTCAAAAGTCATTCCCAGAAAGCAATCGTTACACATCCACTATTTTTGCTTTATTTCACCATTCAAGTTTCCGAGAAAATCCGCAATTATTTTTTATATAATAGTCCAAAAATCTGTCTTCTCTTCTTTACATAGTTAAGAAATTACAACTGTTAATCTCAGATATGGCTTTATCATTAAAATAACAAATTTTATCGAAAGAATAAGAAAGTGAAAAGGGACAGGTTCGTGCAAATTTCACACTGATCTTTCTTAGAAACCGTGGAAAATTATTCATCATCGAGTATTTCCTAGAACTCATTAGGAAATTCCCTTTTGACTGGTTATTAAATTAATGTTGATTGTTTTTAAAGAACTTTGAGGTCATGGCAGGCGGTGGAACATCCTTATCAACTTCTGTTGGTCTTCGTGGACTCTCAGTGGCGGATTTATCGGAAGAAAAGACAAATGGCACAAGGCTGGCAAGACTGCTTATTGATGAGGGCACAAAAGTTCTCAGAAAATTCTTGCATTCAATGCATCCAGAGTCAACCTTACAGGACGCATTGAAAAACAATCGCCCAAAGCTCAAGGGGTTGAGGCGGAAGCGAGTAATATTTGATAAACAGTGGGAGAAATTGTTTCCTTCCTTAGATAAACCGCCAGACTCGAAAGAATTTGACATTACCCTCTTACACTTACTACTCCGTGAAATTTGTCATCTATCGGCTCCTTTGACCGGATGGCACGAAATGCCTGCCGACACCGATGCCAGCCCTGAAGCCAGCATCGTGCGTATCAAATGCTATAGAAATGAGCTCTGCCACAGTGTTTCTACTGGAGTTCCGAATGACGAATTCGAAGACAAGTGGAACAAAACATCTTCGTCTTTAGAAGTACTCGAGGTTGCCGCCTATCGGAAGAAACTACAGTCCCTGAAGAGTGCAACTATCGATCACAAAGCTCAATTGGTTGAAGAGGAGCTCGAACAATGGAGGAGGGAGAAAGAACTTGAGAAGATTGGAAAAGTCTCTGAACTCTCCAGTTGTCTTCCTGATGACTTGTCAGAAGAACATGTTATCGGCCGTGGTGATCAAATACAAGACATCAAAGAAAAAGTTCAAAGTGGAACGGCTCCTGTAATTCTGATCACTGGTGGACCGGGATTCGGAAAGACAACCGTAGCAAAGCGAGTGGCCTGTGAATTAGCCAAACCCGAAAATAAAAGAACTGTGTTGTTTTGTAGCTTATCATCAAAGACTACTTTCAACGAAACGACTATGGAAATGATCAACTCATGTCGTAAAGTGGTCAACACGCAAGTACCAGAGAACCCAGGGCAGTGGCTCAAAGACTGGAGCAAACAAATTCAAGAGCAGGTCACTTTTGTTCTTGACAATGCAGATGGTGTCATCGAGTCTGAAGATCGAGAATTGTTCCTCGATTTCTTACGTGATATAAGAATGTTTTCGCGACAAAATGTCACATTTGTGATAACTACAAGAAGAACATTTCAAAAAACCGACCTGAAACCAAAAGAAGTCAGGCTACGCGAGTTGTCAAACGAACAGGCCAGAAGTCTTCTAGTTGCTCAAGTTCACCTCCACGGACAAGATTTCCAGCAACAACTCTCTAAAGCAGAGCGCATTGTAGAACTTTGTGGCTGTGTTCCTCTGGCCCTGTGCATTGTTGGATCTCTACTTTCAGATTACACCGAAGAAACTCTTATTAAAAAACTGGAGGAAGAACCACTTGCTGTACTAGAAGACGACGAAGGATCTGTAGAAAAGGCTATCAAGACCTCTTTTGATCTATTGACTGAAGCTGGACAAGAAGCCCTTGTTCTAATGTCAACTTTCCAGGGGTCTTTTGACTCAAGTGCTGCCGAGGCTGTAATGAAAGCGTGCTCAGTTCCTGGAATTCAGTCCATCAAGATTATTCGTTCCTTGAAAAAGAGCTCGCTCATCGAGCAACCAAGTTCCCAGAGGTATCAAATGCATCCACTCATTCATTCGTATGCAAGGAAGATTGGTCAAGCCAAGTATGCCGATCTTTTAGCTAAAGGAGAAAAACTGGCCTGTATTTATTACATGGCTTGGCTTGCGAACAACGCCGAATTGTACTGGAAAAGAGACAATTGCAAGGAATCCCTTTTTTCATTTAACAAGGACAGAAACAATTTCGAGCATTTTCTTCGTATTTATGCCCAAGGAAGGGAGAAAAAGGATGCAGAAATTATGGAACGAACTCAAACTCTTTTGGAAAGTCTTCCGCAGAAGTGCATGTATTTGGAAAAGTGTCTTCATCCAAAGAATTATGCTCAGTTTCTTGAACAGTTACTGGACACATTTGACTCAACTGTTAAGCCAATACATGTTGTAGAACTTTCGTGTCTTCTTGGAAATGAATATAGGAAGAAAGACCAAAAGAAGTACAGTGAACTTATGCAGAGAGCGGAAGAAATTTATCTCCTGAATGCTGCAAAGTTTAAAGAAAATCCGTTATCAGAAGTTTACTTTCACAACAATTATGCACGCTTCCTTTCCGATAAAAAAGATCCTAAAGAAAACCAAAGAATTGATCACGAGACTCAATCAGCTCTAGAAGTCAGTACAAGTTTGGGTGAACTTCATCCGGAAAGAGCAGCAACTCTTCTTTTTTCGGGAATCACTGCCAAACGCCGCAAGGAGCGTGATACAGCTAAAGAACAGCTAAGAAAGGCGTTAGAAGTCTTTCAACAGAGCCTTGGTAAACATTTTATGACAGCCGAAGCCCTGAAAGCCATTGCGGACTCTCGTTTTTTTTTCCTTGGTGGAGAAACAAAAGAGGACGACGGCTTAAAATTTTGCCTCGAGTATTACAACGCAGCCATAGAAATGTTCGACGATCTCGTCGAGGGTGGAAGCAAAGAAAGCATCCTGACTTTAAAGAATTGCGCAGCTTGTCACCAGAGAAGAGGAAACTTTGATGAGGCAATGGCTTTATTCACAAAGGCAGAACAAGTTGCCGAGAGAGAATTAGAAGAGAATCACGATTGGAAGGTCGGAATCAAGACTACATGGGCCATCTTACATGACGAGATAGGAAACAAGGATAAAGCGAAAGAAATGATGCGTGAAGGACTGTCGATGGCCAAAAAACTAGACTTGCCAATAGAAAAGATGAGAAACAAAGGCCCGATACGATTGTTTATCAACCGTTATCTAGAGGATTTCCCAGAGACGGAATTCCCAAGTAAGTAAAGTATCCAAGTTAGCTGTTAATATAGTTGTTATTATTTTATCCTTGATATCTCAAGCCTCTCAGTAACTCGAACCAGTCTTCGTTTCCCTTGCGGATATTTTCAAAATAACCTTTCCCTCGGTAACTCCAAACAACAACGAAAAGAGAGCTTTACTTCTGTGTCATCATGCGTTGTAGTAATTCCTGATATCTACCGCGGTGTCTTCAACTTTCAGGAGGAGAAAAGAAGAAAGGAAAAAGAAGGTGAGAGGGGAAAAGAGGAACAGCAGTCAGGATTTACAATAACAGTTTCAGTAATAATGAGGAACCGACGTTTTAACAATGCATTCGACAAGTTCCCAAAGCTCATAATATTTTTCAAATATGTTTTAATTTTTCTTTAAAAGAAAAAATGTTCTCAGGATCATATTCCTTGAGTAAAACACGCTGGTGTACGACAGTATTAAAAGAATGCCGCAGACGAATAACGCAATTTCTAACTAATCCGCCCCATTCCTGACGATAAGGTATGCGTATTGTATACTTTTTTATGGACGAGAACTTTCATTTAAAAAATCCTGCAATTAATTCATTTGATTAAGGTCGGCTTTCCCTCCTAAACCCTGGGTTGGAAGGGCAAATAGAGCAAAAAAGTGGTTTACAAGGAGAGGAATCGATATCTGTTATGTTCTTCCACATGAGATAGATGTCGAGAAAGGACGGGATTCTCTTCATGTGCTTCCTCGTTCACTAAATTTGATTAGAGTGCTGACATATCACGATGCAAAGATTACCCCTGTGCTGTCAGTTTCTCAAGCAAATTCATCATGCCGTTAGTTCTTTTTATTTTGAGGAGGCCCGTCAACGTCTTTAACTCGGGATATTTTCATGATCAAATATACGAGCTATTTAAACATTATGAAATGCTCTCTACTCTCATGAAAAATTGGCTTTTTTTATCAATCGAATAAGCAGTCTTAATTATTTACATTCCGCATTCTTATTTGGCTTTGGACTTGACGTGCGAGAGGTTGCAGCCAAATCACTAAAATAATAATGTCTCGTGGAAATTTAATTAGTCATGTCTGAGTACTTGGCATAACAATTTTCTGGCCAAGAACTTTGACGCAATTAACCATGTTGGTTTGTTAGAAATAAAAATTTTACGATGGTCTGCTCCTCAAGCCTTCTCAGTATGTTCTTGTAAGCCTTGTTGTTCCTTGCGTCAGCTCATGCCGTCAATCTTGGCAGCCCGATACATTCTGCTGAATTGAAAACATTTCTCGGAATTCGCCTCCAAGACAGATCGATTTCCAAGGAATTTTACACTGTAACAATTCTTAAATTTTATTTAAGCTTCCATGAAAACTGCTTGAATTTCATGTGTACCACGTTTTTGTCCCTCTTTTAATCATAGAAACACTGCAATTAGTAAAGGAAGATATCACTTCTTTATCTTATAACCTCAGACTACCAAGGGAATGATCAGTACTGACGAGTGAAACGAACGTTTTGTTTATGATATCGTTTACTAAATGGACATAGAAAATCATCTTGAATCTCCGACCGTGCAAAACACCTATGAGACCGGTCTTTATTTATGGCCGGGGAAGGGGGGGTTGTCGTAGCCTCTTAGTTGTGTCTATGGTTGTTAATTGGAGGTCAATCATCTTAAGTCCCTCCGTAATACTCTGTTCCCCCTCCTATCCCCTAAAAACCATGTGATCCCCTCCCCCCCACGCCCCCGGAGGAAAAAATAAACCCTCTGTCACTCTAGGCGATCTACAATGACTGGTTTCGAAAGACATATGCAAATTTGCTGTAATTTTGGATTTCGCGGAAATCAGAGAACGAATCAATATTCCCTATTTCTTAGAATGCTGACGTCTCGAGTAGCTGTATTTTTAAGGCTTTTCGATTCATGCTATTTGTTCAGTGGATGTGGCCTTGTCTACTCAGAGTGGACACATAGCTGGCTCTATTTTAAAATCGAAATGGAGGTTCTCCAATATTAGGTGAGTAATGTTTCAGAATATACCACTCAAGCTGACTAACTTACACATGCAAACAAAAACGCTTTACTGATGAGAAAATGTCGGAAATGAAATTGATGAAAGTCTTACGGTTTTCAAGCTGGTAGAATACAACTAGTGTCTAAGTGCTACTGATTTTTCTTCTTGTCTCGAGTAACTGTGATATGCTTTATTAAGGAAGGATATGAATTAAAAGTGCCGCAAGTTCTGAATTAGAATCATGCGAACGTGCATTTTGAATTGAAAAACGTAAACTCAGCCGCTAGTCCCGGGTGTTAGATCTTTCTTCGACAAATTTCCCACAACGTTTGAAGATATATAGACCAGCAAACACATGAGTCATTTATTCATTGCAAGTAAGCGGCCCTCACCTTCTCCGGTTTGTCCGGTTCGGCTTCATGTTATGCGAAGGAAAGTTTGATTTGTCGTCTCTTTAGAATATGTGGAGTTACCGAGATATACGAAATTCCCGCTAGAAATTATTGTTCAGTTTGAACTTATGCTCACAGGTGACACTCTCAAATGGTACAGAAATTTTTTTTATGTCTCCTTCCCATGTTGCAAATGTATGAAGTATGAAATTATATCTCTGATAGTATTTTGGTCGATTTCTGGTTCAGCTGTCGAGCTTTGTTCGTAACAGCGCTATAGTACTTTCAAAAGAGAAATGTAAACGTTTGTCTCACGATTTGGTCACTTCGGATGTAGATCGCATCCGAAGTGGCTACATCGTGAGACAAACGTTTATAGTTGCTCTTCTGAAAGTATAATTTGCCACGTCGGCAAACAGTGCAACCTATTTACGATATAAGCGCTATATTAGATGGAAACCAGACAAGTTTACGTCGGTAGTGAGGGAGGCTCGAGTTTGGATACAAGTTCGAGTTCGTGTTGGACTTGGAGTTGGACTTTGAGTTAAATTTCGAGTTCAACTTTATGTTACGTTTCGAGTTTAGTTAAAAGTGTTGACGGGTCTGTAAGTGATTTTAAATCTTCTACCTTCAAAGTTAAGCCCTAGCCAGGGTAGGTTTTAGTTACTTTCCCTTGCGAGATGATAAAAGGGGTGGCTTCTCCTTTCTTGTGCGACTTCAAATGTGGTGCAAAATTAAGCGCGAAATATCGTGAAGTTAATGTTTAATCAAAACTCCATTTGAGTATATATATCATATGATGCTCTAGTCAATAAGTTCGACATATTTGAACGTGTGTTTAAGTTGGATTGAGTTTCAAGATATCATGTAACTTCTTCTATTTACAAAATATTTCCTATATGTGCGAAATCCAAACCCTATGATCGAGTAACAATCTGAGAAGAGTTTCGTCTAGCATTCCTAGTATGAACGGTCTAACGAATAATTGTGAGGATATTTGTCAGTGTGACTCTGCTCAATATGATTGGGCAGAGTAAAGAGCCAGAACTGCATACCCACCAAAAGTCCTTTACGATTCCTGCGAAGCAGGTTATCTGCATTCAATTGGGTTTTTGTAGAAAAGCTGAAGAGATGATGAAGGATTCTTTGAAACTTTAGTAGTTTCTTCCTATGTTTATGGGCTGCGTGATATTTGAATAACCAAGGTTTTTAAAATTGAAGACGATCGAAATTGTTCAGACCTTACGTAGCAGCGGTAAGACATTTCAGTTACGAGCGTTAGCTTCAAAAAAATGGCTGATATTACCAGCAAAACTGAATTTAAAATTTTTCGCGATAGAATGTCTAATGCTTCATAACCCAAATCTACTTAGTTAAAACGGCCATGAAGTCGCGAGTGTGACAAGATACTGTTAGAAGTATGCAAGCATAAGTTACAGGGTTATAAATAAGCGTCGAACATAGGCACGTCAATTGAATTTATCTCGATGGGCACGCCACTGATAATTATATAAGAATATGCTCCTTCAAGCAAGTTCATTTATTAAGGCAACGATCTTATTATCATATTTGACAGGTGTATGTAAATTTCACTCGAAGATCAAGAATAACCCCTAGCTATTAATCATATTCTCAAGAAAGTGCGAGTCTCAGAGCCTTCCTTTGAGGCTTGCATGTGTCAAAAACTTAGAGTTTTCTCTTGCGCAAGATATCGATATATTGTAAATAAATAGTTAGCAATACAGAGAATACGATCCTTTCGTGTGTAGTAGTTCAAACGAAACTGCCAAAACAGTGGCACGATGAATTGAGTAAACAGATTGAAACTCAACGCCCAGAACAGCAATACATTTATGCATTAACGATTTCTGAAATTAATTGTTAAAATTAAAATAACTTGTTCTTACTCTGTCAAGTTTCCGAGAAAAACTGCAGGAATTTATTGTGAAACACGAGTCTCTCAGAGCCCCTTTTGGCTTCAGTAAATACCGCACTTGATAACCGAATATTTTACTTCACTCATTATTTTCGAACCATCTGTTACTGAAAGAGAGAAAGAAATTAAATTTTCATCAAAGACAGGAAGTAATTGTCGAAATGTTAGACATGAAAATTCATCTTGAATCTCCAAGCGTCCATAACAGCTAAATTGTTTTGAGAAACATAATTGTACAAAGTTGCTGTAGTAGCGGCTTTCTTGCTAAACGGAAAGCAACTCTGTAGAAACTTTAAGAATTCTGGAGCCCTATAAAAATCGTATCTCTTAATAACAGCAATTTCGAGTGCTTCCCTGGAGACGTGAGCTTGTTTACCCAGAACAACTCATTGGATTCAAAGAAACCTAAAGATCAATATATTCCGGAAACACGAATATTCTCCTCCCAAAATAATATGGTTTCATGTCATGGGTCACATCGACAATCTTTCAGTTTCTGTGCAAGCGCCTCTTTTAGCATTTTCAAGATTTTTCTTAATGGAGTTAAAGAACATGACTTTGAGTACACCTATATCTCAAACTAGAGATTCCGACCAAACTGTGACATGTAACTACCATTTCTTAAATGGATAGTATTACATATCAATGTACTCAAAAGTCATTCCTAGAAAGCAATCGTTACACATCCACTATTTTTGCTTTATTTCACCATTCAAGTTTCCGAGAAAATCCGCAATTATTTTTTATATAATAGTCCAAAAATCTGTCTTCTCTTCTTTACATAATTAAGAAATTACAACTGTTAATCTCAGATATGGCTTTATCATTAAAATAACAAATTCTATCGAAAGAATAAGAAAGTGAAAAGGGACAGGTTCGTGCAAATTTCACACTGATCTTTCTTAGAAACCATGGAAAATTATTCATCATCGAGTATTTCCTAGAACTCATTGGGAAAATTCCCTTTTGACTGGTTATTAAATTAATGTTGATTGTTTTTAAAGAGCTTTGAGGTCATGGCAGGCGGTAAAACATCCTTATCAACTTCTGTTGGTCTTCGTGGACTCTCAGTGGCGGATTTATCGGAAGAAAAGACGAATGGCACAAGGCTGGCAAGACTGCTTATTGATGAGGGCACAAAAGTTCTTAGAAAATGCTTGCATTCCATGCATCCAGAGTCAACCTTACAGGACGCATTGAAAAACAATCGCCCAAAGCTCGAGGGGCTGAGGCGGAAGCAAGTAATATTTGATAAACAGTGGGAGAAATTGTTTCCTTCCTTAGATAAACCGCCAGACTCGAAAGACTTTGACATTACCCTCTTACACTTACTACTCCGTGAAATTTGTCATCTATCGGCTCCTTCGACCGGATGGCACGAAATGCCTGCCGACACCGATGCCAGCCCTGAAGCCAGCATCGTGCGTATCAAATGCTATAGAAATGAGCTCTGCCACAGTGTTTCTACAGGAGTTCCGAATGACGAGTTCGAAGACAAGTGGAACAAAACATCTTCGTCTTTAGAAGTACTCGAGGTTGCCGCCTACCGGAAGAAACTACAGTCCCTGAAGAGTGCTACTATCGATCACAAAGCTCAATTGGTTGAAGAGGAACTCAAACAATGGAGGAAGGAGAAAGAACTTGAGAAGATTGGAAAAGTCTCTGAACTATCCAGTTGTCTACCTGATGACTTGTCAGAAGAACATGTTATCGGCCGTGGTGATCAAATACAAGACATCAAAGAAAAAGTTCAAAGTGGAACAGCTCCTGTAATTCTGATCACTGGTGGACCGGGATTCGGAAAGACGACCGTAGCAAAGCGAGTGGCCTGTGAATTAGCCAAACCCGAAAATAGAAGAATAAATAGAAGTGTTGTTTTGTAGCTTATCATCAAAGACTACTTTCAACGAAACGACTATGGAAATGATCAACTCATGTCGTAAAGTGGTCAACACGCAAGTGCCAGAGAATCCGGGGCAGTGGCTCAAAGACTGGAGCAAACAAATTCAAGAGCAGGTCACTTTTGTGCTTGACAATGCAGATGGTGTCATCGAGTCTGAAGATCGAGAATTGTTCCTTGATTTCTTACGTGATGTAAGAATGTTTTCGCGACAAAATGTCACATTTGTGATAACTACAAGAAGAACATTTCAAAATACCGACCTGAAACCAAAAGAAGTCAGGCTACGCGAGTTGTCAAACGAACAGGCCAGAAGTCTTCTAGTTGCTCAAGTTCACCTCCACGAACAAGGTTTCCAGCAACAACTCTCTAAAGCAGAGCGCATTGTAGAACTCTGTGGCTGTGTTCCTCTGGCCCTGTGCATTGTTGGATCTCTACTTTCAGATTACACCGAAGAAACTCTTATTAAAAACTGGAGAAAGAACCACTTGCTGTACTAGAAGACGACGAAGGATCTGTAGAAAAGGCTATCAAGACCTCTTTTGATCTATTGACTGAAGCTGGACAAGAAGCCCTCGTTCTAATGTCAACTTTCCAGGGTCTTTTGACTCAGGTGCTGCCGAGGCTGTAATGAAAGCGTGCTCAGTTCCTGGAATTCAGCCCATCAAGATTATTCGCTCCTTGAAAAGAGTTCGCTCATCGAGCAACCAAGTTCCCAAAGGTATCAAATGCATCCACTCATTCACTCGTATGCAAGGAAGATTGGTCAAGCCAAGTATGCCGATCTTTTAGCTAAAGGAGAAAAACTGGCCTGTATTTATTACATGGCTTGCCTTGCGAACAACGCCGAATTGTACTGGAAAAGAGGCAGTTGCAAGGAATCCCTTTTTTCATTTAACAAGGACAGAAACAATTTCGAACATTTTCTTCGTATCTATGCCCAAGGAAAGGAGAAAAAGGATGCAGAAATTATGGAACGAACTCAAACTCTTTTGGAAAGTCTTCCGCAGAAGTGCATGTATTTAGAAAAGTGTCTTCATCCAAAGAATTATGCTCAGTTTCTTGAGCAGTTGCTGGACACATTTGACTCAACTGTTAAGCCAATACATGTTGTAGAACTTTCGTGTCTTCTTGGAAATGAATATAGGAAGAAAGACCAAAAGAAGTACAGCGAACTTATGCAGAGAGCGGAAGAAATTTATCTCCTGAATGCTGCAAAGTTTAAAGAAAATCCGTTATCAGAAGTTTACTTTCACAACAATTATGCACGCTTCCTTTCCGATAAAAAAGATCCTAAAGAAAACCAAAGAATTGATCACGAGACTCAATTAGCTCTAGAAGTCAGTACAAGTTTGGGTGAACTTCATCCGGAAAGAGCAGCAACTCTTCTTTTTTCGGGAATCAATGCCAAGCGCCGCAAGGAGCGTGATACAGCTAAAGAACAGCTAACAAAGGCGTTACAAGTCTTTCAACAGAGCCTTGGTAAACATTTTGACAGCCAATGCCCTGAAAGCCATTGCGGACTCTCAGTTTTTTTTCCTTGGTGGAGAAACAAAAGAGGACGACGACTTAAAATTTTGCCTCGAGTATTATAACGCAGCCATAGAAATGTTCGACGATCTTGTCGAGGGTGGAAGCAAAGAAAGCATCCTGACTTTAAAGAATTGCGCAGCTTGTCACCAGAGAAGAGGAAACTTTGATGAGGCGATGGCTTTATTCACAAAGGCAGAACAAGTTGCCGAGAGAGAATTAGAAGAGAATCACGAATGGAAGGTCGGAATCAAGACTTTATGGGCCATCTTACATGACGAGATAGGAAACAAGGATAAAGCGAAAGAAATGATGCGTGAAGGACTGTCGATGGCCAAAAAACTAGACTTGCCAATAGAAAAGATGAGAAACAAAGACCCGATACGATTGTTTATCAACCGTTATCCAGATGAGTTCCCTGAGACGGAATTTCCAAGTAAGTAACGTATCCAAGGTAGTAGTTAATACAGGGCTTCCTATGACTCAAACCTAACCCAGGCCTACTCGAACCAAAACTGATTTGCCAAAGACCTCCGTCATATAGTTACTATTATTTCATCCTCGATATCTCAAGTCTCTCAATAACTCGAACCAGTTTCCGTTTTCCTTGCGGATATTTTCAAAATAATATTTCCTCGGTAACTCGAAACAACGACGAATAAAGAGCTCTACTGCTGTGGGGCGCGTTGAATTGATTTGAGCCAGGCGTGTCCTCCTGCGCTGTTGTAATTCCTGATATCTACCGCGGTGTCTTCAATTTTCAGGAGGAGGAAAGAAGAAAGAAGAAAGGAAAAAGAAGATGAGAGGAAAAAAGAAGAACAGCAGTCAGGATTTACAATAACAATTTTAGTAAAGGTTAACGTCTCTGGCTATAGATTTATTTATATGAGACTATATGGAACCGATGTTTTAACAAGGCATTAGACAGGCTCCCAAAGCTCCTAATGCTTTTCAAATATGTTTTCATCTTCCTTAAAAAAAAAGTCGGGATCAGATTCCTTGAGTAAATCACGCTGGTGTACGGCAGTATTAATAGAATACCGCAGAAGAATAACGTAATTTCTAAATAATCCGCCACATGCCTGACGATCAGATATTGTATACTTTTTATGGACAAACATTTTCATTTTAAAGAAAGTTAATTTCTGTTATTTGATTAGTCAATCTTTTTGGAGCTTATAAGTAAGAGCAGCACCATCCTGCAATTAATTCATTTAATTAGGGTCGGCTATCCCTCCTAGACCCCAGGTTGGAAGGGCAAATGGAGCAAAACAGTCGCTGACAAGGAAAGGAATTGATATCTGTTATGTCCTTCCATATGGGATCGATGCCGAGAAAAGACAAGATTCTCTTCATGTGCCTCCTCGATAACTAAATTTGATTAGAGTGCATACATATCACAATGTAAAGATAACCCCTGTGTTGTCAGTTTCTTAAGCAAATTCATCATGCCGTTTATTCTAATTCTGAGAAGACTCGTTAACGTCTTTAACTCGGGATATTTTCATGATCAATGCTATTTGCATTATGAAATACTTTCTACTCTCAAACGAAATTGGCTTTTTTTATCAATCAAATAAATAGTCTCAATTATTTGCACTCCGCATTCTTATTTGGCTTTGGACTTGAAGTGCGAGAGGTCGCAGCCAGTCTACTAAAATAAATAATGTCTCATGGAAACTTAATTAGTCACGTCTGAGAACTTGGCATAACAATTTTGTGGCCAAAAACTTTGACGCAATTAACCATGTTGGTTTGTTAGAAATAAAAGTTTTAAATGGTCTGCTCTTCAAGCCTTCTCGGTATGTTCTTGTAAGCCTTGTTGTTCCTTGCGTCAGCTCGTGCCGGCATTTATTAAGACGACATTCTTGGCAGCTCGATACATCCGGCTGAATTGGAAACATTTCTCGGAATCTGCCTCCAAGACGGATCGATTTCCTAAGAATTTTGTACTATCACAATAATTTTATTTAAGCTTCCAGGAAAACTGCTTGAATTTCACGTGCACCACGTTTCTGTCCCTCTTTTAACCATGGAAATACCATAATTAGTAGATGAAGATATTACTTCTTTATCTAATAACCTCAAATTCCCAAGGGAATGAGCAGTACTGACAAGTGAAACGAAAATTTTGTTAATGATGTCGTTTACTAATTGGACATAAAAAAATCATCTTGAATCTCCAACCGTGAAAAACACCTATGAGACCGGTCATTATTTATGGCCAGGGGAGGGGTTGGGGTGTCGTAGGATTTTAGTCGTGCCCATGACCCCTCTCGTAGGATTTTAGTCGTGCCCATGACCCCTCTCGTTGGCTGTTTATCGGCAGTCAATTTCTCTAAGTTCCTCCATTATACTTAATTCCCCCTCCTATCTCGTAAAAACCATGTGATCCTCTTCCCCCCGCAGAAAAAATGATCCTCCGACCCTCTAGGCGATCTACAACGACTGGTTACGAAAGACATATGCAAATTTGCTCTAGTGTTGTATTTCGCGAAAATCAGGGAACGAAACCAATATTCCTTGTTTCTCATGGTGCTGGCGTGTCGTTGATGAGTAGCTGTGAAAAGGCTTTTCGATTTCAGTGTTATCAAATCACTTCAGTGGATGAGACCTTGTCTACTCAGAGCCAAGCGTGTGCGTAGCGTGCCCCATTAACTGAAATGGAGGTTCACCAACGTTGATGTGAGTGATGTATCAGAGTATACTGTACCACACTAGATGAATAACTAACGGAACAAAATATTACCTTACCAATGAGAAGTGCCGAGGCTCATTCGTAGGAAGTTATTCAATCTCACATGAAAAACGAGCAAATGCCTCCATGACGATGGACTCAACTTGTGCTTCGTTCATGGCTTTAAAAAATTGACATGCATTAAGAATATGGCCGTGCTTACTCAATGCCATCCTCTTTCCCTGTCGTGGTACAACATTGATCGTTAGGCCAGCAAGTATTATTCAATCGCACAAGAATGGAGTGTTTTCTTTCGTTGCTATCTGAAGTACCGATTTGCCTCATATTTGTCATTCGTTTAAAGTGCGAGGAACTTGCAGATCTTGCATTGTGATGGAGGCTCGAGCTTGGTTACGTTGTCTACCATGCGAGCGTCCAAAAACACGAGATACCTCAGCATTAACATTTGATTGAGTTGGCTGACATTTGTTCTCATAATACTCGTACTTCCCCAAGAAGTTGACGCAGTTGCTGTTTTGATTGCTGCACCATTTGCCCGAATCCGACAGCGAACGAGGACGCCTCGAGGATGAGAGAATTTCCCGCCAAAATGTAGTCCGCTGCCTAGCTGTTGCTCACCGGCTCAGAATAACTAGTCGATAAATCCGCATAGTGATTTCTCATTCTTAACAGCTAATATTTATTTCTCGGTATATTGCTACGTCAGTCTTTTTCTCAATTAATGTTGTTTTCATTCTCGATGGGTAATTTAAAATCTCGCATGACAGTTTTTTTTATTCTCGTACAATGATTTCAATTTCCCAATCTCACATATGGATCACTGAAACTCGATTGGTCAATTTGGACTCAACTCACTTTGTCGTGTATGGCTTGCCATATAAAATGTTGTCATGTTGTGGGTCACTTCTGACATCTTTCGGTTCTGTGAAGACGGCTCTTAAATGTTTTTCAAATTTCATGGAAACGTTAAACTTCGAATAAGTAAACACCGCGCCGTTCAGCACGAGATTTTAACTCTGAGTGCACCTACAGCTAAAACTTGGGATTCCGATCCAACCGTAACGTGGGACTTGCCCTCGCATGCTAGCAATAAATGGATTATATCGCATATCTAGTGTACTTAGCAATGATGCCGAGAGATTCCAATGATGTACTCTACATCATTGGAATACTTTAATTTTCAACTACAGACTTGTATTGCTTTGTTCTTGAAGCAGCAAATATTGCTTAAAGAAGAAAATACAAGTCAATTGGAAGTCACTATATGCATATATAGCGGTAGGCATGTTTGGGCTTACGGAAAAACTGACCTTGGGAGAGTAAACATATTTTTAGAATGCTAACCGAAACAATTTCACGAGACATTTGAAATGAATATCAAAGTACTTAAAAAACCTATATTAGAGAACTCACTAATACCTAACTATCACTTCCCGTTGAGGACTCTAAGCAAGGTTAAGGACAAACCCAAACACGACTATTGATGACGAATATCGTGCACGAATTAAGCCATATTACAATAATCGAGGACAAATCACTCAAAAGGTAAAAATAAATGTGTGGTCTTGCAGCACATGACAAACCGAAGCTGATGGATCAAGGGTCAAAGACTCGTACAAGGATTTCAAGATAATCTAACAGGCCCAAGCAGCTCCCAAACACTTAGTTAGAACATTTCTAATTTTGATAGTTCCCAAACACTTCTAATTTTAGTAGTTGAATTGGAAAGTGATTAGCTGTCAACATACCACGCAAATTTTGCTCAACAATAGAGCATGAAACCCTAAGCAATTTTTTATGACATCACAATGTGCGTAAATGGAAATGAGCCTTCTAGAAAATTACAGATTCGTGTATCATCGCGTCTTCTGTGAATTGTTTAGTTTTTCCTGTTAAATGGTTAAAATTTTCATATCGATTAAGAGTTGCAACTCGTGGTTGTCTGAATACAACGTAGGTCGCTTATCTGTCTTAAAAAGAAATTTCAATATAAAAAGCTTCGATAATGAGTTCATGACACCCGGTAGATTATCATCAACAACGTCTGCGAAAATACAAAACCACTGTGCAATGCATATTGTTTACGTCATTCAATTATGAAAGCCGTATCAATCTAAACTAGATCACCAGTACTTTATTTATTTAAGTCATAAAGGATTGATATGAGACTCTCTGTATCTTCTTAACAAAAACATTTCTCGGAAACTTATTGGATTCCAAGAATCCTCACGGTCAGTACATTCCGGAAAACATGAATATTCCCCTCGATTTCCCAAAATAATATGTTGTCATGTCATGGGTCACATCGAATATCTTTTCGTTTCTAAAAAGGTGCCTCTTTTAGCATTTTTAAGATTTTTATGGAGCTGAAGAACATGACTTTGAGCGCACCTATATCTCAAACTAGAGATTCCGACCACACTGTGACGCGGAACTAACATGCCATCAATGGATAATATCACAGTGATCGTTACATTCTATTTCGAGATCCACCAGTTTGGTTTTATTTCATCATTCAAGTACATATTTCCTTAGTCAGCAACTATGCATGGATTTATACATCTGAGATGACAGGACAAGCTCGTGCAAATTTCACATTGATCTTTCTCTGGTTATAAGATTCGTGACGATTGAAAATCGCAATTTGTGGTTATGTGAAGACAAGCTAACGTTCCTATCCCTCTCAAAAGGAATTTATTTTCAAAGAGCTTTGACGGTAGGTCATGGCAGCCGGCGGAACATCCTTACTAACTTCTGTTGGTCTTTGTGGACCCTCAGTGGCGGATAAATCGGAAGAAAAAATGAATGGCACAAAGTTGGCAGGACTGCTTATTGATGAAGGAACAAAAGTTCTGAGAAAATTCCTGGAGTCCACGCATCCAGGGTCAACATTACAGGACGCATTGGACAACAATCGCCCAAAGCTCGAGGGTCTGAGGTGGAAGCAATTTTTATTTGATGAGCAATGGGAGAAATTGTTTCCTTCCTTAGGTAAACCAGATCCGCAAAAATTCGACATCACGCTCTTACACCTATTGCTACATGAAATTTGTCATCTATCGGCTCCTCCGACTGGATGGCACAAAATGCCTGCGGACGCTGATGCGAGCCCTGAAGCCAGCATCGTGCGTATCAAATGCTATGGAAATGAGCTTTGTCACAGTGTTTCTACTGGAGTTCCGAATGACGAATTCGAAGACAAATGGGACAAAATATCTTCGTCCTTAGAAGTACTTAAGGTTGCCGTCTATCGGAAGAAACTTCAATCCCTGAAGAGTGCTCCAATCGATCACAAAGCTCATTTGGTTGAAGAGGAACTAGATGCACGGAGGAGGGAGAAAGAACTTGAGAAGAGTGGAAAGGTCTCTGAACTCTCCAGTTGTCTTCCTGATGACTTGCCAGGAGAACATGATATTATCGGCCGTGGTGATCAAATACAAGACATCAAAGAAAAAGTTGAAAGTGGAACGGTTCCTGTAATTCTGATCACTGGTGGACCGGGATTTGGAAAGACGACCGTTGCCAAGCGAGTGGCTTGTGAATTAGATAGGCTAAAAGATCGAACTGTTTTCTTTTGTAGTTTATTATCAAAGAAAACGTTCCACGATGTGACCATGGAAATGTTTAATTCATGTAGTAAAGTGGTCAACACGCAAGTGCCGGAGAATCCGGGGCAGTGGCTTAAAGACTGGAGCAAACAGATCCATGACCAGGTCACTTTTGTTCTTGACAATGCAGATGGTGTTCTCGAGTCTGACCATCGTGAACCATTTCTTGAAACCTTACGTGATGTGAGAAAGTTATCGCGACGAAATGTCACATTTGTAATCACTGCGAGAACAACATTTGAAAATCCCGACTTGCCGTTAAAAGAGGTTAGGCTACCCCCGTTGTCGACTGAACAAGCCAAAAATCTCCTTGTTTCTCAGGTTCGCTCTTATAAACAAGATGTTCAACACGAGCTTTGCAAAGCAGAGCAACTTGTCAAATTATGTGGCTGTGTTCCTCTGGCACTGTGCATTGTTGGATCTCTGCTCTCAGATTTCGCGGAAGAAACACTCATCAAAAACCTCGAGAGAGAACCACTGGCTGTCCTCGAGGACGATCATGGATCTGTAGAAAAGGCAATAAAAACGTCTTTCGATCTTCTGACAGAAGCTGAACGAGAAGCCTTTGTTCTTATGTCCACTTTTCAAGTTTCGTTCAGCTCAGTCGCTGCTGAGGCTGTTATGAAAGCATTCTCTATCCCTGGAATTTGGCTGATCAAGATTATTCGTTCCTTGAAGAGAAAATCGCTCATAGAGCAGCCAAGTTCCCGAAGATATCAGATGCATCCACTCATTCACTCGTATGCAAGGAAGACTGGTCTAGAAAATGATCCCGACCTTTTAGTTAGAGGGGAAAAATTGGCCTGTGTCCACTTCATTTCTTGTCTAGCGAACAATGCCAACATGTACTGGAGAAAGGACAGCTGCAAAGAGTCTCTTGATTTATTTAAAGAGGACAGGGACAATTTCGAGTACTTTTTACACATCTACACTCAGAGAAGGAAGGACCAGGATGAAAAAATCGCGGAATGCTCTAAGACCTTTTTGGAAAGTTTTCCACAGAAGTGCATGTATTTGCAGAAGTGTCTCCCTCCAAAGATCTACGCTCATATCCTTGAACAGTTACTGGACACGTTTGACTCAGTTCTTGAACCGGTAAACTTTGTGGAACTTTCGTGTACCCTTGGACATGAATGTAGGAAAAAAGATCAGATGAAGTACAATGAACTTATGCGGAAAGTGAAGAGAATTTACTCTTTAAACTCTGATGAGTTTGACCGAAATCCGTTGGCAAAGGTCTACTTTCATAACAGTTATGCACGCTTCCTTTCCGATAAAAAAGATCCCAGTGAAAAGCAAAGAATTGAGAGAGAGAATCAAATTGCTTTAGATGTATGCTATGCAAGTTTGGGTGATCGTCATCCAGAGACAGCAGCTACTCTTCTCCTTACAGGAATAATTGCACAACGCCTTCGGAATCGTGATGTAGCTAAAGAAAGGTTAACAAAGGCGTTAGAACTATTTCAAGACGTCCTTGGTAAACATTTTATGACTGCTGAAACCCTGAAAGCTATTGCAGACCTGTTGCTCGCTCCCGATAAATCTGTAACCGACTTGAAACCTTGCCTTAAGTATTATGAAGCAGCTTTGGAAATTTTTGATCATCTAGGAGTGGGTGGAAGCAAGGAAAGTATCTTGCCATTAAAGAACTTTGCGAGTTGTCATACGACAAGTGGCAACTTTGACGAGGCAATAAAGTTATTTAGGAAGGCAGAACAGGTTGCAGAGCGAGAACTAGAGAAAAATCACACTTGGAAAGTCTCGATAAAGACTTCACTGGGCTTATTGCATGAGAAAATGGGTAAAGTGGAGTTGGCGAAAAAGGCGATGCTTGAAGGATTGTTAATGCACAAAGGACTAGGACTTGCAATGGACAAGATAGGAAACAAATTCATGATTCGGAAATTTATGAATCGATATCCAAAGATCTTCCCCGAGGCTGAGTTTCCAAGTAAGTACAAGGTTCATTTTCCAATTACATATTACATCGTCATAAAGCTGCTTGACTGTGGAAGAGGTCTGAACGAAATTTTCGAATACTTATCCAGTGGCTACTGTGAATGAGGAAGTTGTTGACTCCACGATCAATAAAAAGTACAAAGATTTTTTTAAAGTACACATTTCCAGAAACATATTTTTGTGGTTCAAAACTCGTAACTATCGTCAGTACAATAATTCATTGTGAACTGAAACACCATTGTTTCCGCCCCCTATCTCATCCAATCGAATATCAGTTGATATTCTCGTCTGATCCTAAAAACGCTGTACATTTAAGTGTGATTGCGTCTGGACACTTCGTTATGAATGTTGCAAAGCGATGTACATGATCTTTGTGTTTGATATTCTAATCGGGTGTATTTATATTACCCTTGTAAGTAAATCTGATTACTTTTCATGGCTAGAGGAAACTTGAATCTATGAATGCTTTAAGTCATAAACAAACGAATCCAAATATCTACTTTTGTTTGTAAATTTCAGGAAGCGAACTGGCCATTAAGGCAAACATTCAAGCAAAAAGTCCAAGGCTGGATCTCCATAAGAAGGGGACAAAGAAACGTTAGTGGTGACCAGAAAGAACTTTATGAACAATATGGTATTCGACTTTTTGCAAACTGACGACCGAAACAAAGGAAGAAGAGGGAAGGGAAATAAGTAATGTTATTAACAACTCGCAAATACACGACAGTCGTAGGTCGTGCTTTTTTAGAACAATTAATTTCAGTATTACAGATCGAACGAGCTGAAAAAAAAAATCATTAGCTGACCCACAAAAATAGCAAATTTTTAAAACTTCAGTGTTTTGCAATTTATGACAACACAATTTTGTAAGGAAAATTTTACTAGAGGACTTGTATGCGTATGAAACGTTTTAGTTCATTAAATAATGCTCTGTGAATATCTTCGTTGCAAATCACCAGAATTAGATTACAAACACATGAAAGTCAAAAATCGTTACGCGGCTTCAAAATGTTTTAAGTGTTTGGCAAAAGATGGCAAAACGAACAGAAACTTGCTCGAGCTTTTTTAGCACAGTCGTACCTGTTGAAAACTAAAACCCATTTTTCGATAACACTAATGAGCCTAAAAAAAAACTATCCCTGTCTACCTCAGACAAATTGCATCATGATTACATTAGCTGCCTAAAGTGCTGAGGATTTGAATCTGACTACATATGCCTCGATTTATCGCGCCGTTTTGTGATTCCTTGGATAACACTTGAATAAAGAGGTGCAGTTCACGTCACGTCACGTCACGTCACGTCACGTCACGTCACGTCACGTCACGTCAAGTCACGCATAGCCTCCACTTTGGCGATAGTTTGGACATCTTGATAGAAGCTCCCTAATCTTAAACATTTCTTGGAAATTGCTGTCTTCTGAGAATTATGTTACAAAGCATCTCCCATTCAAACTGTCATTTCAGCCTCATATTTTCTTGAGCAAAATGGTACCATGCAAAAGGTCGTGTTCATTGAGATTCCAAAACATTGAATTCAAAATCGAGCCCTCGAAAAATCAGTGACCCTTGCAGCACTGTTCGCCACAGGCTATTAAAAACTAAGGTTATATTGCAAGTGTACAGAAAGGAGCCAATATATATATATTTTTCTTTTGCGCCCGAACGCGATAAATGTTTGTTCACTTGGAAGGTGATATTTCAGGCAACGATCCTCGGTCTAAATTGCAATAAAGCCTCTATGTCGTTTTATGAACGGTTACTACTAAAATATGGTTTCGTGCTCGGGCGAGTTCAGGACGACTTATTGCCACAGTGTCTGTTTTATTTGGTGAGTGAGCGAGTGACTGACTGACTGACTCTTTTGCATATTGGAGTCCCCATAAAAAATCGTTTGCACGAGTTTTAAGTAATTATAATGTTAAACTAAAGTTGAAGTTACACAAACCGTGACATTAAGCTTCCCAGAAACAAACATCTCGAATATCCAGCCTTGCATGACACTTAAATCATGCTATGACAGTCTCCTGCATGACATGCAAATTGACTTATTATACACCCATAAGTCCAAAGATCTTTCTCGGAAACTAAATCATCTCCTTTTTCTTAGAACTTTTTGCCTTCTTGTAAAGTGGTTTTGAGTTCATTAGGCTGATTAGTATGTTTAAGGATGGCGACTCCGTTCGCTTGTTTTAAGATGCGATCATGAATCCGACAAACACACGCACGCATCGGTGAGGTAAGCTTATTCTTTCATTTTCCAAACGAAATTTCCATAAATACTTGTCTTGCCACCAAGACCATTCCTCGATTTAAAACACGAAAGATAATGGCTGGCACAGCCTCTTCTGCTGTTTCTCCTGTTTCTTCTGGATCTTCTGTGCTAAATGTATCAGAGGAGAAAACGAATGGCACGAAGCTAATACGGCTGCTGGTTGACGGAGGAACACACGTTCTTCGCAATTTATTGCATTCTGTCTACACAACGGATAAATTACAAGTCGTATTAAACAACAACAAGGCAAAGCTTCAATTGCTAAAGTCAAGAGGTGTAATATTTAAAATCCAGTGGGAAATGTTATTTCCTGCGTTAGGTGATCCACCGGACTCGAAAACGTTCGACATTTCACTTTTACATCTCTTGCTTCGTGAAATTTGCCATCTTACGGCGCCTTCAACCGGCTGGCACACCATGCCTGCAGAAGATGATAATAGTCTCGGAGCAAACATTACCCGCATCAAATGTTTCCGAAATGAGCTGTGTCACAGCGTCTCTACCGAAATTCCAAACGCTAAATTCGAGGACAAGTGGAACGAGATAGCATTGTCTTTAGAGGCAATTAAGATTTGTGTTCTACAAAAGGGACACGTAGAGGAAATGGAAGCGCTGAAAAAAGATCCCATTGATCGCGATACAAAGCGACGTTTGGAGGAACTAGCTAAAGAATGGAACAAAATACAGGAACAAGAAAGGATTCACTCGTCAAGTTTTAGCCCTCGCAGCTGTTTACCGGACAGAATACCAGAAAAACGTGTATTTGGCCGTAACCAAGAAATAGAGCGTGTCAAGAAAATGGCTGAGGGTGGAGACATCCCTGTTGTCCTTGTTACTGGTGGACCTGGATTTGGAAAGACGACTGTGGCTAAACGAGTGGCTCATGAATTAGAAATTTCAGGGAAGGAATGAACTGTAATATATTGTAGTTTACAAACGAAATCAACTTTAAATGAGGTGGCCATAAGAATGATCAACATATGTGGTTCAGTCAGCACACAAGTACCAGAGAATCCGGGGCAGTGGCTAAGAGACTGGAGCAAACAGATTCAAAGCCAGGTCACGTTCGTTCTTGACAACGCAGATGGCGTTCTTGACTCGTGCGATAGAGAGTCATTCCTGAGCCTTTTATGTGACTTACGAAGTCTATCGAGGCAAAAGGTAACATTTGTTATTACTACAAGGAAAACATTTGAACATTCCGACTTGCAGCCAAAAGAAGTCAGGTTGCATCCTTTGTCCACGGAACAGGCAAGAGATCTCCTTGTTTCCAGAGTGCAAGTCTATGAAGGTACTCCACAGAAACTTTCCAGGGTAGATTACATTGTTAGTGATCTATGTGGCTGTGTTCCTTTGGCACTTTGCATTGTTGGTTCCCTTCTTTCAGGTTATTCCGAAGAAACACTCATAGAAAACCTTGAAAAGGAACCATTAGCTGTCCTAGAAGACGACCAGAGTTCTATAGAAAAGGCCATTAAGACTTCGTTTAACCTTCTGAAGAAACCCGAACAAGAGGCTTTCATTCTCCTATCTTTTTCCAAGGTTCATTTGATGTAGATGCAGTCCAAGCTGTGACGAAGGCGGAATGTTCGATCTCTGGGGCTTTACCAATCTCCATCCTGCGCTCATTAAAAAAACAGATCTCTTGTGGAGAAGCCCTATTCCCGCCGATATCAGATGCATCCGCTCATTCAGTCATACGCAAAGAAGATTGGTCGTGATAGGTATGACGAGCTTTTGGCAATGGGCGAAAAACTGGCTTGTATACACTTCATGTTGCGCCTCGCGAAGAATGCCAATATTTACTGGAGTAAGGACACACAAATTACTCCAAAACGATTCAGAGACTGACGCTATCTTTTCGCAACCCCCACTTATTTCATTCAAACGTGACAAAAACATAGGCAACTTTTTAGTCAGGAGTTCATTTCAAACCAATGACCAATCTGGAACTTTTAAATGCGCTCGCTCACGATGCAAAACTTGTCCTTTCATTCATAACGTAGAGAAAATATCGGGATCCAAAAGATCCATAAAGATCATTGATCACTTTACGTGTACCTCAGTCGCTAGACACTTTAATCTTCCTTATCATTCTAAACAGCATATGGCAGTTTGCGGCCTTTCCTTACATCTAGGCAGTTCGGAAAGCCGTAAAACACTAGAACAAAAAATTTATATTCCAAATCGGCACCCTTAATCCCCACGGAATCAACGAGCGCTTTTCATTCAACTAATTTACTCCTGTTTTCTCGTCACCATATTCCCACCAATGGCGTAGCTCCACTTTCTACATATAAATCCACACACAACCCACAATTCCTCTAATCGCTCTGACGAAGGGCTAACGCTCGAAACGTCAGCTTTTTTACCCTTTACGGTGGCTAATTTACGTTTTCAACCCAGTTGTTAACACTTAATTACCTGCTATACTCTCCCACCGACGCAGCACCACAGTTTCTTTAGAAACTTACCCCTTTATTCAAGACAAAAGTAGGTTAAGTTCAAAATTACCTATCGAGTTATCACTATATGAGAAATATAATTTACCGAACGAGAATGAAAAACTGTCATGTGAGATTTTAAATCACCCATTGACAATGGAAAAACATTAATCGAGGAAAAGACTGATGCAACAAGATTCCGAGAAATAAATATTGACTGTTGAGAATGAGAAATTGTTGCATGAGAAAAAGAAGTTACTACACGAGATTATCGATTAGTTTTCCTGAGCCCGTGTACAGCAATCAGTCAGCGGAGTTTATTTCTCGCAAAATGGCGGAGCAACGGAGTGCAGAAGACTTTACAGCATTTGTTGATTCTCTCAGGAGTACCATCGAAAGAAGCGCTTCCGTTTATCACGCATATGATCATGAACGATTAGAAATCTGTGCTAGGAAGCTTGAAGAACACATAGGAATGGTTATCGCGATATCTCTGTCCCAAAATTCCTCTCTAGACCTGTTTGAGGTGTTAGAGCTATGTTATTAAGAAGGTCGTCTAATATTTTAAATGCATCAAGCTTTCGTCCAAAGGAGAAAAATCCGTTGGCATTATCTGCAAGTTCAGGAGGAAGACCGAGGTACATAATTACAAGGTAAATGATCGAGCAACTGCGTAAGACTGGTATGAACTAGAGAATTAATAGCAACATGCCTTGGAATCTCCGACCAAACACTACACACACAAAGGATCGAGTTTGGAGTAAGAAACAGTTTCACAGATATTACGGGTGAAGAATAAGACGCGCAACGACAGCAGACTCTCAATTTAACGCCCTATAGCGGGGAAACCTATGTTAAGGGCAGTCTCAAAGGTAGGGGTATAAATGATCAACAGTTCAGAATCAGAGAAAGCTTGAAAAAGATAAATAGTGTAGGTAGAGTTGTAAGACGTCGGTATGCAATCCTTTCCTTGATTCCTTGGATCAATGCCTCTATACATGAGTTAAAAAGCCAGTGAAATTATCGTGGTATTAGAACAGTAGGCCACCAAACACCCAAGGGAATGTGATACACTGAATTACTCAATGCTCACAAGGAGTCTACTGTGACAAATTGGCAGACATATGGAATTGTTTTTGATGGTCCATTGACTGATATTGAAACAGACAACAATTTTGTTGTTGTACCAGAGTCACTCAGTCAGCTTACAATCACCAACTGCATAAATTATATACTAGGATTGACCCTCTCCCTGATGGAGACAATGGAGTTACCCACTTTCTGAACACTGTGATAATCATTAAAGGCCTTACAGAGCAGTAATGAATTTAAAATTTATCAGTTTCTAATTTAAAGTATTTTGATATTTCCTGTTATGATAATGGAAGAGCATTCACAAAATCATTGTTTTCCCTCCCTCATATGGGCTTCATAAAGATGGAAAAACTTACTGCAGACATGTTTTCAATACAAATAACACACTGAGAAGATCAACCAGTCAATAAGATTGAAGTTATGCTGTTGTGTTCAAAGCTTTTATAATGAAGTGGTCATCTCTTTTTTTTCAGTGGTTAAAAAATTGCATTGAACACAAAGAGAGGAAGAAAATTTGATTCATGATTTGTCTGGAGGTTGAAAATGAAAGTCATGACACTTTTTAGCAGCTGTCACAGGTATAGTTGATCCCTTAACAATAACTTGAAGTATTAGTCTTGAATTTTGATGGTTTTAATCTTAATGAAATGTTGTCATTTTCCCTGATTTATCATCAAACCATTTTCACATTTTCTAGATGCATTCACTTTGTGGTGTAAGTAATGCACTAAAACTAATGCAGTTTTTTGTGCAGTTTGAAGTTTAGGCATTGATTTCTTAAATGTAGAAGGCAACTACTGGTAGTAAAAGCAACATGTCACTTTTTACCCTAAGTTGCCTTATTCCAAGGGGCTGACAAATTACTATCATGTTATGTAATGACCACTTACAGGACTGTAATGAATAAAGTCGATTCATGATTTATTTATGTTCATAATATAGGAGGTCAGCTGATAAAATTGTTACTTAGAGTTTGTAGTCTTGAAACTAGCAAATTTTACATCCTGTCAAAAGGCTTTCTAACTTGTAACCATTTAACCAACTGCTGGTGACAACTGTAATTTGAATAGATATAACTGTATGACTTGATCCTAGTTGGAAAGTTCAGAAATTCCATCAACAGTAACTTGTATTCTCTGTTACGACAAATCTTTACACCAGTTATATGCAAATGTTATGCATAGAACAAAAACTGTGACACTAAGAAGCAAATTTCAAAGTGCTCAAAGAGTTCATTTCAAAATGTTCATTTCAAAGCATTAAAAGTGTTCTTTTTAAACTGTTCTCATCTTTCATACTAAACAATGTTAAAAAAGCCAGGCTTGCTCCTCTTTCATTACATTAGTGAACTCCTCAATTAGTGCTTGGTCTAAAGGACTAAACATCAAAAAGTCATCACGTCCGATTCTGGGCTCGATCTGTGGATGACAACGAAAATCGGGTAAATTGTTCTAAGCGTCTTACAGTAATTCCGACTATGATACATGTACCTGGCTGAAATTCTCTCTCAGACGAGTTAAGATATTATGCACATCAGCTTCAGTTTCCTGATGTTTAATCAAGCCTAAACCATCATATCATATTCAGTGTTCGATCAGTTTACAACAACAAAAGTAAATCGGGATGAATAGCAATTGCGACCAAGAGACATGTATTTGGTGGAAATAAATTCTCAAATGATTGGAATAATTTTTAACATTAACTTCAGTACTCCGCTTTTAAACCAGACAGAGCAGAGAACGTGTTTAGAGTGTTTTCAAACGTTTTCAATCGAGAAATGTGTTCCTTGTTTATTCGTTCTCAATCGCTACGCAAATAGACAGCACCCATATCGCTGATTGCTTTCCAGATATCATTATACCCATGTTTGTTTGGAAATATTGATTATATATATATACATATAAAACGCGAGCTTCAGAGCGCGTGCAGTATTTTAGCATTTAAGCGTTCTTTGTTCGTTTTGATCCTACACAATCAGACGCTAATAAAAGTGTGTGAAACAAAGGGTGTGAAATACTTTACGTTTCGCAACAAAACACTGAATATTATTAAGTGACGGCTGAAACAACTATTATTTAGGTCACGTTGCCCTATTTTTGCGTAAATTCTGGCATCTTTTGCCAATACTTATTTTGCACAGTTCCTACATACACTGTTTGCTTCCATAGACAGCTTTTGAGGTCTTCCCGATCGAGGTAACGTTGTTACGAAATCGGTGAGACGCAACTTTCAAATTATGCGCGTAGTAAAACCTAGTAACCCGTCGCGTTTCAACGCCTTCACTATTTCAGCTGGGTGGAGGCCTTGCTTGTGGAGAATCTTGATTGTTTTTGTAGAATAATTCGAAACTTTGGCCACGATGACTACCAAAAGTAGAGTACGTAAATGATCCCAGACGCATCGACACAATCGATACACTGAGTGTTGCCATGGTTGCAAACAACATTGGTCGCGCGGAGGACTCAAATCAAAGCGGGAAATTCCATGGGAGTTTTACATAGAGCAGTACCAAACCACAAATTCAACCAAATCTTTTTGAAAGAATGAAGAATTACAACGAATTATCACCCCGAATATTCGCCGCACAGAACGAATTTTCGCTTCGAAATTTCGAGTCGCATTAACGCCATCAAGGAATATGTCGCCGAAAGTTCGAGCCGTTCAAAACAAGACATGCCTCGAAAATTCGCGGAAATGTCGTCAAAGTTTCGTTTCGGTCAAGAATTCGTCGAAAAGCAAGGAATTTCGTCGAATTTCGTCGACAGGTGTTTGCATTACTTTTGCACAATACTGTACGTAGATAGAAGCTCTAGCATTGGTCCAGATGTTCTGGCAATAGGATGTTGCTGCAACCCTTCTAGGGTAGCAAAGTGCACATCAATGTTTTGAAAATTGTAGAACCATAAGAACATGGATAGAGATTTGCCTTTCATTGACTTTACAAACCATTTCAGGTGTTCAAAGAATGTACATTCT